CATCATTTATGACACCATAACAATCATGCCACCATTAAATAAATTATAAAGTGGTGTCATTATGTCATTTTAAAACCATATCTAACTATACAAACCAAAAATTTCCATATGTCATGGTTATATTCACCATGAAAGCCATCTCCTCTGCTCAAAGGGATAATATCCTCTCTCTGTCTTATGCTGGCCTCTCTGCTTGTCAAATTTCCTCTAGAACTGGAGTATCCAAGTCCACTGTGGCCAAGTTCATCAAAGAAAGTCACACAGACAAGGAAAACTTCTGTGAAGGGCATCCATCCAAGCTCACCTCTACTGATAGGAGGGCTATTATTCAACATATCACTACAGGAAAGGCTGATAATGCTGTCCAGGTCACCTATTACATCAATTCCACCATCACATTCCCTGTCTCTTCACACACTGTGAGAAACATTCTCAAGACAGCTCATCTCAGGTCAGTAACAAGGAAGAAAAGGCTCTCCTCTCTATCACACATATGCAGAGATGACTAACCTTTGCCTTAGCCCATCAGAATTGGATTACATGGACTGGAAGCATGTTATATGATCATATAAGACCACAATAAATAGGATTGGGTCAGATGGCAAGGTATATATGTGAAAAAAGAAGGGTGCTAGTCCTCTCTGCATATGTGTGATAGAGAGGAGAGCCTTTTCTTCCTTGTTACTGACCTGAGATGAGCTGTCTTGAGAATGTTTCTCACAGTGTGTGAAGAGACAGGGAATGTGATGGTGGAATTGATGTAATAGGTGACCTGGACAGCATTATCAGCCTTTCCTGTAGTGATATGTTGAATAATAGCCCTCCTATCAGTAGAGGTGAGCTTGGATGGATGCCCTTCACAGAAGTTTTCCTTGTCTGTGTGACTTTCTTTGATGAACTTGGCCACAGTGGACTTGGATACTCCAGTTCTAGAGGAAATTTGACAAGCAGAGAGGCCAGCATAAGACAGAGAGAGGATATTATCCCTTTGAGCAGAGGAGATGGCTTTCATGGTGAATATAACCATGACATATGGAAATTTTTGGTTTGTATAGTTAGATATGGTTTTAAAATGACATAATGACACCACTTTATAATTTATTTAATGGTGGCATGATTGTTATGGTGTCATAAATGATGATTTATATAGTTTTAATATGTGCTCAAAAAACTGTCCGCATGAGTCATGATTTTGTAAGCCTTATGTCTCCACCATATCTCCACCGATTCCCACGGTGTAGGGCTCAAATGAAAGCCCTGAAGCCATACTACAATGTGGTATAACCATGTCCTTGAGGCATTTGTTCATTCTCACACAATATCATAGATAGTGAAAAATGTCAAAACATGCAGACAGTTTTTTGAGCCACTGTAGGCTCAGAGGCGTGGGAATATGATGGAATGTGAGTCCAGATTGTGGGATATGACAAGATCCCAAACCCACCCACAGAGAACTCAGCCTTGGATTTATAGATGACATAGCCCTGATAGCCAAAGGTAAAACATTCAAAGAAGCTAATGAGAAACTTAAGCACATGATGGAGAAGCCCAGAGGCACTGAAGGTTCAACAACTCTGCTAGGCTGCAGACTATAGAAAGAAAGAGGCCTCTCACTCTGAGGTGAGAGGAAAGCTACTGACTCTCTAAGTTGTTGGTCAAAGTGTGCCAAGTGATGTGTTCAACCCTTAAGGGAAGCAAGGAAAGCAAATCCATGAAGTGACACCAGGTCAACTCTGGTGAAGCACACTGGGAGCACGCACACAGGAATGTCAAGCGCGTAAGGGCACGAAGCGTGGGAATAATGCACATGCAGTGCGCAAACATATAAATGACTGGTAGAAGGTGTGAAGGTGTGAACTAAGACTGCTGAGTGGAGACTGATGATAGTAAACTGTGCTGAGGACTAGGGTGATGACTCTGATGGATGCTAACTCATGATAATTCTGACTGCTAGATGCTAAGTGACATGATGGTGGTAGGTGTCTTTTTGATTCTAAAACTTCCTAGGCAACAGGTAAGCTGTGCCTAGGTGTGCTCCCAGGGCTCAGAAGTGAATAGGGAGCACTCTATGTATGTAAAATGATGTAAGTAAGGGTCCATAATGAAATAAAGTATCGTACAATCCCAGAAATGGTCTGATAATGAAAATGAATGAAAAGGGACACACCAGGGAACTGGTTGGACAATGGATGGAGGCTCCTGGATGCTGTGCAACAAAGTGCAACCAAGCATGGGAAGAGCACGGGAATGCGTTGCATAGTGCAGGAAAGCATCACGCCTCTGGCACATTTCATGGGAAAGTCATAGATAGTGAGTTGCATATTATACCAATCATTGTGAGTCGTAATATGGGCAATCTACGCCTGGAGGAATCTCATTCCCTACAGCGCCCTAGACTGGAGTAGACACCATAATGCAGAATTTGAACTAGACAAAACCGCCCTCATTTGTGTCTCAAGAAGACATATCCCAGACCCCTCAAACCATATGAAAACAATCCCCATAACGTGCCCAGCAATCACTATATGCCAACACACCATTCAACCATCCCAATCCCACAAATTCCTTGGTATGATAGTAGACGAGGAGTTATGATTCAAGCAACACACATCATTCATACTAGCAAAGGGGACCAAGTACATGTTGGCATGCAGCAGAATGACCAGACCCACTAAGGGCATTCATGGACGACTCCTCAGGAAGCTATATGAAGGTGTAGTCATACCAAAGATGTTATATGCAGCTGATGTCTGGTGTGCAGGACTCTTAGAGAAAGGCAAAGGACAGAATAATGGAGGGAGAGGCACAAGAGGCTTTGCGGCAAAGATGATGAGAGTACAGAGAATGGCCACCTCCATGATCACAGGCGGCATGCACTCAACCGCCACAGACTTATTGGATGTGCACACCAACATACTCCCATTCCAACAACTACTGAGAAAGATCTGCTACCATGCTACACTCCAAATATCAACCCTACCACTGAGCCACCCACTATTCAAAGGCATCAAGTCAGCATACAAAAACTGCACTATTCACAACTTCAAATCTACCAGAAAGTTCCTCTTGCCAATACACTCACTGCTGAAAGCCTTCAGAACCAACCCAAACCGAATGGAGAAGATCTTACCAGTATGACACTACACCAAGTGGCGCCCAGACATGACAATGGAGATAGCAGAGGACCCAGAATCTGCACTCAAAGCAGATGAAGATGTGCAGGAGGACATGTGCGTCTACTTGGACAGCTCAGCGATAGATGAGGGAGTGGGAGCAGTGGCAGTATTAATGAGAGGAAAGGTAGAGGTAGACACCTTGAGATTTCATCTTGGCTCAGTCAAGAACCACACCATCTACAAAGGAGAGCTTGTAGGGATGATCCTAGTGGTAGAGCTGTTGAGGAGAGAAGCAGGAAGGAAGGACTCAATGGCATTAGGCACAGACAACCAAGCAGCAATTCTAGCAACACAAGCCTTCAACTCGAAGCCAGGGCACTACCTGATGGACATCCTTCACAATGACCTAAGAATTGTCATTCCAGAATTCAACCAACAGAAACTCACCATACAATGGTCCCCAGGGCATTGCAGCATTCCAGGGAATGAAGCAGCTGATGTACATGTGAAGCACGCTGCAAGGAAAGAGACATCAGGTATCAACCAACTCCCCTCATCACTCAGACTACAAAACACTCCCATACCACTCCCCCACAGCAAAGCAGCAGCCAAACAACAATTCAATGCAAGGGTGAAGAATGAAGCCATCACAGTCATGAAGAAGTCTCCATAATACAAACACCTTTGCAAGATAGATCCCTCCGTCCCATCCAAACACCACGCCACCCTAACAGCCAAACTCCCTAGATGCCATAGCTCACTCATCTTCCAGCTATGAACTGGCCACGCCCCACTGAACAAACATCTCAATAGAATCAATAGGTCCCCTACCCCAAAGTGCCCCAGATGTGACAGAGAAGAAACCATGCACCACTTCCTGATAGCATGCCCAGTGTATGTGAGACTCAGAATTGTGCTCATAGATGAAATCAGAACACACACACAAGATCTGAAATACCTACTCAACCATCCAAAATGCATCAAACCCACACTCAGATTCATAGCCAAGTCCAAGCGCCTAGAGACAATATTCAGAGATGTAACCCCACTGGCCAATGACGAAGAAGAGGAGGAATAAAGAATGAGAGGAAAAAGACATAGAAAAGAAAAGAAAACGAGAGAAAATAGAGATGAGCACTCCAGACCCAGAACCTCCCCCAACCCATATTGCCTTCAGTTGGCCTTAATGCACCCCAAGAGGGAGCCATTGCATAGCACATACGAACACTAACAAGTTACATATATAGATACAGACCAACACAGCATGTACTGTCTACTATAGGGCGCGGCCCCAGCGGACAATAAACACTGATCCAAAAAAAAAAAATTATGTTGCCTAAATGAAACGGACATTTCCGAATCGGAGGAACAATACCAGCGGTTGGCGGCTTTCCCCGTCCGGAACGCCTGTAGCTTACAGTGAACTCATTGCATGAATCCAGACGAGTCTATCCAAGCTTAGGTCTACGAGTAGGTGTTGGCAAGTCATTGGTACTCACTTAACCGATGACGATATAAGTTGAACTACCAATCTTGTTTGGCCGTGGTATAATCAGATTCTATGGCTGAAAAACTCGATCTTATGAGGACCCTCTTAATATTGCCCAACCACACCCTTTGAAATGCTTAAAAGATGAGTGTCAAATTTTTATCGGCCTGTACAAACAAAACATTGCCTGTTTCTGGAAAGGTGCAAGTACTGTCATGAAATATGATGCTTCATATTGTGTCGTTGTACAAGCAAACGTGGTGGCAACTCGGTCATCAATGTGGTACCTCACCGAAATCGAATGATATGTGCAATGATCCATGAATGCTCCGCTTGAATGTCAGCCAGCGGGGAGTGACAAATAAATAAATGCCAAGCAAACACCATGTAGGCTTTCACACAGAGTGCGCAAGCTCCACTGCGCGCTCACAGACCTCATCAATTCCCCACCGCTCACATGAACCGTGTTTCATGTCCAGAATTCCGCCCACCTCGTCGCACGCGCGCAACACGATATCAATATCCTCCTTCGTATGCGATGCGCTAGGACAAAGCCGCACACGACCCGTCTCAAACGAAGTGGCGGGGTATGTTACGACAACGACAACAATCGGTATGGGGCGCGCACGCATCATACGCACGAATACGGGCAATTTCCCCGGGTTAAAGATAAGCAGAGGAACAATCGGGCTGGAGGCATGTCCGTAGACGATAAAACCGAGTTTTTTGAGGCCCGCGTGGAGATAGCGGCAGTTGAAGGCAAGGCGGCGCATACGCACGCGAGCTTCAGATCCGTCCGCGAGAGACGGACAAAGGTTTATCCACGTCGGCAGCATGCTTGCAGGCGCCATTCCTGAGAGCTCCTCTGCACTTTCGTTCGGCACGATGATTGAGCTATCAAGGCTGGGGGAAAGAGTGGATTTGGTGGGTTGTGGTACTGGGCGACGCCCATAATGCTAGCCATCGACACAACAACCTGTGTAATCACGGATGGCGTTATGGCTTCCGCATACGGACCTGAGTGACTGCGCAGGCGGAGAGCATCAATCAGGGGTTTCGACCCTGCGATGTATCCTCCGGCGGCACCAAAACCCTTGCTGAACGTACCCATCAGAACATCAATTGAATCGGGAGGGACGTTGAAGTAGTCCGTCACACCCCGTCCCCGAGAACCGAGCGAACCGATCGAGTGGGCCTCATCGATGTAAAGGTAGAACTCGAATGAAAGCTCAACATGGTATCACAACGGCAATTGCATTACATACTTTGTACTTCTGTTTCAGCTCGACAATCCTAGGCAGGTTCACGAGCGTTCCCTCCATGGAGTACAAGCCCTCGACAATGACTAAGATTTTCTTCCACGCACGATGCGTCTTGGGCTGGCCCTGGCTTATCACCTCACGCAGCAGGGACTCGAGGCTTGACATATCATTGTGTTTGAATATCCGGATCTCCGCACCACTCTGGCGTATTCCGACCCGCATACTAGTATGGTTCAGCTCGTCGGAAATGATCAAGGACCCCTTCCCCGCGAGTCCAGGGATGAAAGTGGAGTTGGTGGCGAAGCCCATAGAGCAGACCAACGCGTCTTCAGTGCCCAAAAAATGTGCAATAAGGGCTTCGGCGGACACATGAAGATCGTTGCTCCCACTTTCAAGACGTGTGCCGCAGCTGGAAACGCCATATCGACGAATGCTCTCCACGACCGCATCCGCCCAGCTGCCGCGGCCCTGGGAAAAGGCGAGGTAGTTGTACGATGAGATGTTCAGGGCGCGTGTCTTACCACCGGTGTAGATCTGGGTATGGTTGTAATCAGGAGAATAACGGTCAAGGATAAGAACAGTACGGCCGGGGACACCTGTGATAGGCTGGCCATAGCAGTCATCCATGCGACGCTTCAGCCGTCGAGGGAAGAAGGAATCAAAATCTGAGTTCAACGGTGCATAACCCTGCATATGGAACAAAATTTGTTAGATATAGCGAACAAGGTTGTAGACAGAAGATGCCACATACATTATGGGGCATAAGGTGGGTGAAATGAGACTTGATAAAACGCTTTCCAAAGAAGTCGCGCAAATGACCCAACATGTGGAGAATGAGGAAGCTTATGTAGGTGGCGAGGTGAATATAGTATGGGGGTTCCTCAATGGTGTGTTCCTGGAACGGTTTCGTGTAGTCATGCTTAGAGACACAACGATAGGCTTCATTCGCACAGTGACCAAACTCTGCGTGAAGGGTAGTGAAGACTTGCTCAGACGTGGGCGGTGTATGGGGATTCGTGAGATAGTTGTTTTCATCATCCTCATTGAGGACAGTGTCTTCGGATGAGATCGTAATAGAGGAGGAGAGGGAAAGTGCAGGGGTTGGTGACGCGTGGGGGTTGTCGCGAGTGCGAGCACGAAACTCTGCTCGTTGAATAGCAGAAAGATATGACACCGCCGTCGTTATCGATAACAACTGGCTGAGTGATTCTTTCTCCTTGAAAATGGACGGAGAAGGGGATGGCGGATTCAATGTCATGAGAGACGGCATTTTCTTGTCCTGTTCAAGGGGGAAAAAAACATCTGTCAAGCCTCGGAGATGAGATAGCAAAAGAACAGGGATGTTATAGCACCTCGGCGATGCTCATTTTATAATATGCACGGGCAAGCTCTCATTGGCATCGCATATATGATGAGTTGATGGATTTAGCTGTTACGTAGTGATGGTATAACCACCGTGAGCGCCTATACCGATGATGATATGTGAAACCGCTGCAGGAAATGATATGGTGACTATGACTGTCATATATGCCGACTTTTTTGGTCGCGCATGCTTTGTTCGTGCGCGAGACAACAAGCTCTGACGCGTCGAAGTCTGACTGCCACCTATCAAATTGGAGCTGCATCGGGGTGATTGAACGGTAACATTCCAACAGTCATCCACAAAAGAGTTACGATAATATGGCAGTCCAATGGCAGAAACGGTTCGATAGTGTCAGACCACGTCATGCTATGTTGCTGCCTCTTGCTGCACGTTTTTGCTTTGTCGGCTAAAATATGGCAGCGCAGGATGTCCTGAGCTCGATGTATCATGTGTTCGATATCAGTCGCATGATTAATCCCGTCGCAACCATATATTAATGACTTCAACTGACAGGCTTAAGCATATATTTTGTTCCTCATTTAGCATTCAAAGCGCGAAGGATCCAGAATATTTCTCCTGTCCTGGAAGTAATCGATCATCTCTTGCCACGGGTGGGCATTGAATTGCTTCATCAGCGTCACATACGAGCAGAATACACATGAAGTTATGCATAGAAGCGCTCGGTACAGCAAGGATCCGCCGGGCGTGATGGAGGGCGGTGGGCTGATGGTATAGCCTAGATCGAGTTCGGCGACGGGGATCAAGTTCAGCCGCAGTCATAAGATCGACTTTTTCTAGAATCTGATAGACCATGAGTCGAGTCCAGTGATGCATGTGCATTGTTACTTCTTGGGGATTATGTAATCATCTGTTTGGTGAGAATTCAAACCTTTGTACAATTGTATCATGATTCGGGTCTCAAAGACGTAGCACAGTCACAAACTGAAAGTGTAGACTCATGTGGGGTTCACGGCCGGTGCCCGTAGAGCTATTATCGTAGGGTACTGGTCTGGGCGAAGGATCAATCATCCCGGACCTTTTTAAAAAAAATGTTGTTTATTTATGGCATGCATGCTGTGGCCAGTGGCTCGACATCGATGCATCTGATCTTAACACTTTTGCACGTTGCGCTGGTGGCGTCTGATCAAGAACTTCCCAATATTAATGATGGAGATTTCATTCTGAAATTGCTCGTGCATTTAATTTGTGTTATGTAGCTCAGTTGATCAAAAAGACTACATCCGGGATTTATTATGCGTGCATGACTGTACTGCGCTACGACTGTGCGCCGTTTACCATTCAGTTCAGCATGCTTGACAGTGTATCAGACACAGAAAGTACGAGGTACTCACTGGTCAGACGGTCGAGTTCGTAATCTCATCGATGGGACCAATTGCTCGCAATTTAAATCGCCGCCATCATATCTCGGAAGGTGAAACTCACTGGTGGCCAATAGATTGCAGTCCGTGTTTAATCAAACCTGGGAACACAGCCAGCCCTACATAGCGCCATTGACCCCGTTATCCACACTTGCAATCAATTCGTCCCAGGAGTTACAAACTAAGCCCTGCAGCACCCATCGCTACCTCGTTTCGTTCATGGAACATTGATGGCCGAAAAAACTTTCAAGGATACGTACACACTTATTATAGATAGCATTCCGAAACATTCGAAGACAGTCGATCAATAATTGAACGCAGGGTTCGCAACTTCGCATAGGTGTGCGAGCCTGCAGAGGTTGATAGAATTAACGATCATATTGCACCGCCACTTGTACGGTGCAGGATTCCAATGATGATGGAATCGGGAGGGAGTCAGCCAACGAAAAAAACGGAACCAGTTGGGTTGGGAGTTGGTGAAGCTGAAGCTGATATGAGCGTCCAGCAGGGCACTGGAAATAACATTGTGACACCCTTGAAAAAGATCATCACTCCATCAGATAAATGCTCCTTGGAATGTGAAAACTCCTCCATCGCAGAAATTGGTGGCAGGTTCCGGCGCGAGAGGTGAGAAATTCGAGCGCTGCATCCGATGTGCGTGTCCGATGTGCGTGCAGGCCTTAGACTCGTATTCTTGCTGCAGCATAGGTCATGATGGATCTAGTATGAAGGGCGACCTATGCATATTCTGGGCTAGGCGCGGCCAGGGCACGGTGAATTTGAGATCGAAACAAACCACCTGATAGATGCATTGGGTATAAATTTATAATGCGCCCCGGGGTCAGCTCGGAGAAATTGAGGCAACCAGCGTGATCCGGAATTACCGTGATTAGACGCCCATGACTTGGGGGCATTTATGAAGCTTCAAACGAGGGATGATTAGTTCAACAGTGAAACGCGCGTATCGCACCTCTGCAGCTCAGAGCAATCGCAAGACTGTCAAGTACTCTGCAAGAATCTTTTGAAGACGGTTGATTTCTTTGAGCTAGCGCTATACTTGTATTAGTGCTCTACGTGGTGGCATCGGCATCTGTCAGTAATGTGTCCTTCAGTGGTTATCTCTCACATCATATGGCGGACTCACGCACGCGCAACGTACATACTCCAGTGGTGGCGTTTCACAACTGATAATGTATCTGCTACACGAGTAGCTAAAACACATCTATTGGCCCATCATCAGATACTAAGCACGAGTGAAATGGATATGACACCACCATATGCGTGAAGCAAGCATAGTTCTTTCGCACAGCCTATCCGAATCAGCCTGACTAGAATCCAGATCTATTAGAGGCTGATTCAGAAGTCTGAAATCTGATGAATTGAGAAGACAAAACTCACTACAATCAAGCCATCAGTGCTGCAGTCCAAGACACCACTGGCAAGTACTGAGTAAGCTTATCATGATCATGCGAGGCCTTTCAACGCTCTGATAAATGTTAATGCGCCATACAGGAGCATATGGTTACATGGTATGATGGTCAGCAACAAGCAGGTTTGTACTTCACGGCAATTACCGCAGCAGTCGCAGTGGCGCACATGTCCTGTTGAATTCAAGATAATGCGGAAAAGTGACTCACGCCCTCGACTCAGCGCATCTCGCCGCCAGCCGTGTCCAAGTGAACAAACTCGGGAGACGGCGTCACTACCAGCATGCAGGTCCAGGTAAGTACTGTCATACAGGGATAGCCGCCAGCTGAAAGCTCGTCACAGCAAACAAGTTGAGGCTCTAGATATCTTCATTCCTGCAGGCCTCTTTTCCCATTCTGTCTTCTCCCAGTCACATTCAGTGTAATCCATCTCTTGTTGCATTTTCTGCTGCAGTGTATTAGGCCTTTTTATCTGGCATTCGAAGTGTACTTGCACAAACCGCCGCTTTTGTTTCCATCTCGCTCTCGTGATCATCCACTCCCATGGTACCAGTTCAGTCGAACTCATATAAACTGGATCAGCTCTTCTGTGCGCTTGATGTCGTCTTCAACGGTTTGCATTGTTTGCTCTACAAAATACAATGGATCCTCATAGCGTGCTAAATGAGTTCTCTGACTCGGGACGATACCAGTTATGTATAACATAGTGGCCAGGAGCGTCACAGGACATTCTGAGACTCGCATATTCGTTCCAGCCAACTGGTAGTGTTTATCAACAACCTCCGGCCTTCTGCTTTCGCTGACGTGACTAGCTTGGACAATGATATTAATGCCGATTTCATTAGAACAGGCCGTTGCCGTTAGCACTCGCTAGAATGAGGGTCACTGGGTCAGCGTCTCTGGTGCCGAACAGTTATCTGACGGTATACACGTGTAGCACGACCTGAAACCCCTCCTCTTCTTCTCACCTGAACATCATCCATAATCCTCATATTGTTCTACCCATCGAGCACTCAGCCCATCCCAAATCCTCTTCGTCGTTTCCCATCATCATGACCAGTAGTTGGGAAGGCCAATCTATCAGACTTGAAGGTCGGTCGCTCCATACCGCCTCAGTATTTGTTTTGTGATCCTCACATTCTGCTGCAGTTGTTGGTGGAAAAAAAATCAGTGTCCCCTCTGGGCGGATGCCGGCAGGCATTTACGTGTCTGTCAATGTCAACTCAAAGAAATGCTGGAAATCGGCTGTCCGAGTGCTATCATCCGACAGTTTTGTAGTGTGGGGCGATACCGTAACCTTGTAAAGCCTTCTACACACACTTGTGGACGCGATTCTGGTACTCATTATCGGCTTGCAGATCCCCAGATGTGTCACCTAGATTATCGGTGGAAATTCGGGCATCTTTTGAGCTCGGCCGAATGCTAGGTCGTGGAGAACTCGTTGGAAAGCTTGAAATATCGTGGGAAGGGCTGCTCGACCGTGATGACGAGCCTTTCGGTGAGTGATCTGCTTCACACCTATCTGCATCTCCTCATTGGTAGCAGATCTATCATTTCCGCCCATCCGAGGTGTCTGCCCTTGTCTCACGTTGAAAGTCGCTTCTGTGACTGCTTGCGCAAATGATGGCAGTCGACTGTTTGAAGTAAGTGACGCCAGCCTTCGTGCTGTTGGCTTTTGCTCACGGAATGCAAATCCTAGTCCATCGATGACTGCAGGATTGCTCGAGACACAGATGTGGGCCGCATACGATTATCCGAATACATCAGAGGCAAGGGCGGGGTCCATATCCTGGACGATGCTATGAACTATTTCGAGTTAGTTCTGGACCAGTGTCCGGTTGATCATCCGGATCATGCAGCGGCTCTCACCAATCTTGCGTGGGCCCGCCTTCAAGGGTATATCCACAAGGATCTTCGAGGCATTTACATTGCTACCTCTCTATTATGTGATGCCCTTGCACTGCGTCCACGAGGCCACCCCGATCGTCCAATTTCTCTCTATTATCTTACCGAAGCATTGATTTGGCGCTACAGCTATCATGCCACCACCGTCGATATCTTCAAATCTGCCCAACTCTGTTACGAGCTACTGCCTCTCTGTTCCGAAGATACCTATCTTCGTAACATTGTGATCGGCAAAAATGGTGTCGATTATGTGATACGAGCATGCAACAATCTTCCCGTAGACGCATCCGATGAAGGCATCTGCCTTCGACGACTCGTGCTCGGGCTATGTCCTCTGGGCAATCAACACAATCCCGGCGCCCTCGACAAGCTTGCAAAGACAATAAAAGCACGCTTTCAACAATGCGGCAGCTTTGATGATCTAGATCAAAACATACAATTTGGTCGTGAAGTCGTTTCTATGTGCCCCGAGGGATATCCCAACCGTGTTACCTACTTGATCAACTTGGCCGTGTCCCTCTGTCGCCGCTTCGATCACCGAGGGAATTTTCACGACCTCGACGAGGCCATCTCTCTATATGAAGAAGCGCTATCTCTGCGCCCTGTTGGGCACGAATATCACGATGCGTCATTGGATGGCCTGGGGCGCGCCCTCCTCGCCCGTTTCAATGAATGCAGTGACATTGATGACATAAATAGAGCTACCGGCCTCTTTCGCAAGGCACTGGCGTCATGCCCACCTGGGCGTCCAAATCGTGACACCAGGCTCAACAACCTTGCCGCCGCGCTCATAACTAGACATGATAAATTGCATGCCAGCGATGACCTTGATGAGGCCATCGATCTGTGCCGCAAATCGCTTCTGTTGCTAAAGCAGGATGAACATCCAGAGCGCCATAAAAATCTATTCAATTTGAGCATGGCACTCTGCTCTCGTTTCGCGCAAACACGGAAGAACGAAGATATTGAGGAGGCCATCGGTCTCTGTCAACATTCATTGGTGGCCTTGCCACCACTACACCCGGACCGTTATTTCAGCTACAAATGGCTGAAGGACGCCTATTTGTCTCGTTATCGGATCCTACCCAACGCTGTTGATTTGTCGCTTGCAGTGGGGAACTTCAGATTGGCTTCGAAACACCCCACTCAGGGATTTCCGGAACGCATCAAGGAGGCTATCCAATGGGCTCGCCAATCAGAAGTCTATGAACATGAATCTGCCCTTGAAGCGTACCAAACATGCTTGGACCTTTTCGACAACCACGTGGCGCGATCCTCTATCATCTTAAGGCGCAATGCTGCAACCGCCTTTGATGGCGCACAGTCCCTACCAATAAACGCAGCATCGTGCGCTATTCGTCGTAATGATCTGCAACGAGGAGTTGAATTTGAGGAGCAGGGTCGCGACCAGCAATGGTCATTGGCCTCTCGACTCAAGACTCCACTGGACGACCTCAAGTCCGTCAATATCCCACTAGCTGACAAACTCTCGGAGCTCAGCAAGTGCTTATCTGATGCTCAGAATTCTACGGGAAGTACAGACCGGGCTGTTGCTGATCGTGCAGCAATGGCGTACAAGAGACTTACGGTGCAATGGGAAGCTGTAGTGGCTGAAATCCGCAATTTGCAAGGTTTCTCGCGGTTCCTGCTCCCGCCGTCGTATGAAGATTTGCAAGTAGCAGCGCGCCGCGGTCCAGTCATCATTCTCATTGCTAGCGAATACTCCTGTAATGCCATCATTGTTTCAGCCTCAGGGCAGCCCCACCACGTTCCCTTCCCGTCTCTCACTCTCACAGATCTGGAGATGCTCAAGAAGCATTTCGCGAGCGTGATACGGGACTCGGCTCGCATTGGCTCAAAAGAACCAAGGACAGCGCTGATAGTATTGCTGCGGACGATATGGGATGAGGTCATGTTACCTATTGTCAATGTACTACAACGTGATCTGAAGTTGCCGAGTCGCTCTCGAATTTGGTTGTGTCCAACGGCAGCCTTCACATCCATTCCTCTCCACGCAGCTCACCCATTTCGAATGAATGCAGATCGCCCTGGGCGGGAACCATGCCTGGAGGATTTCTACATTTGCACTTACATTCCAACACTTTCTGCTCTGATCAGAGCTCGACGAACGATGACGACACATGTTACTCCTTCCTTCGCGGCAATCGGACAAGATCGACCTGGCGCAGGGCAAGGCACGGCCCTCGCTGCTGTCGACAGCGAACTTGAGCTTGTCCATAAACATGTTCCTCCCGGTGTCAAGTTCACTCATCTTTCTGGCGACAAAGCTACACAAACCGGCGCACTCGAAGCTTTGCGATCCAACACCTGGGTGCATCTCGCTTGCCATGGCAAGCAGGACAGTGAACATCCCTCCAACTCACGTTTCGCCATGAGAAATAAACCTCTCACGCTGCTCGACATCATGGAGAACGATGCACCGCAAGCCGAATTCGCATTCTTGTCGGCGTGTCATGCCTCCTATGGCGACGAGAAGATACCCGACGAGGTCATTCATCTCGCAGCTGGCATGCAGTTTTCGGGGTTCAAGAGCGTCATTGGCACTCTTTGGGAGGTCGATGACGCTATTGCGAAACATGTTGTTGAAGGTTTTTATGAGAACATGTTCAAGAATTTGGACCAGGGTGTCATGGACTATACGAAGGCGGCTTGGGCGCTCAACAAGGCTACTTACGCAGTGAAGAAGAAAGTGCCGCTTGAGCAGAGAGTTGGTTACATTCATATTGGACTGTAGTTCCCTAGCTTCTATGACCTATTGCTTTCATCTGGGACGGTGATGATGTCAGATTCTCTACCATTTGAACAATTCACAATGTACTTCAAGTTGTCGCCGTACTAGGATTTGCTTGATATCTAGTGTCATCTATGTAGTTACTTATCTTGCTTTTGCATTCTCTCGCCCTTATGTACTCGGTCTGGTCGTTTGATTGTCGAATATTCGAATGTTCGCGGTAACGTCTTCTGTCAAAGGTGGGCGAATGGGTTCCCACTATAAGATTCCAGAGATTTTATCACTAGATAAAGGCCGAGCTTCGCCGGCAGCAACCTTGTCCCGCAAGTATACTAATGTCGTGTACTATCATTTGGAGAATGCATTATCAAAGGTATACCAATTGTACATGATCAGCGGCATCAGGAAAATAGCGAGCCAGGGCAATAATCGAGAAAAGCTGCAGAAAAAACGCTGTCGGACAATATGCTACCTGTGTGATGAGAATGAGCGCATTTCAATAGCCTACAGGTTCTGACAAATGGTTGTGTCGACAATCAACACCTAAAGTACATGGTTACGATCACTCCTGCGAAGACGCCTATCACAGACATGCTCGAGGACTTGTCCACAACGATCCATTTGGTCTACATGGAATACCCAGGTCATCAGCAATGATCATCGCAGCCTTCTCTCCAATTAGAAGCGCTGTCGAATATGTGTTCTGGGGAGACAGTTAGACTGTACGTCAATGATCCCCGATGAGTACCCACCGTGCCAACATTTTTCGGCGCGATAGACATGTCTGCAACCTTGAGGTTCGTCACGCCGTACACGTTTAACCGAGCGTCGACGACTCCTTGGTCTGCCCTCGGCTTCATGGCGCACGTCCCAAGCTGCACATGCAAGAATCAGATTCCTCATGTGAAAGTATGAAGCTTTTAGCTGGGCATACCGAGTGCCATGTCGTTTGCACTGATACTCGATTCAGTATTTTAACGCAACGATGAGGATGCGACATACTGCGGTCACGATGATATCGATCGATCGCCTCTTCATCTTCTGCAGTGTAGATGATGTCGGGCGCGTTCAAGTCCACTGGCCCAGTCGTTTCTCCGCAGACTGCAGCGCTTCCCTCTGGGAAACGAGGATGGCCAGCAGGGACTTCTCCTCTGTATGAAGGCATGCGTCGATAGATTTCGCGCGTCTTTTTGTACCCAAAGTTAAGAGGTATAATATCGGATGGACTGTACGGATTATCGTAGCTACCCCAGTGAGAGGTGAATTTCACCAACTTACTCATCCAGGTAGCCTGTAGTGAAGTCGATTCCTTCCTTGCCGTTCTCGTCCAGTTTGATATGAACACTGCCAACAGACACGGGGTACAGCTATTGGGACATTCAGAACAAAACTCACGGGGTAGATGGGGAGTAGTACTGTACAACAGCAGGCAACTAAGTAATTGCGAGGAGGAACGAGTCTCGAGAGTGATCCGGAATATCTGGCTATTGTGAGCATTCACACATCGCGAAAGGAATGTGATGTGGACACACCCCTCACAAATGCCAAATATTGCAACAGCCTTGTCCGGGCGGTCCTGAAAGAACTCTTTCCATCGCGGTTGAAAGGCTGAACCCATTGCTTTCAGCTCATCGTCGTCAGGACGCCATTTGATTTTTGCATCGCTACCGCTGAAATGCTAATCAGGACGTCGCAAGCAGCGATAGTTTTGTACCAACTTTTGGGCAATGAGTGACTTGCCGTCAAGTTTCCATTGCGCGAGGTTTTCTACATTTGGGCGGTCAAATGTACTGAAAATACAACGGAAATATGCTTACCCTGTACAACACGTTCGTTCCCATGCCAAACGGAATCCATAGTAATAGCTCCGTCAGCAGCAAAGTATGGAATAAAGGCGATGTTATGATCTTATAACACTAAGTCAAAATGATGAAATAAAAGGTTGAAAGCGAACCTCGATAGTTTTCTCCGACGCCAGGCAAGTTCACCAGTTGCTTGATGCCGCACCGCTTGAGGACCGCCTCAGCACCGATCCCAGACCTCTCTAGAATGGTTGGCGAACCGAAAGCCCCAGCAGAGACAACCACGAGCTTTGATGCTCTCACCGTGCTCGATGACTGATCAGCGCCTGGGCAAGACACTGGATCGCTGGTGAACTCGACTCCTACGACACGATTGTCCCTGTCATTCGGGAAAGACGTCAGCAGTCGAGCACAATTGTGATCTAAGGTGCAACACTCACTCGAAGATCACGCGCTTCACACGCTTGCCGACCCATATTTGTAAATTCGGGTTGTGAGCTTGGTTGTAGACGTAGTGGTGGGCCGCATCGGAACGCCTTCCAGTTGTCCGGTCGATGTACCTTCTCATATATGAGCCTGATCTACCATACCAGACTACGAGCACAGGCTCACTTCTCCCATGGCTGAAACGAATCTTGTTAGTGGACTTCGCATGGACCGCACACGGGGAAGGAATATAAATGGCGCACACTGTATGTGTTGCATGTTTCTAAATCATTGGTGTCTTCGGCATATGGCCTCTTGTGATATGTCATGCCAACATTGATGAACTCTTCGCTGATACCCATTTTGCGCCCACCAGAGGACACCTTGATAGGTCCATCGTACCCGTGGGTTGGAAGATTGGGCTGCACCTCGTATGTCTCCAGCTAAGCAATGAATAGTTCAGCTTGAAAAAGATATGGATAATTAAATTGATGACCTTCTTCATGAGGGGAATCAAGCTCTTAGATTCCCAACCATCGACTCCCCAATCATCAAAATCTGAGGCAGGCGCACGAGTATATACCATAACTGCCTAAAGGATCAGATCCTACTAGCCATTGAGACAAAAACGCTACGAACAATTCACACTTGAGCCTCCACCAACGCAATGAGCGCACGGAACGATCGGAGCACGACCGTTGAGACGTGGAGTGGGATTTCCAACGTTGAATGTCAAGGTGGTACTCGTCCGTGCGTGATGAGTTGGATATTGGTAGGGCTGCACATGAGCAGCTTCATTGAGGGTGTGTTGACCGCCTTCGAGAATTAAGATCCTGAGCGAGGGATCCCATGCAGCCAGACGACCTGCAACAACGCAAGCTGTGGTACCGCCTGCGCCGTGATATAGAGCAATATGTGGAGAGAGTAAGCCATAGGCTACACACAAGATGTTATCACTTACCGCCAGCAAAAATGATATCGAATTCCGATAAGACTGGATGAGCCATTGATGGGTGCGTCAAGTAGGAAACCAATCGCTGGTGCATCTAAATTTATATCCCTCACTAAAGCGAACAATAAAGACAGTGGCCGCAGAGCGGCTAGCGTTAGTTCCAAGAGAAACATATTTTGATTTTGTTGCAGTAGTACCACTTGGCCAAGACCAGTTAAGATGTACATCCGACGAAATCATCCACGAGTAAATGTCAAAGTGTGTTCCAACTTCCGATAGAGAAAAAAACCTTGTTGTCAGCAGGCTTGACGGATTGTAACTCTGTTGTGGTAACCGCCATCGTAGCTTTCCGCCCATGCGACTGCAAATCGTGCGTCGGAGATATCTTCAAGCGACTGGCTAAGCAATTTGCCCAAATACCTTCTCCTGCACCTCCGTCCGCGCCAGAGCCAACTGTCGCTCTGTCGCCTCCTCCCGCATCTACATCACAGCCGATTGCAGCCGTCGCCGTGCCGCATACAGTACGTCCATCTGTGCCTGTGAGTGCGATAACTATCGCCCTGTCGCCTCCTGATTCTCCCTTAGCTGTTCGTCGGCCTCGTTGTTCAAAGCAGGCACCTGGAAAACGCTAGTTGGCACTGACTAGCCGGGAGTGCTGGGGCATCGACCAGATCCAAGAAGCTATAAACGAATGCATATGATTTGAAATTTGCGCACTTGGTTGACACATTCATAGCACAGAGAAAACACGTCCAAGAATTACTGTAATTCCGTGTACGGGGATGGTAGGCATACGCGGTGTACATTCACCAAATACAACAATTGTAGAGCTTCTTCTTCTGTTACTCGGGTCATGCAGCAGCACCAACCTCGTACAAGTAGGTACCCAGGACCTTCGTCTGTAATCGGACCGTCAATATCATCGACGTCCTCGTGACCAACCCACTCACCCCTTCAATGAAATTCGATCGGTCCAGCTTCTCGTTGGTCGAGCTGGGGAATATGTCAACGAGCAAATAGGGGCCATGAAAGATTTACGTACTGAGCTCCGTCATCTGCTCTGCCCATAGGCAGCAATAATACGTTTACGCCCAGGCTCTCCGCAAATGTCAGCGTCACGGGGATCGAGCCTCCCTCGCGCGTGTAGTCTGGTGTTTTCTTATACACAGCCTGAACGATTTGAAGATTATGACGTGGAAGAGAACCAGTGTTTCAGACGCACCTCGATAGCCTTCTTTGCAGCTTCAAAGTTCCAGTGCCTGACGTCTGCAACCCAAGGTTTACCGCCGTGTAGATACTCTACCTCCATCTTGTTCTTGCTGTTGAACTTTGCAAACTCGGCTTCAAGGTATGCATTGACAAGGGGTACGATCTTCTCCGGAGTTTGCGGGGGAACAAGGCTAGTAAGATCGATAAAACGATGACATACCACATATAATGAAGCGAAGCGAAGAGCCACCATCAGCGTGTAGAGTTAAATAAAGTTGGAAACGGAGTCACCGAATACTGAACTTCCCGCCAATTTTGGCAGGGATGACAGTTTTAGCACCGACCTCTGAGAATGCCCCCTGAATGCCGTGGAGGGACAGGGATGGCTGACGCATCCGGCCCATTAGCACGACAGTCTTTTCTGATGACAGTGCCACCTTTACGATCCAGTCAGATGCGAGCAATCACAAAAAGAATGTCCACTTTCCTTTCCACCAGCAGCCTCCTCAATATCTTCCGTCGTATAGTCCATCTTCTGGTAAAGCTTCCTATATAGAATAAGTCTAGATCCCAATGAAAAGTCTGAGCACGCGCAATTCCTCCTCATCGTGGGGTGGGACCATGTCGTCGATGCCAGGTATCAGAATATCGCCATTATGATCCACAAGCTTGCTCATGAGCTTGATCAAATCTGTCATGGGCTCGTGCACCGTCCTCCCAAATAACCCTGAATGGAGATCTTGACCAGGCCCAGTAACATTGATGCTGAAATACGCAATACCACGCAGCCCATACGTCAATGCAGGCGTTCGGGTGTTCAGCCAGTAGTTGTCGCTCTGTCTCGTGCATCAGCACATATCTCTACACTGGCAGGCAAAGATTACGCACGATGCACACGCAATCAACCCCGTCAAACCACCCGTCCTTCCCCTTCTTCACCTCCTCCTGGATACACTCATCCAGCCCCTCACTCCCATTCTCCTCCATACCCTCAAAGCAAAATCGCACATTCACAGGCATCGCAATCCCCAAGTTCTTATGTGCCTCTATGACATTCAACCAGCCCAAAATAGGGCCCTTATCATCTGTCGAGCCACGACCGATCAAGCGACCCGAGTCTTCATCCACCACAAGCGTGAACGGGTCCGTCTTCCAGCCGTCCGTCTTCAGCGCCTGGTTTCTGCAGTTCAGTACCATGGTCTTAACACACACACCGCTACAAAGGACTCACAGGCTGCACGTCGTAATGTCCATATATCAGCACTGTCTTCTTCGCAGGATCGCTCCCCAGGCGTCCGATGATGGCCGGGGGGAGCTGCAGCGTCTGCCCCTGCATCTCGTGCGTGCCGAGATCCATGAGTTTGGTCTCGACACCAAGCTCGTTCAACTGGCCGTTCAACCAGTTTCCCATCATAATGACGTCCTGGCGCCGACGAGCATCGCTGCTGATACTGTATGCACAGGAGTCTTGAATTAAATTGCAAGGTTGATTGGACGCGGCTGCGGAACCTACCTTTGAATAGCAACGGCATCGCCTAGACGCTTGATAACGTATCTGCGTGCGTGTCGATGTAGTTACTAAAGCTTGCTGGAGCTGGCATTGTTGTTGCTGATGAGGAGAGGTACTGTGTGTGCTACGATCTAGCTGGGTTACTGGTCCGATAAGATGAAGTGTGCACGCCAAGGATCCTACTTATGTCGCTCTGGGCTGCGGCCCGGATCTACGAATTCGAACTATTGATCAATCACCCACACCCCAAGTTAGTCGTCTATTTATTACATTGACGTTACCAGCATCGCACACCACTCCCTTCTCGTTCCTCTCGATATGTCCATCATCAGCAAATAAAATGCGAAACCAATAATTATCTGCAGGAAAAAGGTGGATAAAATGTTTTGAACAGAAGCAGCCTAAGACGCAAGTAAGGACATCGCCGTCGTGTGGTAGTGTATGTACTAGAAAAAAAAATCCAAAATCCTCGTTAACGTATGTATGTTATTTTTCTCCTAGCTTTCAGTCATCTGACCTGTATAGATATCACCTTGTATTGCTTCGTCGCAGTACGAAATCGAGTCGTCGTCAATAACTACATGAAGAGGGGAACAGAAAGGGAGACAGTCATGCAAGCATTCACACAGAGTGTACAAGCTCCACTGCGCGCTTGCAGACCTCGTCGATCCCCCACCGTTCGCCTAGTCCATGCTTCAGGTCCAGGATGCCGCCCACCTCATCGCATGCCCGTAGCACCATATCGATATCCTCCTTTGTGTGCGCTGCGCTGACACAGAACCGTACCCTACTGGTGACAAGAGGAGTGGCAGGGTACGCGACGACAACGACAACAATCGGCGTGCTCCGCGAACGCATCATGCGCGAGAACATGCTCATCTTGCCCGGATTGAATATGAGAAGGGGAACAATCGGGCTGAAGGGATGTCCGTAGGTGATAAAACCGAGTTTCTTGAGACCCTGATGGAGATACCGCGAGTTGAAGGCAAGACGGCGGATACGCATACGAGCTTCAGAACCGTCCGCGAGAGCCGGATGGAGGGTCATCCATGTTGGCAGCATGCTTGGAAGTGCCATTCCTGGGAGCTCCTCTGCACTGTCCCTCAGCGTGACGATGGAACTAGCAGGGCTGAGCGTGAGTGCGGACTTGGTCGACTGTGATGATGGAGCGACGCCCATAATGCTGACCATCGACGAGACGACCTGGATGAGAACGGGGGGCGCCATGGCTTCTGCATACGTTCCGGAGTGACCACGCAACCGGAGAGCATCAATAAGGATTTTAGGCCCTGCGATGTATCCGCCAGCAGCACCAAAGGACTTGGTGAAAGTGCCCATCAAGACATCAATAGAACGAGGAGGGATGTTAAAGTAATCTGTGACACCACGTCCACGGGGACCCTAGCGCACCGATTGAATGTGCCTCATCGACAAAGAGGAAGAACTTGAATAAAAAATATCAACATCATAATACAACACGTCAACTGCAGTACAGACCTTGTACTTCTGCTTCAGTTCAACAATTTTAGGCAGGTTCACGAGAGTGCCCTCCATGGAGTACAAACCTTCCACGATGACTAAAATCTTCTTCCACGGACGATGCGTCTTGGGCTGACCCTGGCTAATCACCTCGCGCAGCAGGGACTCGAGGCTTGACATATCATTATGTTTGAACATCCGGACCTGAGCATGACTATGGCGTACACCAACGCGGATACTAGCATGGTTGAATTCGTCGGAAATGACAAGAGATCCCTTTCCCACGAGTGCAGGGATAAAAGTAGAGTTGGTGGCGAATCCCATAGAGCTGATCAATGCATCTTCCATGCCGACAAAACGCGCAACAAGGGCTTCAGCAGACACATGGAGCTCACTGCTCCCACTCTCAAGACGCGTGCCACAAGTGGAGACGCCATATCGACGGATGCTTTCCTCAACTGCGTCTGCACAGCCACCACGGGCCTGGGCAAAGCCGAGGTAGTTATACGAAGAAATGTTCAGCGCGCGGGACTTGCTACCAGTGAATATCTGAGTGTGATTGTTATCCGTGGAATACCGGTCGAGGATAACAATAGTGCGTCCTGCAACACCGGTGACAGGCTGGGAAAAGCAGTCATCCATGCGACGCTTAAGCCGACGGGTGTAGAACGAATCAAAATCCGAGTTCAATGGCGCGTAACCCTGGGTACAAAGTGGATTAGATGGGAACATAGGAGCAAGGTTGAGGAAGAAAGAAGAATGCACACGTACATCATGGGGCATAAGGTGGGTGAAATAAGACTTGGTAAAACGCTTTCCGAAAAAGTCACGCATATGACCAAAACAGAGGAGAATAAGGTAACTAATATAGGTCGTGAGGAGGATATAATATGGAGGCTCCTCGATGGTGTGCTCTTGCACAGGTTTGGTGTAGTCATGCTGTGAGACGCAACGATATGCCTCGTTTGCACAGTGACCAAACTCCGTGTGAACGGTGGTAAAGACCTGTTCAGAGGTTGGGGGTGTAAAGGGGTACGCGAGACAATTGTTCTCGTCGTCCTCGTTGAGAACGGTGTCCTCAGATGATGCTGTGATAGAAGATGATAGTGAAAGTGCAGGGGTTGATGAAACAGAAGAATTGTCATGACTGCGAGCGCGCGTATCTGCTTGGTGAACAGCAGAAAGGTAGGACGCTGCGGTCGCCATTGACGACAACTGGCTAAGTGATTTTTTCTTTTTGAAGATGGATGGAGAACGTGATGGCGGATTCAACGCCATCGGTGAAGGCATTTTTCTTGTCCTGTTCGACAAATAAACCACAAGACAAGTAGTATGATGAGGAACGGGATAACACTTATATTGAACGACTTCAAAAGGGATGTTATAAAAACTTTGCTTATGTCAGAAATATACACGCCCCCCGCCCCTGAGTTTAGCTGATCGTCCGGTCTTCAGTAAGACATTCTGTGTAAAAAACCGGCCATTTCACCCTAATATCTAGTGCTCACTGTTGGGAACATTTTAAATTCGGCATCTGCTCTGATTGATGATGTGACGAATCACGTCGGCCGTAGTTATCACTACAGGACAAACCCTCCAACTGGACATTTAGCCATTACACCATCGACGAGCCAGCTTTCCGAATTCAACTGCGGCAGAGACTCGATGCGCGTGGTATACTACCACGCGTCGATTTCATCTTGATGGAGGATACTCAGGAATGACTATCGTCTTTCATCTATAAAGGTCTGGCTAATCGGGAGACTAGAGTAAGATTTTCAAGGCGATAAGTTATACGGCAGGAAACTTGTTCCCGATCGCCGCCACCGTCTTGCCTTGAAGTCTACTCCTGCATTTGTGCTCACAGAAGTATACAGGTCAACGTTACAAATTCTTTTGAGTACTCGGGGAAGCGATGGCTATAGCCCCTTTCTTCAGGTATGCCTCGTGTTTTCATGCAAAGGCCAATATTGATGATAAGCATTCGTAACCTCATCCCTCGGCACCATCTGGTCCCTTTTGTTGATGCTAGCGTCCCCGCCCTTCCTCGGCTTGATGCCTTCGGAATGTCCTCATCCCTTCTCGTCATCGCCCGACAGCAAGCGAGTCCATCGCGCTGCAAACAATGCCCGAAGCGTAGTCTTTTCGCGTAGCACACTGGTCCGTAGGCTAGCCTGTAACAGTTGCTGCTGGAAGATACAGGTAGGCACTGTGTTAGGTGTCCCTCGCTCTGCTATACACATAACTGAATCTTCAGAAGGTCTGCGTAGCGCCTCGCCCTCCGTGCAGTTGGAACCTGCAGGCAGCCACACTCAATCCCTTACAGTCTCAGCCTCAGGTCCAGACGGCGACACAACAAGCTGCTCAAGAAGTCAGTAGGGCAATTTGCCTCGTACTCTGGTGCATTCCATGCCGCACTCGCACAGCTGTCTCCGAGTCTTGGTGTAACTCTTTGAGATGTGATGTGCATTTAGACGAGCCATCAGACTCTGAAAGATATCAACGCTCGCTATTTTATCATTTTCGCTCCAGAGAATTCCGAGCTCCAAAGACTTACATACAGTGGTTGACATATGGCGAGTCGGCGTGAAAAAGCTCTCCGGCTCTAAAGCACGCTGCATCGAGTTGGGGCTAGACGCGTACAATAAAATTTTACAACGATTAATCAACAGCAAAAACCTAGCTGAAATACAAAAGAAAGATCAACTCGAAGTCCGTGATAGCATACTCAAAGATGTGCTGTTCTGGTTCCTCCCATTCCTTCTGTCACGAAATCCCTTCGGAGGAGAGTCATCGGTCCGACCCACCTCTTGGTCCGCATCTGACGGTCCTGTAGGAGTACGCAGCACCGCAGACGCCGTAGACCCAGCATCTGCTCCCTTGCCACTACCGTTCCTCACCCCGCGTCGGCTTGGGATGTCATCGCTGCCACGCTCGCCCGTCGTTCCAAATATTCGATTACGAGCTTCTTGATACTGAGCCTCACGCTCAGCAAGAGTGTTCCGCGTCTGTGAAGAGAGTGAGGTGGTGGAATTCGAGGCTGATTGGGAGGGAGAGGGCCGTTTCAGGATACGCATCGTCGGTTGGAAGGCAGCTGGGGGAGGGGGGACGACGCATGTCCCGGTGCTTGAGGGTGAGATGACCAGTTCTGGCATGGGCGCTTTGTTGTTTCTGCAACGTGCAGAGGAGTTAACGCTTGAGCTGACAGCTGAAGGAGAACGATAGACTCACGCGTCTTCCCAGACTTTGGCGTTATCTTCTTCCTCATCTTCATCGTTGTCCCAGTCGTCTGGGACGACTTGTTGGGGCTTCCGCTGTGATTTAGTTGCAGCACCTGCCAGTGGATACGGGCTCAGGCCAGCGTAATCCTGGAGGAGAAGCTCCGTCAGGTCTCATGGTCACCCGGTATCAAATATCATTACTTGCACTAGGCTGGTCCCAAACGTCTGCAGATGTGGATCCTTGAGAGCTGGTATCGATCATGTTCGTCTAGGCTCTAGGATTCAGGGATTCAACTCTATCGCGAAGCGTCTATGATTGTCAGTGGCTCTGCAAGCTCCGCTAATATTTGACAATCAAAGTCGATAACGTTGTGCCGAGCACGTGACCTACTTACTCCTAAGTATGTGAACGAGTGCAAGAGGGACGTTAGATCCAGACAATTGAATAACGAGCACGCATAATCGCAAAGCAGACCGTCAACTCGAATAGCTCGAGCTCTAATCTTATCTGAGTCCTGATACAAGACCTTACGAGACTTATCAACCACTTGAACCAGATAAGGAAAATCAAACATTTCGACGGAACTCGTGCTGTGTCAGTCGACATTGCTCAGCGCTCAACAGCATAGAATAACATTGCATGCAAGTACGAAATGATATGTAGATCAAGACAACAGCGAGAACAGCATAGACGCATACAATCAAAACCAAGACCTCAACGTGTCCGGCACGTACGAACATCCAATCATTCCTCATCGTCGTCGTGGTGCGCCCCAGGTCTGAACAACGCCAACAGGTCATCCATGCCGAGTTTCATATTCTTCATCTTCTCTCCACTCAACGCGGCTTTCGTAAGCTCGCGTTTCTTCTCTTGAAGCTATATAGTATCATCGCTCAATTTCAGCTTTAACCGTAAATACCACATGGCTTACCTCAAGGATCCGCTCTTCTACAGTCTCGGGAATAGTGAGCTTGAAGATATTAACGTCGCGTTTTTGCCCGAAGCGATGAGCGCGATCAAATGCTTGGTCCTATCCCTGCAGTTAATTTTGAATTCAAAAAAGTGAGCCTAGGACGGACTTCAAGGGCAGGGTTCCACCACATGTCAACGAGGACCACATTGTTGCAGCAGGTCAAGTTTAACCCTAGAGCGCAAAGGTTAGGGACTCGTCATCACTGTGAGTTTGAGAGGACGCACCAGTACTCCCGGCCTTGAATGAAATTAGGATACAGCGCGTGCTCTTGCTGTTACGGATTTTCTCTAATGATGCCTCACGTTTATCCTTGGTCATACTTCCATCATCTATATCGTGCCATCGTACCAAGTCAGAAACCTCAAGAGACGAGAAGCCAAAAGGACATACATCGAGCAAACTTGATCCCCTCCGCAGTCAAGAACGGTTCGATCAGATCCAACATGCTGGTGAACTGAGAAAAAACAATCGTTTTTTCAGCACTCTCGCTTCGTTCATCAATGTCACGAAGAATTTCCAGCAACTTGCGAATCTTTGCCGAATCCGGAGGTAAGTTGTGATCACGAGCGGTTGGTGCGGCCACAGACTTGCGTCGGGCCTTGGCAGCGATTTCGGTACAGTCGAGGCAGTGATCTGAGTCGGAGGAAGTAAGACTGCGCAAAGATGAGTTCAAATTCATACTGTATCTCAGCGAAGGCAACATACTCTGTCTGACATAATTGGCATTTCTTGCCGTTCGAGACACCCATCTGTCCTAAAAGCGTCGCAAGCTCGTCGGCATCTTCATCATCATCGTTCTTAGTGGGGCGAGGCTCAGCAGCCTCAGAGTCGATGCGGTAGTCCTTGTACACGAGGGACGGGTGGTTACAAGCTAGTGGATTTGGATTAGCATGTGATGCAAAGTCGGTACACGAGCCAACTCACCCTGCCTTAGCCTCAAAAGCATAAGCAACACGTGAGTATAATTCTTGGACGCTTCGTTGGCCTGAACAAGTTTATCAAGTTCATTTGTCATGCGTTGCGAGAGCGTATTGTAGAATGCTTGCTCGTCTGAATCGAATTTGCATTGAATAACAGACAAATGCCGTGGCGGAAGGGAGATGATAGGTTTTCCGTTAAGGACGAGATCTTTGGTACGTCGGAGCATGATAGATTGGAGAACGACCTGCATATGATGTCAAGTTGTAGGGCAAGTGAATAACTACACATGCGCAAAATGACGCACATGAAGTCGCTTAAGGGCACGTACTGGCCGCCCAGCCTTAATAGGCTGTGCGATCTGTTCGTTGAAGTTTTGCCAGTCGTTAAGCGGACGAACACGGAGAAATTTGAGGAGAGAGAACAGTTCATCCACTGTATTTTGCCTGAAAAGAAAGTTGTAGGACTGCTTTCACATGACACGGACTTGAACGCACATAGGGTGTGCCTGTAAGACACCAACGAAACTTCCCGTCCAGTTCGCAGCATGCAATAGCCGCTTTCGTGTTCCTGTTCTTGATGTTGTGTGCTTCATCTTTGTGTATATGTTAGATTATAATTGAGCCAACCCCGGTGGCGACGCACCAAGAACAATCCTAAACCATTTCACGCGGAATAATGCATCCTTGCCCTTTGCCCTTCCGAGTTTCTTCTTCGTGACGACCTCGTCAGAATCTGAGTCTGAGTCTGATTGGGATGCTGCCTTCTTGGATTTCGACTTGGACTTTGATTCGTCCTTTGCGGAAGGTGCAAAGGTCGCGTATTCAGAGGCGACAATGGAATACGAAGTAACTACAACGTGTGCAGCCTTGAGTTTCAGGGGGTCTGTGCTGCATTAAGTGTGACACCATTTAGAGGAGAAGGTATCCACCTGTGGTACGACTTTGCCCATGGTGCTCAATCACACGTAATCCCACAGCCATCTTCGCGATCTCGGAGGCCCATTGAGAGACGAGTGCAACTGGACAAACAACCCTAGAAATCATGAATTTAACAAACAAACATCAAAGATAATTGGACCTACAAAGTCGTGGCAGCCCAACCGTCTGCTTTGTCTGATTTTTTGGCACGACCATCAACGATTCGCGTCAGGGTCTGAATAGTCTTGCCAAGACTGCACAAAAAAAGCTTGACTACACGCGAATAGCAGTAGTACTGGCAGTCTTACCCCATATCATCTGCAAGAATTCCACCTCTCTTCTTCCCTGTTTCTTTATCACACATCCAAGTACGACCAAGGACCTGATGCGGGAGAAGTGTGATACCATCTTGAAAGCCCTCCACAATGGCTTCCTCCATGTCAATCTCGATGTCATGATCAGGGGTGATACTATCCTCTACGAGAGCGCGCAACGCCTTTTCAGTTTCGGTGGCGGACATCCTAGGTTCATAGACGTATGCTTCATGGGACATATCCACCGCCGAATTAAGGCTGGAAGACCCCGGAAGAATATCACGGTTCGAAGGAATGTGAATGGGTGCTGGGACTTGTGTGCGCTGCAGAGGAGGAACGGGAAGGGCTTGTTTCAAGGTGTCCATGACGAAGTTGTTACGAGCAGCCGGTGGGGGTTGAGCAGAGGATTGCGACTGGGTACTAGGAGGTCTACTTAACAGTAAAAAAATGTGAGCCACACGCCACAAAGGACAGTCGAGAAAAGCCAGTACGTACATGTCCTCGTTTTCTTCGTCAGAAGAGATTACGATCGTTGTTCGGCCTCTGTGTCGAGCTGCCGGTGCCACCGTTGAGGCTGCAGAAGATGTCGAAGAGCTTGAGGAACTTGAGATAGACTACGCAATATTGTGGTGAGTTAGAGCTGAAGTTAAACATGAGGACATACGATTACGCTTGGCGTTTCTGAAGTCTTTCCATTGATTGGTTTCTTGAACTCTGGGTATAAATTAGGGTCAAATGCCATCTGTTTGCGACTGGAAAGTTGCTCAAATGTTATTCAGAATCATAGACACGGCACATACAGGCGTTCCATTGTTATGGGTGATCGGGGTATGTGTTAGCTGAAGGTGTTTTGATGATCGCGGTTGAAGAAGACAACAACGCGTCGCACCTAATTGAACGTCACGTGGTCATTTACATACGTCCACAAGTTTGTTTGTACATGATTATATTTTGACCACAATAACCGCCTTTTGAACCGGTGGAGTCGGATCGTTTTCGTGCACCATGAGCTCGCATCGTGCACGCACGCGTTCCGATTATCTTTTCTTCCTCTCCTACCGAACTCGCTGGTGCAGTCCACTCCTCTGAATGATTTCATATATCCATGAAACTTAACCCATCTCAAGGACCGACAACGACCAATACTCACACGTCAACAATTCCGTCTACTACCACCTCTTTGATTCTGTAGTGAACACTTTTCTCATCCAACGATGTGGACTCACCTCCGACTCTGGTCAAATCGGGCTGGTGGTCTCGTCCCATTGCCAGGTGAGTACTAATGCCAAGCGGCTCTCCGCTCCGACCAGGTGACTACAACTTCGACCATAGTTTTTCTCTCCCCTGTCATTTCCTCAGGTTCTGGACCTCGGACTTCAAGTAGTGAAGCTCGGTTCAAGTTCCGTGACATATGAGGTTGCGGTGTTTGAGGAGGGAAAGGATGTACCCGCAGCTGTTGGAGGTTATACCCATGTCTTTGTGGAACGGGGATCCAGGAAGAGCATCCCCATGAATGAGCCCCTTCGGGAAGGTCTTTCAAGCCTGTTATCGGCCAATGAGAGCTTGGAATCTAAGCTTTGAAGTGCACTTCCATCAAATCATCATAGAATTCTCAAAATTTACAAATGAACGAAAAGGTGCTTTGACAAGCACACTTACCTGATTCGCTGATTTTCTAGTATGACGACTAGTCTGACCTCTGCAGCCCGTTCAAGTGCACATAAGGAGTTCACAACGTATTATAGGAGTCATGTACGTAAGTCAAACGTAAGTCGTCTACCTCTGTGTACTTTCATAACACTGATTCTATTGATATTAATACTACCACCATATCTCTGGTGCTCGTGCCCTCCATGACCGATGCTGATATATCGCTGTAGCGCTATGTCCCATGATTCGGAAGGCCTGCCGATATCTGGCTAGGCGTTATTTTATCTTTTAGCGAACGCTATTAACTATATATATGCAGTTCCTCTGTCCCTGTTCTGCGTTATCGTGCCATATCAGTAAACGCCGCAACTCAGTCGAGTAATTTCGACACGCTGACAAGGTATCAAATTTAAAATCAAGGTCTATCCCGAAACACGAGCTTCGTCTCAACGCGTGTGCAGTTTAGAAGGTTTGAGCTCTCGTCCACACACTTGACAGGGCCGTTCTCAACGTCTTTGCAAACTAGGCAGTACCAGCCAGTGCTCACTGGCACATCCCTCTGCAAGATGATTCGTAGATTGGTTTTCAGCGTGAACTACGTGACCTCACTTGCCTTCAACATTATGTATGAAGAAAATTCAAACTACAATCGTACATACTCGGTCTAGGATGAATAGAACATATTGACCAGAATTAGACTAGGTGCGCAACGGAAATCATCTTGACACATGTAATTATAATATCTCAACTAGGTCCTGATCATCTGATGGAGTCTAGCTATCATATTGCGAATAACTTAATCAGCTTGTCTTCTGTGGCGATAACCAGGTCATGAAGCCCATTTGCCTTGACTTCTTGAGTGAAACACATCTCTTCGCCCCAAACCCACGTACGGGGCGCGAGCCAATGGTTCATAATTATACCAATGTTATTTACGATCTTAGTACGCAGTAGTATATCGCATGTACTGTCTACATTGGGCGTTTCCCCAAGCAGACAATAAATTGGATTAAAAACATATCTCTTGGCGCCTAGACCAGGTACCCCATCAGTAAACTGGTGAGCCGCAGATATTAGTAGATATTGTGGTATTTTGTAAGCCCAATGAGCACTTCGGCTTACAAAATTATGGGAATATTAGTGACTCACCAGTTTACTGATGGGCCAGTGACAGGAAATGCAAGGCAAGGCAGATGGAGCCGGCGATGCGCAAAACAACCAGTGCTCAGGGACTCGAGCATATGGCATAATGCCAACTTTACAGCCCCGACACGCCGCAGCAAGCAGACCGGTTCCTGCGTCTCTTCAGCTGACAATGATGTGGCGTGAATGATAGAGTTTCATGTGAAGTGGTGTCGGCTGGCAGGCAGCTATTGAAGTCGGATGATTTGCCGACCCAGTTCAGGGCAGACTGCAATAATGTCACCTGATTGAGCGACGATCTCCTACAACGGCCGCCTGAGAGCGGTTTGCTTCTTTTCGCCATAAATTGCTGGTAGGAGGACGCCGAAGATGCCGAACTGCGAGTGTGCGATACTTTCTTGCAATGTGGTGACGCGTATCGACACACCTTAGAGTTCCTCTCAGGCACCTATCGTTCCTGGACGGAAGGCGAAAGGGGCCCGCGCATCTAGGTCCGTCGAATCGCAACGGACTGCTTGTGATTGGGAGAGCAGTCGTCAACATAAGGGACCAACCTTGAGAATGATTTTGAGAGCCAGGAATCCTTAAGTCATTCATCTTCGTGTATTTCAAACACTCTTTGCCAGCGGGCAAGACTTGGCCGAACATCGGACAGGTAGATGATCGTAAGCGCTGAGTGGCGATACCACACAAACATAGAATCTTGAAGCTTGACGTTGTTATTCTTGTCGATGTAGTATGTGTCTCTCTACGCCCATCGACACGCAGCGTCACGGGCAATTTTGCGGTGTGACTGCAACTTCACGATGTCATCAACTGGATTCAAGTTGTATACGATCTTGTCCAGTATGTCAGTGGTTCAAAACTGAGCATCAATGTCATCAAGTGAGATTAATTAAGAACCTTCGAGATTGTCACTGCAGACTGCTGCAAGCGGAGGATACAGAATAAACGCGAAGTTGATCTCGACTCTTGAGCTGCTTGGCAACCTCTATGATTGATGCCCGGAAGTTCGGAACTGCTCCCATGGTTCTGCCTGGGGTTCTGCCCACAACAAGTACTAGGACTCGGTAACCAACGTCATGATTAATTGGAAACCGCAGTAAGGCCAACTTGGCCAACTTGGAAAAAATGTTACGGGAGGTGCACTTCTTGATGCGCAGAGAGTGCGATCGCTATTGTTTTTGTCATTCTAGCAATCCCTAGGTAATCGAACTCAATCAACCCTTCGCCTTCCTTGAATATGACGATCAGCAGAAGCATGCAGCACTGCATGGTGCACAACGCTACGACGATGCTACCGAGTAATGCTTTCCGAAAATGCTCCCGGCATTCGAGTACGAGGTAGGTCTTCGACCACACATGCGTCAATATGATTGATTGTGTCTTCAGAGCTGCGCCAGCAGTATGTCTCTCCTTTGGAAGCAAAAAGTGCTATTTGGAAGGTGATTGGTGCTCAAATGAAAAACGCCCCACCTTGTTTCCATAGATAGGAAGGGCACTCGACTGGGATGTGTCCGGGAAGGAAATTTAGATATGAGAGCATTTGACTTTGCGGAACTGCAGCGTGTGGACAAGGGATTAGTCACTAGTGCCTGCAACAATGGAGGACGAAACTACGGTCACGGATCATGATACAAACGAAGATGGGACTCACAACACTACCGGCGAATCTAGGTTGATCGTCGCTAAGTATAGCTCATCAGCCTTGTCGCCAGCAGCGAGACAAAGTATCTGCACTCGCAAGCAAGGTTAACATTCCCATTGGCAACATGCAATGTTTTGTTGCTTAAAAGTTGAGTGAAATGCGAGTGAGAATTGTAACCAGAACAATCTTCAACTGGCACTTACCAGTACACCAACGGAGTTCATAATCTCATCACTCATATCACTGGTACGCCTCGATGGCTTCTCTAAATCCACCTGCAGAGGAGTGCACGGCAACGACCCGCTCGACCAATAGCAGGTGGCACGACTCAGGACTGCCTCGAACTTCGTGTGCGACGCTTTCCTTTGTACTTGGATTTAACACTTGCAAATCATTTCTTGTTGCATGGCAAGAAGTTCGCCAGATCGTGACGGCGAGTACCAGTCTTAGTTGACTGTTACTCCACAATTGATTAGACGTCCTTGCACTTGCCACATTTATGTGCTCCATGACTCGATACTCAGCTTCGCCATTTAGTCTGTTGACCTAGTGGCTAGGATTAAGCCGCATCTGATGAAAGGTTCATCGAGTCGATCTCCCATGAGTGAGTGTCAGTACTAGTAATGCGTTGTGTGAGAGTTTGCCAGTGTATTCGTCCCAGACGATTGGAGCTCTCCATCGACATCACTGTACAGTGAGTACTAGGATAACACTGCCACTAATCATCATTACCATTTTGTTTCAAATTCGACACTCGATATCTTCAAAGTCCCACAGACGAATAATCTTGTCTTCTAAGCCCATCACTACATGTCGATATCTATCGGGGAAAACTGTCCGTACTGATTCTACCATCCTCTTGCGGTAGGGGTTGGAGTCTCATTTTCCAGAGCCTAGGCCCTAGGCTGCCAGTACCAGTGCGAGGCTGAGCTGCATTACGACCTCTGAATTGATTTCTCGTAACGCTCTCGGCGTTAGACATCCAATTTGCCAAGATGCTGTTACGCCATTCTTGCATTTATGTAAAAGAAACTTCCTGTGCCTCCATATCAGTGGTATCGTAAGGTGTTCAGTAACAGTTCATCCGCAGAGCTCATTAGTAACGAGATCAAAAAGCCTTCTCGGAATGTGGTCGGTTATATCTTATTACGCTGCAGTTCACCGTCCCGTCTCGTACGTACATCTAAGAGTACTTATCAGTGCTGCAATAACTTTCACAGTCATGCAGCATATCGTGACTGTGCAGCTTATCCGACCAGTCGCATGTACGGAACGTTCCTCGGTCTTCTCGCCTAGAACTAGAATGGAAGATGAAGCTGACATGCCCAATCAACGTTTCAACGTTGACATTACAACTCCCAAGTGTTACAGTGCACACTGCATCGAATTCGAGTCTTGCTTCTCGGCATCCGCTTATATATTATTGACTAGTCCAAGATATCTGTTTTGTCTTCGTGAGAGTAGGCATCATAAAAAACGTTCTAGTACTGTATGTAAATAATCATCACATCAATTACGCCCAAGTCCAAGAAAGCAGTGCCCCTTCCCAAGAACCATTATCATGCACTCGCATGCCCAAGAGAGGTGATCATAAATCCCAAAAGAAATAGGGTGGTAGGTATCTCGCTAATTGCGTCCACATGAAACGGGCGCAGGCGTATTTTTAGATAGCAATACACTGGAGGATCAGCGCTCAGCATCAAACCTTCTTGCCGAAATCAAAGATGACCCCTAATGGTATTAGGCTGTACGACCAAGGAGACTGCGGAATATAGATTTGAACCCTGATAGCGCACCGACAGCCCGCGGTGATTTCGAAGTCGGAGGAGTTGGAGAATGCGGTGCGATGGGTGAAGCTGGTGCCGTCTGTGGGCGTGGGCGTGGGCGCTTCAAGCGAGCCGTGGATCTCGAGGTAGGGATGGAGACAGGGACGGGGATGGGAACAGCCAGGGAAGAGGGTTGTACGTGAGGTTTGTGAAGCATCGGAGAGATTTCTTTAGTGCGAGGTGGAGGAGCAGGTTGGTGAGGCAGCGGTGACCGTGACCATAGGAACTGTCCACATAGGATGAAGATTAGGATCTGGTGCTTGGTTGCAGCCGTAAAGCGAGCTTGGCGCATTTCTAGTCTCTAGAGCAGCAGGTGCAGAGCCTGATGTGGCATATGAAGAGAATGACGCGTAGGAAGTGACGGTGCAAAAAGAAGATGAGGATTCTTGTAGTTCTTGATCACGTGAGGTATTAGGGAGGTCGACGGAAGTTTTGGGTGCATATCTTGAGTTGTCTTGCTGGTCGCTGTCAGCGTCACTGCTCCACTGTGCTACTATGCTCTGCTTCAGATTCGACGGGACTTTAGGGTGGGAATACTCTGCGCCACGAGAAGCGGTTTGGAGGCTTGGAGCATTGATAGAAGTAGCGCCAGTGTCCCGTGATCCCATTGTCGTGCTACTGCCATCAGTCAAGCTCGAAGTAGAGTTTCCCGCACTTGAGGATACACTGGAAGAAGACATGATAGGGGGAGGAGGTAACAGGGTAATAGTAGTTGCGCTACCTGTGAGGCTACTTAATGCGCTATCTGTCCCGCACCGGGAATCAGGTTTAGGCATCCGTTGCTGTGTGTCATTCCTCATGGGAGACTTCAAGTCAAGGCTTGGAGCAATGCCAGAAGCCGACTTGGGTCGCTTGTGAAAGGAGGGGGAGGGAATGAACTGGAACGTCATTCGACGGCTTCGGCGATTATTCTCCTTTTCGTTATCTCCTATCTCTTCGGTCTGCGGAATATTTTCCTGGAGCGTCATATCCAATGTGGAAACATTTGGCGTGTTCTGTTTTGCACTACCCCTGAAGAACGGCGAAGGAGGGCGAGGTATCCAGGGTAATGACGGGGAAGCCAATCGTGCAGGTGGTACCTGAACAGATTGTGTTCGAGATTTGGTAAGTTTCCTGCGAGGTCTGGGTTGTGCCTCGGCTGAAGAAGTGCCTGGCGCCTTCGAGTCCATTTTCGATTCAGATGCGGCCCGCTCAGTGGATATGTCACCGGAGACAAGTTCTCCACGGTCATGGGATGAGTCGGAAAACCGGCTGTCAAGCATGGGGGTAGAGGAAACTTCGTTGGCTTCCAGAATCCTGACCACTCGAGTACGTTCCTGTGGTGCAGTGCGTTCTGCTGCGGCGTCCGCCATTACCGGTTCGCGGGAAGGTGCATTGAATTTCTTTAATTTCTTCCTTCTCGAGCTCGCCCTTCTGAGTACTCCGTCATCTTCCGTCACAGAGATTTGTCTCTGACGAGGGCTGTGACCGTCATCCATATCGAAAAACACGGTATCCCCACTTGCCCCGCTCATTTGCGAAAGGCGATTCACAGCATCCACGAGACTGATGCGTGAATGACGCTGGGAAGGGGTGGGATAAGACTTCCTCCGGCGCGGTGTTACATCGGCATTTTCTGCCTCGTTCTCGGATGATAATGAAAAGAAGGTGCTGATCGAACTTTTCTCGGACAATGCGGGTTCCCGAGAACCCGGGGGGAGAGATGTATGGGAGACTCGTGACGACGGCAGCGAGGCACGCCTGGAAGGCCTATTTCCGGGTGGGTGAATGGAAGGAGAAGGACCGGAGGCCTCAGAGTCGGAGACTATGATATGAGGTAGAGAATTTACACCTTCCTTGCCCATGCCCTCGGTGACCGGTGAGCCAGATGTGGCCGGATATACCGTGTTTATCATTGTGCTGGTGCATTTTCGTCTGCGGTATTCCCTGGCACTCAGGGGCATCACGACTGGTTGTGACGACATCGATTGCCTGGAAAAGCGGGGCGTAGACGCAGGACCAAATGGAGTAGATGACATCCAGTTATCATTCGGATTTCGGGACACTGAGGGCTTTTGGGAGGTTGGGCGAGCAGCACTCGGTGAGTAGGCTTGTGGGACATGAGCTGGCAGGGGAACTGTTTGGCATGGAAAAGATGCTGAGCGACTATGCCCGAATGGTGCTTGGGTAGGAGGTGGCGTCGCTGGTTCATCCTTGGCCTGCCGTCGGAAGAGACTAAGTGTAGGAATGGCGCTAGTGCTCTTGGGTAGTCCCGTTGTGGGAGCACGGTGCGCGTGCGAGGAGTAGGAAGATGAGCTGGCAGAATAAGAACCAGTATGAGAAATGACAGATGGGGGTGGCGAGCGCGAATACGGGCGAGCGTCTAGGCCGAGGGTAGGAATAGCGCCAACGCTCTTTGACGGTCCAGCTAAGGGTCCGGGGGCGCGGTGGGCATGCGAAGAGGTGGTCGCAGAAATAGAACCAGTGTGAGAGAAGATAGATGACGGCTGCGAGCGCGAATATGGACCGAAGTCTATGCTCAAAGCACTTGGGCATTGTGACTGACTTGACTCTAAAGATACGATGGATGTATTACTAGAGAATGCTGGCCCGGCAAGAGGAGAAGAGCGTAATGGACGAGAAGCATGGAGAGATGTTGGATATCCTACGAGTGCAGGTGTAGTACTTAATGGTTGTCCTGCGCGTTCGCGCAATGCGGCAGGGCGATGTACCACCGCCACGGCCTCAGGCTATAATAGAGAAGGTAAGATACGACAAGGAGACACGCCGGGTAAGAAACTCACCTGCAGCACGCAGGGTTGGGACATGGCAACTTGGGAAAAGTCGCGAGGGGGAAATAGGTGTACATATAGGAAAAGCCAATTCTGACGCGGGTTAGGATCAAACCGAGACTCGTTGCCTCGAGGCCATTTCGAGGCACATCATGATGTGATGGTAAATGGCGATTAGCAGAATAATAAATTTAGCCAAGACTAATTATAATAATTCCGACAAGTGGCAATAATAGAACGACAGTACACATGTGGGCACTGCCCGAGGGCACCGGTATCTTAATCGTTTGATTCAGACCATAAAGCACGGATCTCTTGTCAGCACAGTGTGATTTTTTGATATACGTAAAGCATGTTATCAGTGGTGCGTGGGCTTTTTCCCGTCTACAAACATGTTCCGTGTAGCACTGGGCAGTGTCGCTGTCATTTCGTCAAGCTCGCGAGTTATTTGCACCTGACACCCAAGTCGACTCGTGTCAGTTAAACCGAACGCCATGTCAAGCATGTCATTTTCATCATCAGATGGCTCGGGGAGCAGATCATAATGCTCGGGCGAGAGAATAACATGACATGTCGAACAGGCAACTGACCCTTCACATGCGCCTAATGATTCAACCAAATCAGTTCAGCTGATCAAATGATGTCAAATGAAGCACTACACCTTCTAGGTCAATGTCGTGCTCATGCGCAAGTGATAGGATGTCATCTCCCTCGTTCGCTTCGATGGTCTTCAACAAATTACCCTTCGAATCTTTGAAATGCAATTTAATTCTGAAGCAGGGTCAGGTCAACTCGGGACACTTTGCCGGTATGCTGCGTACCCAGTGCCGGGATCTGGTCTGGTCACATTCCCATGACGCTGTACTTGACGAATTGTGGTCGGTTTAATATTCCAACATCACAAGGTGAGATACGCACTCTGCGAGCCGTGTAGCCATCTCCGCAAGCTGGGACTCCCTAAATTTTGGCTATTTGACCGTGTCCAGTAGTCCAATGGGTGTATTGAACGATCGCGGATAATAGCAGACATCCGCATACAGCGGAGAATGCGGGAGGACATGATGAGGGACTCACGAGAAGGGAGGCGTGGACAGAATATTGGCAGCAGCAAGCGGAATGGTAAACGGTAAATTACATAAGCTGACAGCGTGCTAGCCCGAGGCTGGCCGCCACCTTCCAGAGTTCGTCCAGCACCCCTCCACACACAATGCATGACATCTGTCATTTGGTAGGTTGATGCTGAGTAGTATAAATGTGAATCTCATGCAATGGGCTGTACCACAGGATAGCGACTGGTTTGCCAATGCACTCGCCATCTTTCTTATCATTGGTCTTGTCGTATCCTATATCCCGCAGGTAATGTGCACAATATGCAGAACAGTAAACATCTGACTCTTGTGGAATAGCATTTCCGAATAATTCAGATGGGTTCTTCCGAGGGCTTTAGCCCGTGGTTCTTGTTACTTGGTAGCACGTCTTCTGCCGCGGGAATGCTTAACGTGTGAGCCACCCGTCGGTATCGATCATTGCCCTTCCTGATGAATTGTCTAACAGGATCGCACTATCCTGGCCTACTATTCAGTGCTGTAATGATGCGGTGCGTTTCGTGGTGATATTGCTCGCTTGACGCCACTGAGAGCCTACGATATCAGAGCGTGGGGAGATGCCTAGAAATTACTGCTGGAGTAACACAAGTGACCTTGCAGTGGGTTTTATTCACGCTTATGTATGATCACCTCTTCCAGTCTGGCAGTTTAACTAATATCAAACGCAGCCTGGTTTTGTACATGATCTACTATCCCACCCGGTTGAAATTCGTTGATATTGACATCCCTGCGCACGGCACTCTCCCTCCTCAACATGTCAAGACAAAGCTTTTGAGTGATGATTGGCGTCTTTCTGTAGGCGTCTCGTGGGCTGTCACCATCCATCTGTTTGAGTGACCTATTTTACTTTCTGGCTCCTGTATTCTGACGTGTGTTCTGAAGTGTCCTGTTTACCATCGTCACATTTTTCCTTCTGTTCACGCGCATCCCAGGGCCTGACGGAGAGGTTCCACGTCAAATTTCCTTGTGGGCGACCTTTCTCGGCGTCAGCTCTGCATTACTCGCAGCAATTCAATATGCGCCACAGCTGTCGCGGACTTATCGTTTGAAGCTTGTCGGTGCGCTCAGTATCCCATGATGATATTACAGAGTCCTGGAGCAGCTATAATGTCCATATCTATTGCGCTTCGGTGAGCAACTAGATTCGCCGCATTCGACGTTGGACTCATGTATATGCAAGCCCTGGCACTAACTGGACAAGTGCGTTTGCATTTCTTGCTCTTACTGCCATATTAATAATATGTGTCAAAGGTTGGGCGATGTTCGCTGTGTCCGGCATCATGCAAACCGCCTTACTGGTTATGTGCATTGCATGGAAGTTCCGTCAGCGTAGGCTCAGGATTGATGACTTTGGTTACTCACTGGATAGCGCCTCGTCCACTCCATTGACAGACGATATTGACACCGTCGTTGGCGAAGTTTCAGATCCCCAAGTTGGCGACATTTCTTTCGCCAACAATGCGGAAGACGCCCGTGAAGATGCGCCGCTTCTGGCGAAACCAAGACGTTCGGGCAGGAGTTCCAAGTTCTTTGGCTGGCTGAGGTTATAAGTAGATATCGGGTTTGGGGACTTTTTGTTGTTTCTCGTTAATACATAGAACCTGAGCTCTGGGCAACTATAGTATACCCGTTGGACCTACCTGAAGACTTAGTATCGTAATGACATTGACATTGCCTTGACACTATGAATCTCAAAAAGGCAACTCTACTTTCGCGCAGTTTCGCGCCTCTCATCCACCATGGCCAGCTTGATCGCGATTCTCGACTTGAAGGGGAAGCCTCTAATACAGCGCTCGTACAAGGACGATGTACCATCGTCGTATATCGAGCGCTTCTTACCGCTTGTATTAGACATCGAAGAAGAGGGACAACAAGTAACGCCATGCTTCTCAAGTCAAGGTATCAATTACATGCACATTCGACACTCCAATCTTTACAGTGCGTCTTGACGTGTCTTGTGGCCGAACCGCCTCCCTGATGCTTTACGCTGCAGTCTTGGCTTTATCGAAGCGCAACTCAAATGCCGCTGAGATCATCATATTCCTCCATCGATTGACTCAAGTCTTGATTGAATACTTCAAGGAGCTCGAGGAGGAGTCTATCAGAGACAACTTTGTTATTATATATGAGCTGATGGATGAGATGATGGACTTTGGGTTCCCGCAGACGACAGAAAGTAAGATATTACAAGAGTACGTATGAGACTTGCTCGTATGTGTTGAGTGCTAACTGCTGCGTTAGGTACATCACTCAGGAGTCGCACAAGCTTGAGATCCAAGCAAGGCCTCCCATGGCTGTCACGAATGCTGTTTCATGGAGAACAGAGGGTATAAGGTATAGGAAGAATGAAGTGTTCCTGGACGTTATTGAGAGCGTGAACCTCTTGGTGAGTACTGTTCACTGTGCGCCGAGGCTCGATATAAATTGCATACATAGGTCAATTCAAACGGCAACGTGGTCCGGTCTGAAATATTAGGTGCTGTCAAAATGAAGTGTTACCTGTCTGGTATGCCTGAACTGCGACTCGGGCTGAACGACAAGGTCATGTTTGAAAGCACTGGTAGAAGTATGCTATGATTTCCCTATACTCCTCCCCTTGTCCCTGACATATCATTTTACGATAGCTGCTCGGGGCAAAGCTATCGAAATGGAGGACGTCAAGTTCCACCAGTGCGTTCGGCTCTCCAGGTTCGAAAATGACCGCACAATATCGTTCATACCTCCAGACGGCGAGTTCGAACTCATGTCTTACCGATTGTCGACCCCCGTCAAACCTCTTATTTGGGTGGAAGCTGCTGTGGAAAGCCACAAAGGGAGCCGCGTGGAATATATGGTAAAATGCAAAGCACAATTCAAGCGCAGAAGCTCTGCGAATAATGTTGAGATCTATGTGCCTGTCCCGGATGATGCAGATAGCCCGAAATTCAGAGTTTGTTACCTGGATCATCTAGATAACTCCAAGCTGACGCGGTCTGCTGTCTAGGCATCTACAGGGAGTGTGCAGTATGCTCCTGATAAGTCTGCATTCGTCTGGAAGATCAAGCAGCTCGGAGGTGGCCGGGAATATCTAATGCGTGCTCATTTCGGTCTTCCTAGCGTTAAAAGCGGTGAGTAGATTTGACCTTGTGTATTCGCTTTACTGATTAATACAGTAGAACAAGACATGGAGAAGCGTGCGCCCATCAGTGTGAAGTTTGAGATCCCCTATTTCACGGTGTCCGGTATCCAAGTTCGCTATCTGAAGATTGTAGAAAAGAGCGGATATCAAGCCCTGCCTTGGGTCAGGTATATAACCCAGAATGGCGATGATTATAGGTGAGGAGCATGCATTTGTCTCTACTTGTGTGATGTTGACTTAAACCGTCCCAGCCTTCGAACTGCTCTTGAGAAAGGGAGTACGCCTATTGTACAACAGATGTGAACGTATTGTATTATATCCGGCTCTATTGATGCTTCGATTGGGACGTTGATTTAGAAATCCTCAGGTTGGATCAAATTTCTCTGAGTTGTTTCTAAACGTGCGATCCTCGTCAATTGTGGTGCCCTATAGACGCACGAATCATGTACAGGCTTCCGTGATGAATGATAGTACGTTCCCAATTTCTCGTTCATCAAAGGTCGGCCGCGTCAACACTGGGTAGTGGACTTCCGAATTTGTGCGATGATCGTGAATTGTTTTTGCAGGCTCTTTTGTACGAACGACACTCAAGAACACGTTTGTACAGCGAGTAAGTATCAGAACAGCATAATGCAAGACTAACGACAATTTGGGTGTGATACATCAACGAAGTTATAGATAGAGGAGGAAATCATTGGAAGTTATAGGAACGATGAGATTGAGCTCACGAGTCGAAGGTTATACAAGTCTAGCTTGACACCTCGAGTGACAGTGACAGAGTAAAAGGCAACACTTGGTCCAGATCTACTTTCGCGCCATCCTATAACACGATATTTCAGCGAATGACATTAACCATAATTCAGATCACACAAACTTCACAGCACGACGGGAAGAAGACAAGGCATTATACGCCCACATAATCCTCGAAATTTTCCGCACGTGACGCGAGAGGGCTAGCTTCTCCCAGTTGCCGGCGCAGAACATGCGATTGACCGCGAAAAGCTTTGCATATGTCATCCTCCAGCCGGCAAGTGATCAGGAATCGGAGGTTTCTGGGAAGCTCGGCGCCTTTGTCGACAAGGACGCTCAACACTTCCTTCCTTGCAGCTTCATTCCCTCCCAGCTCCAGACCGTCAATAATTACCAGGAATGGTCCGTTCCAAATGACATCTCTAGAGGGAGCGAGGATAAATTCCTCAAACTGCGTCCTCGCCACCCGTGTCTTCCGCAGACTCGTCTCGTTTCCTACGGCCCTCCAGAGATTCTGCTTGAACTGAGCATTATGATCCGCCAGATCACGGGCGATTGTCGAGAATAGGTTTGTGTAACTCCGGGTGTCGTTGTGCCTGGTACCCCGAAAGCAATACGAGGAACCAAGGCGCGACGCGAACTGAAATTGTTCTCCAATCTGTAGCGCGATGGAGCTGCACAACTCTTCAGGCCCGGACAAGAGGCAGATCCTCTCTGATTCCTTGCTGTCCCCAATAACCCAGCTCTGTAGGGATGTTATGAGATCAGATGGGGGTGCCGCACTGTTGGCCGGTAGATGAACGGCGTATGATGCTGCACATCTGGCATCTACGGCGTAAGACATTTCACGAAAATCTGCTTTTGCGCCTGTTTGAAACGGAATGAGGACGGACGCAGGGAAAAAATAGGATGACTCACCAAGATCTGCAACATCTTCTAAGATTTTCAGTACAGTGAGCTGTGTGGAGACAGCCATATAGCACTGAAAATTGCGCTGCAGGTCTATGAATGCATTTTCGAATGCTTTGATCTGAGCTTCCATGTTCAACACTGAATTCTTAATCGCTTGCGCAACTTTGTAAATGGCGTCTGGCATCAGTCAGAACTCTATTATACTTGGAAGACTCACAGCTGCCTCGAGTATCCAAATAATCACGGATGAAGAACGCGCATTCGATTGTTTGCTGCATAATTGCTTCGAGAACGTTTTTTTGTTTATGCAGATACGGGAGAGCATTAACGGTCATAACAAGATCGTAAGTGTCTTGCATAGTCCGCATCAGCCGAATTATGCCGTATTCGCAAGCGATTTTTTGCCTGATAACCTAATAGCGATGATTTTATACCACATGAGCATGAAAATGGTGCGCCCAAACCTCGTATCCTGTTGCCAGTATTGCATATGCAATCCTTGCGTAGGGGTGAAGCTAAAAAAAGAGAGTCAAGCTAGTTCTTCCGGGTGTGAAAGATGTGGCACACCTTAGCCAATCTTTCAGCCACCGAAACAAAGATACTGATTTTCACCAGAAGAGGGTAAAGGTGTTCATCGCCACCAGTGTCTTTGCTAGCCCGAGAAATTGCATGTTCAATGATTCTCTTATCTTGATCATAGTCTCTTGGTTGATTTGGTTGGACATGTAGATCCGCAGTACGGTTAACGGCGGCAGAAAGCTCCTGCGTGAAAAAACTCAAAGACCTTGTAAATGACATAGCACCAGCTCGTGCTGCCCTGAAAGACAAAGTGGGGATTCCGTCTATGCGCACGGATGCTGCAGACGATAGAAGAGGACGTCTAATCACTGTTGGCAGATTCGTCATTAAATCAATGTCCTCGTCACTGGAGGATAACACTGACAGCTGTGTTGTTGCAGAAGTTCATCGACGTCGAAAATAGCGATACCAATAGGAATTGGCTCGCTATCTTTTCCGTCATAGCCGAGAACGCGAAACACAAGTCGTGATGTTTGAGAAACGTTACTGGGATGCCTAAATTATTGCGCAACGATACAACATGGGAGGACTTACAACGTGAATGTTGTATCCCATATTAAGGATTTCTCCCCCTGGTGTCCTTGAGATGTGATGTTCTGAGACCCTCCGCTACCCGCCGCGTGAACTTCGAGGAAGAATCGATCATCCCAAGACAGCTTTCCGAATTTAGGAACACGGTCGATGTCCAGGATAACGGCTTTGAATGCACCATTAGCGACAGTGGAAAACATTATTGTCAATCGAGATGTACCGGAAATATCCAATGCATCGATCTGCTTTGTACCCAGTACGTCAGTTTGCTCGACCGTCGAATTGTCAGTTTCTTCAATGTGATTATTACCAGCGGTAGACGCATCCGAAGTCTGAGAGACCTTGAATTCCGTCTGGATTTTTGTGCCTCCACACTCAAGAGTCTTACGAACAACTGCGGAGGTTGTGAGTAGGCTACACAAAGGCCCATAGATAACCTACCACCGTTGGGTGCAGCGAGCCATTCCTTCACGAAACCTTCCACCACAGCTATCGGCTTGTTTTTATGGAGCCAGCGTGCTGCAAAAATTTGCAGTGAAGCATGCGAGTCGAGTTGGAATGGACTATTGACAAACGCATCAAACAGACGCATATGCGCAGCATCAATCGACCTACAAATCATATCCGTCTGTCCATCTGGAGCGTCCTTGATTACTGGACTTTGAGGGGCTTTCCCAGATAGTGTCGTCTATAGCCACTTGAACACGGAATGTATCATGGTGGACGGAGGGCAAATCTTGCAGGTCGATGTCTGCGGGAATGATTTGAGAAATAGCGCCAATAAGGGATGCTTGACTGCTCACAAGAAATAGATAGCTTGTTGATGGTTGAGGATTGGATTTGGGCAATCTAAAGTGAATCTCGATCTCTTGGCCGTGTGATCCATACAAACTGACAGCGCGCTTGATGGCTAAAATGCATTAAATATGTTGAAGGGGAAGTAGTAAACCTCACTTACGACCTGGACATTTCAAGAGTCTTTCGACGGTGTCCTCAAAGCTACCAATCCGTCGTGACTGTCGCATATCGCAGGCATCGATGTTAAATGTAACTTTGGAGGACTCTTCAACTTTGCTTGTTGAGGGTACCGCGTACTGTTAATTCCCACAGAAATCACAGTTAATGACGACTCACAAGCGGTGTGTATTGTCCCACTTGTAGGATCGTAGTGCCCAGCCTGTTGTCTGCAGTTGGTTGCAAACACTGATACGCACGCTGAAAAAGTCGTCCCAAGAAGACCTCCCAACTTTCGGTAGTTTCCCACGCAGAGAGATATCTGCATAGTGGTGAACCTTCCGGGTCGACGGCTATCATATATAGAGAAATGCGAACCAAATATCTCTATCTCTAGAATATTCGAGCGCGATTGGCTAATGAGACAAATCAGCTATTCAATATCACGATTCAAAGTATAAAGATGAAACTTGCCGATCACTACGCAAAGATTTACTACGGTCGAGATGCCTGGGGATCGGCGTGAATAAACTGCATGTGATTCGTCAGTCAAAAATGGCAACGTACGATGAAGATTTAGCATCATCATAGCTGTTCATCATTTTTTAACAGTGCGATCGTGACCTGCTCTCAGCTTCAATTTCAATGAGCCAGAACATCTGGCGACGAGATATCATACCGTGAGTATAAAGTGGATGCAACAACAAGAGTCGAATCTGAATGGCATTGTAGAAAACTAGAAGCTAAATCAGCGCTGGTATATATACCAGTGTCTTATCCTGAGTCGGACCTTTCTCTACTTTCCTCGAATACATCGGATGTGACAGAAGCTCGATAAATTGGAGTACGTACTAATGGAGGGATAACCCTTGCTGCTGGAGTCAGCTGGACACATGCAGCGCTCGCGGAAGCAATACCTATCGGGTAGCCAGGCTATCCGAGATATCGATTCGGCGTTCGATGTGGTAGTATAATAATTTCAGAGTCAGTGGGCCAAACATGGACCGAAACGAGGATGAACACCTGGCAAGTCATCAGTGAGTTATACAATATTAAGTTAGGCCAGGTCTCAATGATGACAATTGCCCTTGCCCAGGGCACGGGTTCGATTCTGAGAAAAACGTTTGATGCTTCTAAGAATCCAAGTAGCGCCTGTGACAGTGGAAACCGCCTTGAACGGTAGTGACAAGCGCCACTTCAACCAATTAATCTCTCGGAACCAGCCGCGGCATGTTCCGCTTTCTTGAAGTCCTGGTCCTTGGGCGCATAAAGACACTCGCAGCTAGCGTCTGTCCCCCTCCATGAGAATAGGCTTTTTTTTCCAGCATGCCCCTTTCCTATCGCATCCTCACATCAAGGGACAGTGTATGTGATTCTCCGCATTTCACACGGAAAACTGCCATATATGCAAGTTAGAATCGGAATTTATTTTCAAAGCATAATGGATTGCGTTGTTAGTATGGTGCGATTATAACACGTTGTATTGGCATTGTACCTTGCAATGGCATGGCGTGATGAAGGAGATACAATACTCATGACAGGGAGTAAATTTCGAACGTCCACAATATTTTGAATACCCCTCTTAGGACAATCTAATGATTTTTTTCTGCGGCAGTGAGTTCCCCTTTTGTGCTGACGTCCTATAGCGCACAATCTTGAGGCGCCCTAACAGTTTTAGCAAGTCAGGGTTCACATTAATCACACAAGCGCGCAACAGCATTACATAGATTATTCCCGAACTCCACGCCTCATGCAGTGATTCTATCAGCATGCCTCAAAACCAGTGCTTCTTCACATTCTTCCAGACGCCCTGCAAGGCGCAACCAAAGGCGCCGAAGTGATACATCTTGCCTGGCCCTCATGGAAGAAGATTGTACCTGCGGAATGTTATTGATTGCTTTCACAGGCCCCACCTCGGGGAACATGGCGAATTTAATTACCGGATACCCCGGAATTCCGCTCCTCACAAAGTTGAGAACATGAGCCTCTCGGCCGGAGTTCTTCATTAACGGATCAAGATCTTTGAATGGTGTGTATCAAAAGTAGATACGCAATTGAAATACTTCAGCCCACAGAGGGTTTGAAGTTTGAAATCGGAGGAATTGTGGCAGAGATCATTCGGATGCTGATACGCTGTCCAGTTTGGTACTGGTGCTATTGGTTCGGCACCACAGCGTGTCCTATCTTGATAGAAATTACAATGCGGTTCCATGCTTGTAGCTCACGAGTGATAGAATGTGGGTCGATAAGGTTAAATATTGCTCCACCGGTTACGCCGTGCAGCCTTCCAGAAATGAGTTGGTTTCAGGGAACAAGGGGAAAGGCTCATCATCAGTCGACCGAATATTAAAGCCCTTGAATTTGAAAGTGAGACCTCGAACTATGTAGTAGTCAAAATCAAACTGTAATTGATCGAAACCGCATCCATCTGTGAGGGCAAAATCTGGCAAAGTACGCAAAGTTGACGGGGCGGCCGAGAACATTATGATAATCAATGTCGATCCCCGGTCAGTGGAAAAATGATCTTTAGCTTGAGCATTATGCACCACCTCCTCATTGCATAGTAAGTGTTGAATATTAATGCTGAGCGCCGCTCGAACCTTCCGAGTGAAGTTCTGCAGTCGGATTTCCTTTGCGAAGTGAGCGTCTATACCGGTTGTTTGTTCGTGTTGAAAATACACCCGTACGTCTATGCGGCTCTCACGCAATCAAAAAGTCTGCGCCACTAGATCTGAATCTCACTTGAATACGTATTCTGCCATAGCCGTGCACTCGTGACACGTACTAGGTACCGCACCAGTCAAAAACCAGCGTCAAATTCTTGTGAGGCAGAACGATTTTGCGATTGCAATCTCGGTTCGATCTTTGGGAAGCTGTCTACATTTATTTCAGGATCCACTCGCAGCCGATACAAGGTGCTGGGCTTGGCCAGAGAGGCGCCCGAAACGCTCGACCGTGGCAAGTGCCCCCGAACCCTTGAGCCAAGCTTGCTACGGTGACTGCGCTGTCGTTGATCCACATCGTGTAATTGATGTGACCGAGAAGCAGAGTTCCCGGATTATCGACTTTCGTGGTGAAAGACACAGTGCTAGGCAGGTTATCCAGTCCGCCTGGATTCATGATCAGGTTCGGTTCTAAGGGTCAATAAACGAGGTGCACATACATTCTCGAACCTCTCCCCTCACAGAATGACCCTTGTATCGTGGCTCGTCCCATTGCACAGTACGTTGGCTTGTGCGACTGTATTTATTGTAGGTCAATGTATCCCCATCTAGCTGCTACAGTACGAGAAGTTGTGGGGCATCATTACGAATTGCTTTGTAACACTATTTGCGTGCACACCTGGACTGCCATGCATCACACTAGGAAGAAGGGATATCCGCTATCACTCTCCGTCGCTTTGTCTCATGCTGGTAGCGCTCGCTGTACCGGAGCTCCCGATTGCCTGGGCGCTGTGACAATCTTTTGCTGCTCGTGACATTGAAAGGGATTGTCGCGGCGATTGATACCCTGTAAATTCACAGACCACTGACGAGCTTGATCTTGTAATGTTCAGTCTCCTTGATACAGACGACATGAACGGTTGCAGTGATAACTCACATGGCCGGTGTCGACCTATGTCACATGCAGCAGGGGCCGGGACAAGAAAATGGAAATAGCGAAGGGCATTTGGAAAGTCCGCTTCAACTTGAAGGTCAGCCATGATCTCGAATCGGCTTTGGTACGCAACTTCAATTCAAATTTTCTTGCAGCCTGGATTCGAACTCATGTGTATTCGCCATGGATACGTCAACATGCTCACCGTAACGGAGCAAGAAATAGAAGACAAAACAAAGGCGATGGCTTATCCAAAGGATTTTCCGTCCTTCAACTAGGGCAGGTTCGTTATCCAGTATCGTCTATCAGCTGTCCACGACGCAGCTCGAAATCAACACGCCTTCTGTGACAACTCTTGGTTTAGTGGCGTCTACTGTAGTGGCAGAAGCCAAAATCTAGGGCAGCCTTATCACGTTCATTGGAAGACGTGCCAGAGGCCAAAAACCCTGGCTCGTGAGTACGTCCAACCTTTTTTGTACGGCTAATCTGTTCATTGATCGACACACCTCCTATGTAGCATAAACCTCTGTCAGGAGAGTGGCACACCTCATCGCACTGGTGCTTACGTTCTTGAGCTTGCGATCACATCCTGCTGGCGTTTATGCTGCGACCAATCTTGTTCCCCATGTATAGCTTCTTCATTTTTCTACTTCCCCTCAGAACCACAAGACGATACTTCCGGGGAATTAGTCTATTGTATACTTCTTTCATGCTTCTTTGGATGGGTAATTCGCCAATTTCACAGAGCGCAAGATCAGTAGGTAAGAAGTCGTATGATTTTGCAATTGTGTGTTGACTGCCTGCGTTGATCACAGGGACGGTGATCACACTTATCCTTCTTGTGGAAGGTGTATTGGCTACCATGATGTAAGCACGCCAGCTTGCTATAAGTCCTACATATACTGTCGCTGTGCTGAAAGCTAAGCTTCAGTATTTCACCTTTTGGTGTAACGGTTATGCGGGCGGTAGTCTGACCAAAGTTACACATAAGCTTCCTAACATTCTCACAGGTGTGGTGAGTGGATTAAGGAAAGAACGGGAGGTAAGGGACTGGTGTGTTTCAAGACAGACCGCGGTTAGTCATTCTTACTAATAGCAGATCTCCTTCACGCTTCTATGCTCGGTAGTGCATCAGATAGCTACTCTGCCAGTCTGAGATTGGAGTACATACTCATGTCAGGTCAATATGAACACAAGTTTAACGCGCTTGTCATCTACTAGTGAAACTTCCATTGGATACGAGTCTAACGAAAAATGCGCCGGGCAAAGTTCAGTCAGCCCGCTGTACACTCGTTGAAATAACTCTCCAGCTGCTGCTACAAATTTTAAAGCGAAGGCGCAATTCGACATCAAGAGTCGCCCTACCCACAAAATCAAAACCAAAAGTCGCCGCTTACTCCTCCATCTCATCACCCCTCCCGCTGCTCGTACCAAGCGTTGTCCAATTCTCGCTCCACCGCGGGTACACGCGCTTATACAACGACATACACACCGTATCCATCTGGTTGACGGGCCCATCGAAATGCGCCTTGAAATACCCATGCGTCCCGAGGGACTCCCGGATATGTCCCGTCCGCCCGTGTTTTGTGAACAGCTGAATAGGCTTGAAATACTGGATGTCGTCTGTGCCAGAAAGGATTTGTGAGCACAAGAAAAAGGACGAAGGACAGGGACAACACAGACCTGGGTTGAAGAACATGTACCGCACCGTAGCGGTTTTTTTGTGCACTTTGAACGGGTGGCCCGTGAGGATGATTCGCTTCGCGATGATGCGTGCTGTATCAGGGCTCATGAACGTGCCCATCGCCACGAGCTCCGGTGCTATTCGTTTCAATCAGTCAATCGTATCTCCGCCGGGAGAACGGGCGTACTCTGTGGATTTTCTGTCTCACGTAGGAGCATGCACGGCTGCTTTCCGAACGTAATCGGTGCGTAGACGCTCATGACAGTCGTGGTGCCATGCCATAAAAACCTCTCGAATTTGTGGACGTTGTTCGCGCCCTTTCCGCCGCCGCGAGTGTGTTGTGAGTACACAGGGTTGACGCGCAGCCTACGGGGTCCGTAACACAGAATCAGGGGGTCCTTTGGGGAGTTTAGTTGCGACTAAGGGATCGACAGGTAACGAACCTTTGATCTAACAGAACCTTCACACTCTGTATTCCGCTGCACGGTGAAGTGTAGGACTGTCTTCTTGTGCTCGTGTTTCAATAATCCATATAGGACAAACGGCGATTCGGAAGGTACGCTGGCTTCGTGCGGGACACCCTCAATAAAGATTGTTACACGCGCGCCGGGCTGCAGTAATGCTTTTAGCGATTACTTGGACAGTATCGAGCAGGGGATTGCAGACCTGAACACCATTATCCTCCAACTCGCGCCACATGTCCCTCTCGGTACGCTTGAAGTCTTCGAACTCGAATATCCGCGCGTACTCGCCAGGCAGGTTCTCATACGGGTCCCACGGACTCGTGCGGAGGGATCGAAGCCCACGGAACCGCGCGAACCGTGTACGTGCAGTGATGTCTTGTGGGGTGTCAACTTCATCTGGAAAAGCTTGGGCGTCTTGTTCTTCCTGGGCGCGCTTTCTCCATGATATAAGTCTGTGTTGATCCAACAAATGTCACTGTCACGAAATAACTTAAGAAGGAAGAGCACATACTGCTTTTGTTCTTCTTCCAGGTTGAAGTCTTGGAACGCGACAACACTTTTGCGCTCGCTTTCCATGTCTAGCGCATCGTCGAGTACCATCTCCTCGTCCTCATCCATCTGCCCTCCCTCCTCGTCCTGTTCTTCACGTTCCTCATCCTGGTTTTCGTTCTCGCTTTCATCCACGATCCACGAAGCTTGATACTCAGTCATACCCTTAGGAATACGCCTGATGCGCTTCGGCGTCGTGCCCTTCTTTGCATCTGGTACCTCGCCCTCCCCGGTGCCTTGCAGCGCACCCGCCATCTCCTCCTCCGTCGGCCATGTTTGTTCGTTCGCCATATCAGTCTGCGATGTTTTTGCTCACCAGGGAGTCAGCAGAGGATGGGACGCGTTCAGCAAGGAGCACAGGCCCAGCTTCCACATCCATACCACCAGGCCTGGCATGCTTTATGTGAGGGAGTGGAGCAGACATGATCTACAGCCATTTTAAATCTACCAAACCGATTCACCCACACGTCCATGACTCACCTTCGAAACTAAATAATCTCCATGGTTAGGAATATGCACGAGCCGATCAGGGCTAAGTCTTCCCCCACGAACGACACCCGTCACCTTCAACACCCCGCCCTCTTCTCGTTCTACACTCTCACCTACCAGCCACGGCCGCCCTGCGCGCCACTTGACCTCGCCAGGACAACCCTCTGCGAGGGCTCGCAAGGTGTTAAGTGAGTCCGCTGGTGCACTGAGATCGAAGACACGGCGCTGAGCGGGATCAAAGTATTGTATAAAGGAGAGGAGGCTTTTGAGTACTGCTGGCCTGGCCTTGGCGTCGAGGTTTTCAGTGGTCGTTGGGGGAATGGCTGCGATGGCTGTAGGAAGGCCTTGTGCTTGGAGCATGCGGAGGAGGGTGTCACCTGCGGGAGTAACTTCGATAGTCGGGGAGAGCAGGAGGAGCGTGTAGTCTGCGGCGCGAGCTGCATCTAGAGCAGCGAATGGACAAGCGAAGGGCACGGGTAGGAATTGGAGGGATGTTTTGAATCTGGATGCTCTGTATGTGTGATTAGATCAGTGCGAGATGAAGGAATTGAAGGAACGAACTTCATAGCCCATATGTTTTTGTTTTCGCTGATCCCGTATATCTCTTCATCTACGCATTTTCCGAGAGCTTGGATGCATGCTCGGGTATCGATGTCCTCGGAAAGTGGGATGATAGCGACGATGCGTGGGGCGCCGTCAGTGCCGTTGAAGATGCGGGTGGCAGAGATGAGGGACGCGCGTTTAGTGGCCTGAGCTTGCTTTTGGGTATTGCGCCTATTGAGGCGAGCCTGTGCGACAGTGCTTACTGCCGATGATTTTGTGCTTTGGCGAGCAGTGCGACCTACACCCAAGGGAAAAAACACGTGGAGAGAGACTTTGAGATCAAGATCAGTAGGTAAATAGCTAGAGATGGGCACCTTTTGCGATATCCTTGAGAGCAGATTTAGTGGCATGATGGGATTTGAAGGGTTTGTTTTTCTGTAGTAAGATTAGATGAGATGATTTCGAATGAATGAAAAGGTTAGATGGACCTGCTTGAGGGTTGATCTGTGATGGTGTGCTTCTACGACCATCGTGGAGGTGCGCACGTCCCTAAGGGAGAGTCGGTGTCAATAATATTGTGGTGATACTAAGGATGTCGATGCATTTTTCGTAAAATGTGTCATATCTAACCTTATTAGGCAGGTGACGTTGCCAGTAGTCTGCCTTCCGTTTTAGGCTACTAACACCAGCGACCCATGCAACCGTTGCACGTCGTGCAGCGATACCAAGGTGTGCTTTCGTCAAGTATGTCAACATCTCTTTCTCCCGCCTCACGGAGTGTTGATGCGAAGCAGTTGGAGTCGGCAAAGATACAAACGATGAGGGTGCCGAATCTATTCATTTAGCGTGTGGGCTAATATCACATCTCGGACTCAGAATATGCTATTTGCCTATGGACAGTAATCTATTCTTTTGCGACGACTTTCACCTCGAGCTCAGTCGACATCGCGGTATCACTAGTCAGACTCAGTAGTCTGTCAGAGTAAATAATAATTTATGGCCACTACTCATTCTCAACATCTCTTGAGACTTACGCCATCGTTATTCAGGCGGCAAATCACGTTGTGGAGCAAACACGTTGTGGCAGGCTGTGGCTACGGATGACAACGGGATCGGCAGTGTCCTTGCCTATCATCCTCGGCCGTCCTGAAACGCCTTCTTCGGTTGACTGCTTGGAATCGCCGCATTATCATTTCAATCTCCTTACTTTTTTGTCTTGAAGCGAACAACATGAAGGTATAAAAGCCCGTCTTCCTTTCCCCCCTCTACCACATCTGCCCATCTACCCACTTTACCATGGAGGTCAAATCAACAGCCGTCAAGCAGCATCTTCACTCGTCTTCGGACGCAACTTGGGTGGACTATTTTCCTTCCAACATACGTCCTTATCTCTATCTGGCACGGGTTCACAACCCCGCTGGAACACTCTTGCTATTCTACCCATGTGGTGAGTAGCTTTCGTGACGTTGTTCTCTTCGTCGTTGACTTGAGTAATTTAGCATGGTCGGTCACTATGGCCTGCTACGCACAGGGCACGCCGATGTCGACGGTGTGGACCTATGTTGGATTGTTCCTTACTGCCTCTCAAGTGTTCCATGCCGCTGGCTGCGTGATCAATGATATGTGGGACAAAGACGTCGATGCTGCCGTTCGTAGGTGTTGCACACTCAATCAAGTGATGGCTTCTGGTAACACTTTCACTTTAAGCACGAACAAGCACGCGACCCTTGGCTTCAGGTGATGTCTCGATGTTCCAGGCATTCCTCTTCCTCATCCCACAGCTGGCTCTTGGCATCTGGCTGTTGATGCAGCTGAATGAATACAGGTTTGCCTTTTCCTTTTCTCCCATTGATTCACATTGATCCTTTCTTTTTTTTTTTTTCAAGCTTGCGACTTGGACTTTCGTCCCTGGGCCTGGTGGTATTGTATCCTGCCATGAAGCGGGTGACCAATTGGCCGCAGGCAGTCCTTGGTACGTAATGCCAAGTTCCAAGACCATGGCAGTTATTGATGTCATCGGATAGGCATGTGCTTTAATTGGGGAGCACTACTAGGCGCAGCTTCGGTCGTTGGGGCGGTTGACTGGCATGTGTACATCCCTCTGTACTTGGGGGCTGCCTGCTGGACGATCGTGTATGATACTTCTTACGCTCGTCAAGTAAGAATCGTTATTTTTCCTTCCGCACTATTCGGCTGACCAGCGAAATCAGGACAGAGATGAAGATGCCAAATATGGTGTGCGGTCGACCACGATTATTTTCGGAGACCAGATCCGACCTATCCTCGCCATGTTCTCTGTCGTTGTTTGTTCTTTGGTGTCGTATGCCGGGTACTGCAACGGACATGGATGGCCATTCTTCTGCGGTGTTGCGTTGGGGGCACTTCACCTTGCCCGACTCCTCGCCAGGACTGACTTTGAGAACAAGGAGAGCTGTGACGCTACGCTTCTCAGTAATGCTTGGTTCGGCTTCTGGGTCTGGGCGGGAGCTTTCGCCGACTTTCTGGTAAAGACGCAGCTCTAGATGCAACGACATTATGTTTCTTCGACTCTTCTGAGTTTCCTTTTCTCGCGATCGTGGAGTTCGCTTCTTACGTATGCCATAGATGACTTTCCTTAGACAAAATAATGATATAATTTCACGCTTTAGGAGGCGATTCTAGCTATTGTTTCGTTACCGTTTGGAACTCAACAACCTTATAGCTACTTTCACATCGCGTATCGATAGACCAGATTTCATTCTTTTTTGTCTTTAGCTACTTGCTTGTGAAGCTGGACAAATAAAAGTGTCCCGTTTATTACGATACCTCGGTTGAACCGAAAATGTGTGACACTCAAGGTTGTCCGTCTCGGAAGTAACGAACTCCCGCAGTATTCAATATTGCACCCTTAATTTAACCGCACAGTAATGATTGTGAAAGATGGGACCCTGTTGTTTGTTCAGCTCCACAATTAAAGTAAATAGAATGGTAAGACGAAAGAAATGAAATCCGGTCTATCGGTATATATGAATTTCTAGCGGTAAGTTGGTTCTGTCCCCCAATAAATTTTGAATCTAGACGTATAAGGGTACCCCCTACAGAATTCTAACGGGAATAGCTTGGACACTTTGTGATAAGCCGACTAATGCTCGCTGCAGGCACAAGGAATGGCACCATCTTGTGAGGCACCCGAATCAATTATTGGTGACTATCTGTGAGCTCAAATACTGCGGCATAGAATCAAAATGCCAGTTCAGGAAGTTGAGATACGCTCATTTGAGTTGAATTTACAAAACAATGTCATTGTCTTGGCCTTCTTATAAACTCTATATCTGCAAAGGGGGCCTCTCCATCCAGACTATGGCGATTAGAATTGACGATTTGAACTTTGTATCCGTTTTGGGCTACTAACGCTACCTGTAGATGTCGAATGGTGGCATCGGTCATAGAAGGAAGGGTTTGTAACAACAAGGACACTCCAGATGTGAGGTAGCGAACAACAGTAGCAGGAATCAGTGGGAAATTTTGATTTGGTCTCGTGTATGGTGTCGAGATAGTGGAGCACGAAGCCAAGTGAACGCAAGATGAGCTTCTCGTACCCCTGACTGGCAAAATCAGAAGGATGAATCCGAATGTCCGAACATCGATGCCCGTGATAAATGCACAATTGTCCTGATTCTTGTATAATACTTGCTAGGGAAACGCACGGGCACGGGTAATACCGCGGTTCTAGGGTAATATCGCGGTCCTATGCTGACGGTGTAGTAGGATAGTCGTAACCTAGCGCTACATACTATGGCCCTTAATTATGTAAGCTTCACCGCGGGTTTTGGTGAGTATGACTTACCAAATCGGGAACCTTGGCAGTCGCTGAACCGATTCTCCGTGTCGCCTGTCTCTGAGAGCTTGAGGACCGCAACTGAATCTCATAATCCTATACTGACACTGACAACTATACATAACGAGGATGACTTCGGTGACTACTCACTGAGTTCCATGTCTTGTGCTAGCACTAGTAGCAAGCTGCAAGTGGACAAGTTCCCTCGATTATCAACTGTGACATGTGAAGGCTTGCATGGTGGCAAAACAACTGCCGTACTTATTCAGCGTTCATCGGATGGCATTAGACTCTCAAGTCTGTCACCCTCGAATCCTATTTTCAATCAGTCATCACTTATTATCTCGCCCAGCAACATCAACTGCGGTTGAACGTGTATTCTCGCAGGGCCGGCGGCTCATTCACTTTACTCGCCACCGACTCGTACTATCAACAATTCGTGCCTCTCTGTCTCGGAACCTGCCAGTGGGGCAAGAGTGGTCTTCTGGCGATGGAGGACCTTCTAGCCTCTGAGGAGTTCAAAAGGGAAGCGAAACTAAGTCGAAGCTGAAGAGGACAACAAGGAAATTTTATTTGATTGTTATTAATACACTCTTCTTGGTAATGTAAGCCACCCAATGTATTACGGTGATTGGATATCGCATTCTCCTGTCGGATGTCTTCAGTTTGAAATTTCAAGAGCAATCAATTCGTAGTTTCTGAAATGTACTGTCAAAGCAGTGCTCAAGCGGCAATGATCTTGGAATAAATGAATCAGCTGCGGATGATAACGGCACATCGTATTTATCCAAAAACATACAACACAGTCACATGACAGTGATTCACATCGTCCCTGAGGGAGCTCTAATGTGTCCTCGGCGGTGGAGGGAATGTAGTAGGGTATACGAACGCGGGCTGTACAGGCGTATACCCGTATGGGAATTGTGGATAAGCCATTCCCTGGTGCGAGTAAGACTTTTGCATCTGTGGCGGCCATCCATACAACAGGGCTGCGCTGCTCGGCTCAATACCCATCTCCTTTGGGAGGGAATTATGCCGCTTGTTGTACCACGATGCTGCAGGTTTTCCGTCATCCACAGGTGAATCTGGATAGCGACGTCGGCGGGAAGAACGACCGGGGAAGTAGGCATCGACGATTTGCTCGTGCTCAACCCAGGGGAGCTGGTCGAGGTTGTTTAGAAAGCGCTTGATGCGCGTAGGTGGGGGAGGAGAGAACTGGGGCGGAGGAACAGTGACATAGTCAGTCACGGTGAAAGTCGTGTTGGGGTGGATAGGTTGAACAGTTGAAGAATGAGATTGTGAATGTGAATGTGAATGGGTATGAGTACGAGTATGGGGAGAATGAGCATGGTCAGCAGAGGAGTGTGGGCGCAGATGTGTCTCGTGTGTTCCAGTTTGCTCGCTCGAGCGCTCGTCGACTGTTGAGAGGACTTGAGGAACAACATCCGCTCCAGGGGCATACACCGGTGATGACGCTACTGGGGGAGGTGGCCTATGCGCATGCGACTGCTGCTGATATGCATAATGCTGTGGCGATGGTTGCGGGTGTGACGGGGGTTGGGGCATGGTCATCAACTCTGCAGTCTGCGCTATTCCAGTGGGCGTGAGCGGGCGCAAATTCAAACTGGATATTGTTGGAAATTGCAGATCATTCTCATGATGAGCACCAAGTGACGATGGAAAATCACTCGACGGTGATGGTCTGCGCGGGGACTTGCGCAGCCAGGGAACTTACGCAGACCTTTGACGAAGCCCCCAACCCAGCGTCGTGGACCATTCGTGCGGTGCTGAGGAGCGTTGGAGAAATCAAAGTCAATCTCCCCGTTGTCCTCCGGTAGCTCTTCCTCCTCCTCGACCTCAGGGTCCTCCACGGTCATGTATTCTCCGATCATCGGGGAAGGCATCCTCATCCCAGGCGACGGAGTACGCCCCATCATGGGAGAGGAATGTGCCATGGGGAGCGGTTGGTCTGGAAATACAGGCGTGGGGAGGTCTACGGGGTCGGGTGGAGGCGGGTACCATCGCGCATACGGGTCATTAATTGGGGATGGAGACCGATGGCTAACCCAGGATACGTCTTGCAGTCGCCTGGAACTCAGGCTGTCACGGTCATATCTGTTTCTGCGTATGGGGCTAGAAGTGTGCTCCCCGGGATCCGCGTAGTAGCGCGTGTCTGGATGACTGTGGTAGTTATGATGGTATGAGCTGGCCTCGGACATGTGCGTTGATCACAAGAAGTCAACGTTGTTACTGCCAATGTCAGCACTTCGTGACTGCGGAAGATACGATGTCGTGTTGTGGGACGTACTATGTATAAGGACACGAGGCAACGACACTGTTGCTGGCTAGCCCAAGGAACCCAAACGCAGCTCTATCTGCGCAGTTACGATCTGTGAATACAGGATTCAGCGCTCAGCTTGTGAAGAATGTGATAGGATGAAGCACTATCAATAGCACGAATGTACTAAGTATATGGTCACTCATCATGTATTGATCTGCGGAATGATTGTTTGAGCCTATTATATATAACTCCCAGAGCTGGCCATTTCAATTTTCCTGCAGAACTGAACCCACTACTTAGACGCCCATTAGGTTGACTCATCAATGCATCAAACACAAATCTCAAGTCGTGTTTTGAAGTAACGACTATCTTCAAAGCTTCAGTACTTGTTCACTCGTCCATGGCCTGTCTGGGGGAGACTACATAATGTTAGGTGACTGCTAATTTGGTTAGGAAGGAACTCAAAAAATCGCCACCTGAACCTACAACTCGGGTTGTTCATTACCCATCTCTTTGCTTGTCCAGAATACTTACCGTCCGCGTTCATCTAACTCCCAAGTCAAGTCTAGATATCATCGGTGCTCCACCGCATCAAACTCCACTCACCCGTCATTTTCGCTTCTCGCTTTTGTCGTATGGCCACCATCGGCCTTCTCTGCCAAGGCCCACCTTCCCTCCGCCAAACTCATTCTGCATCATCCCGCCGACAACGCCGGACACGTCACTGAACTATTCAACGCCGATGTCTCGGCCTCAACCGCATCAATTTGGAGGATTGTACTGCTCGTATCTGTTGGTATCATCGCCGAGTATTCCAAAACACGAGTTTGCGCCGGTGTCAACCATCATCGACCTCGCACTCGCGAGCAGCTACAATGACTTGAACGTGTTGTCCGTTTCGGGATCCTTTATTGAAATTGGACGAGCTGTAAAAAATAGAGATATGTCTCTTTCATTTTCTTTGCTCAGAAATATTTTTATGCCTCCTTGTCTTGTGTGTTGTCTAGAGACCTTCCTTAGTCAAGGACTAACCAAATTTACTCGTATTTCCTTGAATCATCTTCCGTCTTATGTGGTTTGCTGAGTGAAAGCCAAATAGGCACTCCAACATTTTCTTGATGGCTGGGCAAAAGCAGGAGGCGGCGGCGGGAGGGCTTCGGGAGGTCACGCCCTGGCACGGGAGTCCGCGTGAAGTTTCGAGACGTGGAGGTAGAGTCAAGCTTCATGGGGTTGTGGGCCTAGCATGTGATGTGGGAAGGCGCAGGTTGGAGGGTTAGGTGTGATAAGTGGAGGGTCCGACGAAGACTGCAGGTCGGGGGTGGTGGACAATAGCAGATGCGCGATGGTAAGGTGCTTGACCTTATATCTTATAACCGAGGGGTAACGCATGTACCTTGTTCTTGGGAGGCGAAGTACTTCGGAAGGGTACATAACAGGGCACCTAGTACGACTCCAGGAAAGTACTAGTAGCGCAGCAGCGGAAAGCTTCGGGGATTCCTTATATTACATAAATACACTGCACTATCAGTGATCGCCGCTATTAGTGCCCGAGTTCGGGCATGAACAACTGCCACACTTCTGGTTGAATATTTTTAGGTCTGACGGCAATCTTCTTGGAAATTTATCCAATTGTTATACTTACCTGACGAGTCTTGACGCTATGTCTGCTATTGCCCAGAAAATTCTTGTCGTAGGTGGTAATGGGTTCGTCGGTGAGGTTCCTCGTTGATTGTGTCCTGCTATTGCAAGATGGTCTGATCCAGTTCCACTTTAGGTTCTGCGGTGTGCAAGGCTGCTCTTGCGCGGGGTATGGGGGTCACCAGTGTTAGGTATGTCTGAACTTGTTCCTTCTGTCTGTCGAGACTATATTGCATGTTCAGTTCATCTGGGATGCCTTACCGCACCCCAAAAGGCCATACCCCAGACTGGGCAGAGAAGGTCCGTAAATTACTCGTTTTTATCGCGTATAACGCTTAGAGCCCACTAGGTAGAATGGCGAAAAGCTGACGCTATGAATCCCGACACATATGCTGATATTCTACCTGGCGTCAACGCAGTCGTGCACACCATAGGCACCCTCCTTGATAATACACAACGCAATAAACAGTTCCACGATAAGGACTTTGTGGGCTTGCTTAAGTCCATTACGGGCATCAGCCCGGTAGAGGCACGTCATCTAGGAGCCTACGAAAAACTTAATCGTGATACTGGTGAGCCCTGACCTGCCTTCATGTCAGCAGCGTGTCGTCATATGTTGTACTAGCCATCCGTATGTGTGAGGCGTTTACTGCTAGTAAACCCACACAAGGAATTACGCATGTTCGACCGTTTGTCTACGTTTCCGCAGAGGACTTTCACAGGCCTGCTATATCCGTGCGATACATAGAGACCAAATTGGAGGCCGAGAGAAAATCGATGAGATCATGAAAGATCATCCACAGTATCGAGCAGTACACGTTCGGCCTTGTGAGCATGCATCCTTGCACGGATACTTCTAGACACTGACGTCTTTTGTCTAGCTATGATATACGACCCCGAGACTAGGCCGATGACCATCCCAGCCAACCTCTTCACCTTCTCGGCGTGGATGCACGCAGCCATGCCGTCCTTTGTACCGATGCCAGCGTCCATCGTCCGCTGGCTCGGCACGAGCGTGTTCCCAAAGGCGACTGAGCAGACACCTTCGGCGTTGGTATCTATGGCCACCTTGTTGAGCGTCCCACCAATTCGTGTCGACCACTTGGCCGAAGCTATCTGTGTTTCCTTGGATCCTGCTAAAAACGTTAGGGGACCCGTTGGCGTACGTGCTATGAGGGAGCTGATTGGATGGTCCAAAGGGGGACCCACTCCTACTTCGTCAGACTCTTAATTGTTTGCTGATGGTAGAACGTTGTTCACTGTCTCATCTAAATGAAGACGTTTGCTGTCAAGAACCCTACCATATTGGTTGCTGGTCGGCGAGCAGGCTCCAATGGCATAATACATCTTGAATTAGCATCATGCCTGTATGCCCATCAACAGAATTGCAAAATTGAGTGTGCCATTAGCACCCATCACTTCAAAGGGAACTTGCCAACCTCCCAAGGCAATTAAATACTACGATGAAAAATTTGCGCTGACCTCCTTAAAATCTACTTCGGAACACCAAACTTGATACCACAAAAGCAGGAATAAATAAAAGCAAATTCCCCTGCTCCTTGCAGAGCACTAGACAACTTCACCGAGCGTTACACACTACTGCCAGTTGATATATGCACAGGCTCTTGGAAAGCGACCGAGGTCATACTAGTTGCTGCGTCGGAACCAACCACAAGCTTAGCGTAGTATTCTCGAATGTCAAGGATCAGGCGGGGTCCCAGCACAAACAACTGGACGACCGTCGAAATCTGAACAAATCCAGAATAAATCTGAGTTTCCAGGAATTTTCGGTCCTATAGCAATGATGAACCACGGTCATATGCAGGGGTCAGTGAAATATTGACATACCGTTGAGAGTATTGGAGAGAAATCAAGAATGATGTCGAAGCAAGAAACAGCAACAAAGCTAGCATGTCTGATCCTTCAGCGGCAACGGGAACCCATATTCACAGCATGAGCCCACCTCATAAAGTAAAATACGTGAGTTTTAATCAACACCGTAAAAGAGTCCTCAATGATCCCTCTTGCAGAAGGTCGTCGCGGTTTACGGAAGTGTTTCACAGCAATCCAGAGTGCAAGACACAGTGCAAGGACCTCCCACACAGTGAAGACTATCCAAGTAATGGAATCCAGAAGTAGAACATATTCCGCATAGCCAATCGAGAGAATCGAGCACTGATGAGTGCCGGAGAGAATGAGTTCCTCTGGTATTCATCAATGAGATGCATATTTTTGTCATCCACAATTAAGCGTACCTCCTGAAGTATGCATTGTTGTCATTACAGAGACCACACCGTTTAAAATGTTGTCAGCCACAAAGGTGATAATGAAAAATTTCTAGGATCTTTCTGGATCGTTGATACATGGCATACAACCGAGCAATCATGATGACTTGCAGCATGTGTCAGTCGAGTCAATATCACTGAGGTCTCGCGAGTGCCAAACTCACCCCACAGCATTGCATATGCCAAAACACTCGTCCAATTCCATACGATGTACATAATCCAGCCTGACGAATCCTGTTAGTAATCAGCCTCGGGTAGCACACTCCAACAGACTCACATCTGCGGCAGTATAATGTGGCAGTCATTAGTGAGCCAAGAAGTTAGTAAAGGATCACACTCACTCCTACCGGGCACCGCGGTTAATTGGAGAGGGATAGCAGGTGTCTGCGTAGAAGACGAAGACTCACGGTATCTGTCAGCGAGATGGTAGGAAAACTGTCTGTATGCTGTTGGTCAGAAGCAAAGATAGCGAGTGCACTAAGGAGACATACACAGCATGTACATGCTGGCTAGACGATTAGTACAACACTGATTGTTTAGCCTTTCGAACATACGCAGCGAATATCATTCCAAGGTAGCGCATCTAGGATATTTTCAAGTCAGCACAATATAACAACCGTGACAGGCAAGCTACATACACCGAGATACAGAACTGTCATTAGGGACCACCGTTTCCTCTGGAATTAAGTGTATTTTCATGTGTGTTCTTATGACATGAGACTCTGCTCACCCAGACCAATTCTACCTATAAAACCAAATACTATTAGCGACATGGCTGCTCCGGTCGGCGGTCATAGCATCAACATACCTCTTGTCCGAATGTAAGTGCTGGAAATACTTGTAGGCTATCAGCAGTTCTTTGATGCTAATCATGCTCACCCCAATCATACGTCACTGCAATAAAGGCGGCAACTGCGAAAAGGTTAGATTGGGACATCAGCTTCAGCATCCGACTGTTTTCCACGGACCTCCAAAATAGCTGGAAACACGGTCTGAATTGATGGACGGCCACCAAATGGGATCATTTGAGACTATGGTCATACTGTTAGAGAATGAGTGTAGTAGGTAAGAGGCGAACTTGATGGGTGTATGACGATGACAGAAACATACCGCAATCAGTGCTTGGATCATTGAATAAATGTTGGCCAAGAAACATTTGCACGGGCGGAACTTACTTGAATACCGTCAAAGATGGAAGGCACAATATTGTGTCGGCATGCCAACCCCAGACTAAAAGCAAACAGATAACTTGCGTTTTACCGACGTGCGGGCACATATGATATCAATGTCTACAATGCCTGTTCTTCATCCTCGGGCAATCTGTCGCGTCATGCGCACCTTCTCGTTCTCTGCCTCGGTTGCTGGGCTTTCGTATCACAAAGATGCCAGAGATAGTAAGCGTGGAGTCCTTCATTTGCATCGTGTTGGTCGCGGTGGTGACAGACATCAGTTTGCACAACTGGCCTGAGACATCCTAGACTCCTAGTTGAGAATCCATCACGGCGACTGATATCTAGCGAAGATACAACATGATGCATGACCTCAAGTTGCATACTTTTAACCACGTGTATCACTGCTGGACCCAACACGGCACTGGTCACACGAAAGTTTGACTTTATCGAGGCCCGAGGGCGCAGACACAAGCTGCAAGTGACAAAAGCAAATTTTAATGTTACCGAACCATCATCATGATATTGTTCTTCGTGTGTGCGGCGAGAGCAGACTATTATATGGACTATTTGCCGGCCCGCCACTACATTACCTCCAGCACAGACTGGCAGGTGCCACTGAAGCCAATACACGTTTTCTCAGCCTTAACCAGGGTCTTTTTGGAACGAGGTAAGAGCATGTCAGAAGTGTGACTTCGGATAATTGCAAGCTCCCTAGGTGAGGCCCCGGTTATGTAGACCTGCACACAAGCGAAACTCATTACTGCGAGCGCCTGTTTCTTCCGTTCACACTTGAGGCTTTCCGCAGCACTGAATCGGTGATTATCGATTGCTGCCGATAACGGAGGTGGGCCTCGACTGTTGCCTAAAACGGAGTGTTCTTGCCATCCTAATTCGAGCTGTCGACGGGCTGGTCAACGAGCACTGAGCGGCTAAGTGTGACGGAGATCCAAGGCCGGATATCTTAGGCGCGCCAACATTTCGCCCACGAGTATAAGATACACGCCCCTCCAGTCCAGCAGGCACAAACCAAGTGGACCTTTACTCCCTGTTCCCCGGCATGTCATCCAGCAACACTTCAAGTACGGCGTTAGACACGCAGACGTGTCCGATTCCAGTACCAGTGTAAGAGTTCTCATATTTTCTGCCTTTTAGATATTTAGGAAGATGTGTTCTCTTGTTTTGGTTCAGATATCGTCATGCAGCACCCTCGGGACCATGGCCATGGGTAGATTTCAACACCGACCTTTCATCCCCTGAGCCACCATTTCGAAAGGGAGAACATGAATGGCGCGGATACCCGCAAGAACTTTTCGGTAACTGGAGTCCGATTCCAGTGGCACGAAGCCAGATGTTGACACGATGTGCGCACACCGTGAAACCGTGCATCATATATACCGTTGACGTAACGGGCGACGGTCAATTCAAAATACCCGAGCAAGGGCTGCATCGCGTTGAGGTGCCGGAAGGGAAGGAAACCGAATTCTGGTCAAAATTACAGGAAGAAAGCAGTGTTTTTACTCCATCTCGCCAAACTAATGAGTGATCTTGACCACAATCAGGTTCGGAAAAACGTCCGCGTTCGAGCGTTATTCGTGGATAACATGTCGGAATCCGTTTTGAAGATGTTGGGGACGAGGTTCGTGCCCCGGCTTGAATGCCAAATTTGGCACTGAAATTTCCTTTATAGGTATAACATCGAGCCATTCTTCTTTGCATCCTCCACAAACTGGATTCCTTCGCGATACCGGGAAGAGGTTCAACATGGAGTAGGGGATCGTACGTCTGATGAATGCCTTTTGTGGAGGTTGTTAATCTGTTGTTCCGGGTAGATATCACAGTTATCCTTCCTTTCATTCGGACTACGGGGCAGAAAACGAAGACACATTCTAGCTTAACGGGCATGAGTTCGTCATTTTTTCAATAGTTGACCGCTTCTTATTACAAAACACACAGAACGGAACGCAAGGAAGAATACTATAGATGTCATGTCACCCCTTCACCTACACGGTAATCCGTATTTGCTTTTACCACGGTTTTGTCTGAGTTCTTTCATAGGGGAACATGTCCTTCTCATCGACCTTCTGGCAATCCATATGATTCGCGAGAAGAATTCCTCTACAATCATAACGTATCATCCTGTGCTGCGTGATCGCACTACTGCAGAGCGCTTGCATCTGGTTATGGAGCGCGCAGGTGGAAGCGTTTACTGGAATAAAATATTCGTCGCATCTGAAGATCCAACCTTCTTCTTTCTGGCAATCTTGTGGTACGCGCTGTATGCGTGGGATGAGACATTTGAAGTGTTGTATAAGCGCATCAAGGATTTGGTGTGTATGCAATTTGTTCGAGTTGTGGGAAGGCTCATCATGCCCAGGAAGTAATCTTGAACGCCTCTGACTTCTCTGCCATGACCGACCTCAACTATAACCTCCATAGCCTTCAGGCGCACCTCCTCCAGTACCAAACCCTCCTTCATGATTTCGAGATTTCGGTCACATTTGTTATGGAGACTCCAAACCCTGCAATGGAAGATTCAAAAAATTGGGGTACTACAGAAGAGCTGATGCAACGAGAATGCAAGAACCTCCTTTCCGAAATTGACAGGTTACACAGAAGATGTTCGATGCTCATTAGTCGATTAAAGAACGCCACAGATTTGGCATTTGCGACTGTCAACATCGAAGATAGTCGTCAAACATTCAGGTTAACGATGGCGACCCTTCGAGACTCTGCAGCGATGAAACAGGTGCGATGGCAGCTACATGTACACCGATTGAGCTCATGCCTTCTGCAGATATCATACCTGACCATGGTCTTCTTGCCCGCCAGTTTTACTGCTGTATGTGTTTGGAGGTATAACATGAACAAAAGCGCTCACTGATTGAACAGTCGGTCTTTGGGATGAACGTGCGCGAAATTAATCCCGGCTCTCTTGAGACGATCGCACATTATGTTTTGGTATCTTTGTTGTTGACTTTTGTCACGACATGGATCGTTATTGCTTTCCAACCATACAGTACGATCCACAAGCCTGGAGCTGGTATGTGGCGGAGGGCTGCTTGGCCTGCGTTTGTCTTCAGCCGTAAGATTGTTGAGTACTCCAAGTCCTGGATCGAGAGCAAGAAGACTACGCCACAGGAAACAAATATCTCCTTGGATTCAATTCGCGGGAGAGGAGGTCATTCTTCTACGTTGATGTTCGACGACGCAATGTTTGAAGAGGATGCAATTGGTGGTTGATTTTCGATGTAGTGAACGTCTACAGATATGATTACACCTCAGAAAGCGAGGGGCCCAAATTGCCCATCGCAATCCACTTGTCAATTACAACAAGGTATACAGAACACACTACGGACTCTACACATACATACACACCAGTAAGATCCCGGTATCATTCATGTGCCCCGATATTTCGTTCTACACAACCCTCGTGTTACAGCTTGCGCGTGAGCGAAGGTAAAAGATTACCCTTCCGAATGCGGAAGATGTAGGTGAGAGCGAAAATTGCAGCGACCTTGGCAAAGTATATTCCTTCGTGAACACCTAGAGTGAATAGCGGGGGACGGAACTCACATTAAACAAGGTGACACCAAGCATGATGCCAACGTCACGCCAGCGGTGAGAATACTGAATATTGAATCCAATAAGCATGTACTGGTCTGTCGTCTGGAAAGGACAGTAGAGGCAGTTCGATGTCGCATTGGGGTTTGCTAGATATCCGCCCGCATAAGACATGAAAGGATCCATATAATCAGCACACGTGAGTCCTGTAGGAGGAACAATTGGAACAAGCTCCGTCGACGCGCAAACAATCGCCTGTCCGCTAACCGCTAAGAACAAGTTGAGCTCAATATAGAAGTCAGACCTAAGCACAAACCTTGACCGAATAGGCCTTCAACAAGATAAGTGAAAGGCGAAACCCTATACATCCACCGCCACCAACCCAACTGACTGAATGGCTGCAGGACACCGTTACTAGACCATAAATCAGCAAGCAGCCACGTTATCAGTTTAGAAATTTGACTTGCAATATGACGACAAATGAGAAGAGTGTGCTGAACAACAATGAAGCAATAAATGCAGTTGGAGCCATGGAAGCTATTGCGAGTGCGATCGTCGTGTAATAGAGCGGGAATATGACTCCATACATCAGATAGGTGTATCCAGCCCGGTCGGTGTCGAATCCGGCTGTCCAGTACCAGCACATAAAGAAGATCGACGAGCAGAAAATGTTCCAAGGTATCTCGACAAGTATCTGAGAGGTGACGAGAGCAGTCCACTTGTACATCCTGCTCTGGCGCTCCCGAACTTCATAAATTGACCGAATGTCGATGTAGACCGTCTGCATCTGTTGAGAAAGGGGGACACACAAAATTGTGGCCAAGAAAATTGCCTATGATACCAATTAGCGAACAAAGCCACTTCATCAAATGAAGCAAGGCATACAAAGAGTTTGTTTTGTGTACCCTGGAGGGAGTCTTTCGTCTTGAAGAATGTGAAGCCAATCAATAGACCACCAGCGATGTTGAGAACGAGCTTTGCTATCAAGTAGGTTGGATTCCGCCAATATGCTTGGAAGTTACGTTGTGTAAGAGCAATGGTCTGGTGCCTCCATGAAGTAGCAAACTGTGTGCGTAGCTCGGTCTGGACAACGGGACGAGAGCGACCTTCAGCATGAATGCGCCCAAGCTCATCCTCAAGCACAGCAGCTTCTGGCGAAATTCGCCAAACATTGTGCCAATCAACAGATGTGTTCGCGGTCGCTCCGGCACCAATGACATCAAGCATATATTCCGCACTGTCATAGCTTAACTCCACGAATGACTGAACCAACAAAGGACTTACGGGTTGGCATCCTCATCACAAGGTGGGGCTCCATTACGTTCGAAATATTTCAACATCGTAGAAGACTTGTCCCCAATGTCACCAAAGTAGACGGTTTGGCCGCCCTTACGAAGGAGGAGAAGTTTGTCAAATAATTGGAAAAGCTCCCCGGAAGGTTGGTGAATCCTAATAAAGCTCAGCATGAGAACACTATCAGATATATACAAGACTCACGTGCACAAGATGGCTTGTCCACTATCGGCGAGCTCACGGAGGAATGTGATGATGGCCCAAGCCGATTGGGAATCGAGACCAGACGTAGGTTCATCAAGGAAAAGAAGAAGTTTGGGCTGTTGGCACGCGATGTTCGAAGAGGGTTCTACATCTTCAAAGATGTACATACCTTCGCAGCCAGTTCAACGGCTATTGTTGTGCGCTTTTTATGTTCAACGCCCAACGAGCCCACAACTGCGTCTGCATAAGCTTCAAGGCCACACATTTGGAGACACTTGTCCACGCTGAATAATATCAGTCAGAACTGTCGATGGTACAATGTAAAATAGGAGGACATACTGGGCTTGAATCTCCTCCATAGGGACAAATTCCGATTGTCTAAGATGAGCTGAAGCAAGAATAGTTTCCCGAACGGTGGCTTGGGGTAGATGGGTATCCATCTGCTGACAATATCCCCTGAACTAGTTTTTAGTGTTGCCCACCAACGATATGGCTTTTACCTACGTCTGTGCTTGGAAATCTGAGGGGAGTGGTTGTCCGTTGATGAAACGGTCGCCTGAAACGACACCAACATCGACGCGCTGGGCAAGGACATTAAGCAGAGTAGTCTATCACGGTCTCGTCAGTCTACGGCGAGGTTGGGCAGTAAAATGATGATAACCTTTCCCGCACCCGATTCACCCATGAGGGCAGTGAGCTTTCCGGGTGCGACATAACCAGAGACATTGTCTAACAACATCCTCTCCGATCCCCCTGAAATGGGGACAACGTACTGCACATGGTGCCAGGTGAAGACATCTGGCGGCCCGTGTTTCTTCTTTTCATCAAATACTTTGCTTTGCTTGCGTGTGTTTTCATTAGGTGCTGATGGTCCCCCTTTTTCCTCATCTCTTCGTACATTGACGGGTCCAACAGACCTTGCGCCCTTAGACTGTTTGAAGAGAGTGACAGCAGAATCAAATGCGGAGCCGGTGTTGAATTCGGTAGCGAAGAGCAACATCAGAAGGAAGCCGACACCAAATGCACAGATAATGCCGTAATTCTGATAGAAAAGAAAATGAGCTGTCATGACTCCGGTCAGCAAGTCAGATTAGAACGTACGCGCCAAAGATCACTGTATTCGTAATCGTAAGATAGGTATGCGAAGGCGTTACCCTCGACAGTCGCCATTCCAGGCTGAGCTCCAACTGTGGTGCAGACCTGATTAGCCAGCGATATATTTTCATATCCAGGACCCTGAGGGACTAAGGTAGAGCATGTCCCGTTCAGAGTGTGGAATTCGTTCATCATCAATGATTCAAAACCGAACCCGAGAGGCTGCGATAGATGTTTCAGCGCGGCACTTGAAAAACAATACGTTATCCTACATTCAAGTAAGTGATCCAGCGCAGGGCGCCCGGGATGCTGAGCCGAGGAATAGTATAACCGGTGTACAGCGCGAAGACCAAAACACCAATGCCAGCTACTGATGTAGCACTAGACTCTTCTTTGAAAGCAGCAGCGACCAGCCTGAAAAATCCTTTCATCGCGGTCGTCATCGTGAATACCACCAAGAAGAATATGCTGTCAGAAAGGCATATTAGATCTGTAGCGTAAACTTGTAGACATGAAACCACTGACAAGAACTGCGATACTGTCCTCTGAAGGTCGACCAAGAAGTACAGAAGTACAGAGAAAACGCCCTGGATGACAAACGTAATTGGTATATCGACGACTGTGTGAGCCAGACTTTCGATGAATGGATAATACATCGCTGCTTTGTGGTGACGGAGAACTATGGGACGCTGAGCATAGAGGGCAGGTATTTCAGCCATAGCAGACAAGGCGCCGAAAAACAATGCACTATAGGACTGATTAGAAACTTCGCACACACAAGAATGCCGAAGAACAAACAAGAATAAGATGCCTCCGCGAGAGAAGTAACCAGAAGTTGCGTCAGGGAGGTGATAGAAGACGGTGCCCATCACGATGGCTTGGAATATTTGTGCACTTAGGGGCCATCAACACATTATATTGACATGAGCATACAATTGGTACGCACACAAGTTGCACCACTTGGGATGTGATATCGCCTTTTATTATCTGAACCCGGCGGACCATTACTGCCCTGACTTGCATCGGGATTGATATCGTATAGGAGTTACCCTTAGGCGCATGACGCGCATGCTCCAACTCTGCACTAAGACTGTATGCCTCCTTGCGCTCGGGTTTGCCCACGTAGAGATTACGATAATTATCAACCGATTGACGGTTGGCTCGCCCTAGCGGAGATGCCAAGAAGTAAGTTGCCATTTCCTCGGCTGTTCTGGGTATTGACCCTTCAACCTCAGCACGGAAGTTTCTCGCATTTGGATCCGTGACTAGAAAATCTTAGAATATGACAAGGATCATTACACCAATACGTACCAGAAACAAGAAAATCAGATGTCGTTTGTCGGTGGTAGGGTTCATATCCCATGTCCATGAAATATTGACGCGCCTCTTTTGCAGGCCCAAAGTAGACCATTCGGCCCTCGGAGATTACGCACACCTTGTCAAACAAGTTATATAACTGTTCACCGGCTTGGTAAAGAGAGACGGCTGTCGTAATCCGGCCAATATCGGTGCCAATGCGAAGTGCCTGGATGAACTCTAACGCTGTCGACGAGTCCAGACCACGAGTCGAGCTACAAGTCATCAGCGCTCATCGCAGACAATGAATCGAGGGATAACAAACTTGTCCCATGAGCTGATCAAGCTTCTGCATGACAAAGCCTCTGCGATAGAAACACGCTTCTTCTCTCCACCTGATACGCCTCGTATAGCGGCGTTCCCGACAACGGTATTACGTGCGTGGTGCAGTCCGAAGATTCTGATTAGGATGTCGACTACGTCGCGATTAAACTGGTCGCGGGACTGATCGCTGAACCGCGCATGCGGCGTGCGGGTTTTGATTGCGAAGGATAATGTCTGCTCAACTGTTAGTGTCGGAAAATGGACATCATCTTCAGGACAGTAGATGACATCGCCCCGATACTGCTTGGCTATTTCCTCAGGGGTAAAGGAGTCATACCACACATCACCTTCAACAGCGTGGTACTCTGACGTCTGATTGGAGAGTACCTTCAGGAACGTGCTGCAGCCTGAACCAGGACGGCCCAGAACGACTGGTGGAGGTCAGAACACTGGTGACCGAGTAAGACACAATCTAGACTTACGCAACATCTCTCCTGGCATTACCACACCTTCAAAGCCTGACAAAATGTCACGAATTGGGGGATTGCGCATTGTTGTAATATTTTTCAGCGCAACAGAGGGATTTAACATCGAGCCCACTGTGGGTTGCAGTGATGCGCGTGCTCCAATGCCAACTACGCGTAAATCATTAAACATCACGCCCAACTCACGGGCCTTGATGGACTCTTCACCCCGTCTACAACGCATTACAGCCAGTGGTAAGATGGTAGCGAATCACATACCGTCGAACGAGGTCCTTCAGAGTCTGCTCAAAATCAAAGTCATCTTGACCACTACTGCCACTTTCCATAGCGATAGATATCGTGGATTTGCGATTATCAGCCACTTTAGATTTCGGCAAACGTGGAGGGGGAAAGTTGTCTAGCGGACGGTGGTGGGACCGAGTAGATCGTGCTGTCATTGTCCGCTCCAACTCTTGCATACTGGCTGGATCGAAGAAGGTGAACGGTAGGTGAGATTGGCGTCCATCCTTCGACGCAGCGCCGGCGGACTGATTGTGGGCATCCATTTCTCGCGTTTGACCAGGAAAATCCATGGTGGGTGGACGAAGAACCGTTGGGATTATTCAATGAGTAACCCTGCGCTCTCTATATAGCAGGAAGCTGATCTGAGCTTCTACCCGTAGAAGATCAATTTCATTGGTTCCTCGGACGAACAAACGATGCCCGCTCCAAAGGGACGACACTATATATACGTACTCCACAGGAGACCGACAACATATTATGATATGGTATCGGAACTTTATTTCAGTTGGGGATACTGATTACAAGAAAGACTTACAAAGTAGACTACCCTTGCAAGGATCCAGGCTGCCGTGACTTCGGCCATTCATGTGACCATGCCCGACACCATTCCCGAGCACCCCGCAGCACGAATCAAATAATTTTCAATTATAATTTGATGTTGCGAAGATAAGGCCGATCCAAACAATTGGGCTTGAACTGCTCCTCGCGATCAGAAGAGCACCTCATGTCGGTCCCCTTTCGGTTCAGTCACTCACCTTGTCAACTGCCAATCAGGAAATAGCAATGCGCTATAATGATTCATATAGCAACCGGTGAATGTTCGGGGAGAATGTCCTCTAGTACGTATTCCCCGAGGGTTGCCCGTCTCGCAGTGACGTGGCATGGCGCCGGCCCAAAAGATCACTTGCAGTCACTAAACACAACTGCAATTGATGAATTCACCTGCGCTGTTTCTAAACATCTTCAGCGAAGAAGATGTGCTGGCGCGACGTTAGCACCAAGAGAAATGAATTCGAAACGCAACTTCATTCTTCACTCAAGGACGAGCAGTCCCGTCTGACAGAGACACACACTTAGTGCGTAAGTTCGGATTGCGTTAGTGCACCCTTGATACACTAATTCCGATTGAGGGAACAGTGATGAGTCAATATATACTTGACACAGGCTATGGACAGCCTCTTCTACCGGAGTCAGCGAGGCCTCAGGCAATTTTCGAGGATGCTTTAGCTTGAAGAGGTTGGCAAACGCCACGAATTTGAAGTCCTGTTGTTATGTTGACCCAATCTAGGCCTTGAGAGGGAACGACCGTCTTCCTTCTTTCAAAGGTCTGACTGGGAGACTACGATAGGCCTGGTCTCCAGGCCGATGCTCTTTTTTGGATCAGATTATGACGTGATATAAATTGGAAACGCAACGCTTATATAAGCCTGTATAGGGCCTCTAATACGAATACATTCCCCACCATAAAACCACCCATCTACCATGCGCACCACGATAAATAAACTCAGAACATAAGCACCAGCACCGAAAACTCCAATATGTCACCAAAAACCAATAACAAAGGGACCCCCCACCCGCCCCAACATAGAACTGAGCACAAACCAACCATGTCTCCCTGACAAACAAATAAAATGACCTAAGACCGCTCCACCCCTTAAGAATACCACCAAAAAACAAACGCACAACACCGCATCCCGAATGAGAATGCCATCCCCATTATACAACCCCATGAAGCCAACTTAATTAAAGATAACACGTCAACAAACTCCCACCAGAACACACCCCCCACAGACCAGATACCCTGAAACATAATAAGACTCACTGAATGCGAGATACCTGACACAACACAACAACTCGAATACATGTACAGCATCCAGAAATCAAAAACTAGCGTGAAAAGAGCCCCCCCCCCCACCCCAATGAAAAACTCTCAAAACCCACAACCGAAGAACACATGTAATACACCACCTGAAAACCACACACCGCACTCCAAAACTAATCCAAAAACGAAAACAAACAACCCACGAAAACTCCCATAGCACAACAAAAGGTAATGCCCCTAAAAAACATGAAATTCTAATATAAAAAGACCTCCCCAAGCAACAATACCCCCATCCTAGCTTGCAATGAAGGACTTATCCAGTGTCAAAAGTGTGAACATTAATGCTCACCCATCCCCTATGGGCACACACCAGTCCCTCCCCAGACATCAGTGATCAGGCTCACAATTCTTCCCGCCCAACATCCTAACAGATGAAGGGGACACCACCACAGAAGAAACCCCCACCCCATCCACACCATCCCCATCCCCCCACACAAACATCTCACAAGCTCCCCCTACTGAATCTGAGGAGAATGTGACAACCCCCACCATCAACTCCCTCATTTTCTCGAGAGACAAAGAGATAGAAATGCCTCTTGATACCCTACACCACTCCCCTGTGCAAACCCCTGTCCCCATGGATGATGAAACCATGTTAGACCCACCTGTCCCAACAACAACCCCCACAGCAACTTGCACCAAGCCATCTACATCCTCTCAAGAATCTGAAGAGGACCTACTCCATGCACACCTAGCCATTGCTGAGACAAACCGTTCCATTATCAGGTCTAATGGTATCAACTCCCTTATGGTCATTCCCCAGTTCACTCCCATACCTATGGGCGGCTTCCCCCACATCCACCTAGCCCATGTGGCACAATTCTTTGACTACCAAGCAGCAAAAGTCATTAACACGTGGCTGAAGGTCCCACACCCGAAAATCCTAGTTAGAGTTTTCGACCATGACGGGAAAAACCCATCTGTCAAAGGCCCCATCTTAGTCGAAAGACTATGCATTGCAGTGTCCGAGATCATGCACTTCATCCACCAGGATGGCCAAGAGGTAAAGGTCTCACCACCTTGCCCAGAAGCCACCACAGAAGATGCAAACTATCCCCTCAGCTTCCTTATTTATAACATCTCTGAGGAGATGAAATCACTCATCCTTAACCAGTGAGTCTGGTGGTCTACTGAGGTCACCTTTGCCGCTCATCAGTTCCGAGTCAATTCACCACCCCTTCTCCTATTCTGCCTTCACGGCTTCTCAACAACAGACAACATTACCATCAGGTCGGCTGTCTATGAAGTCTGGATGGAAGATGTCACAAGGTGGGATATCTGTGATATCCTATCCAAAGGAGATATCCCTGAGGACAAAGTCCACACTGCATCCTGGGACTTCATCAAGTCCTTGTGGATTGAATGCCTTGATTTCAAGGTTAGCAGCAGCATCCTACTCCCATGCTACAACGTGTTTGCCATCAGCCCAACCAATACCCCCACTGTCTGGACGAAATTGTGAGCCTATCTCCACTCCCTCACCTATCCATCTGAACTTGAAGGCACTGGCACTGTGGTCAACTTCATGCCCTGCCCCCTCTGCCATTCAATCATGCACCCGCAAGGGCTCTGCCCATTCCCCAACATCCCACCCTGGAACAGACCCAAGCACAATGTGGTAATGAGACCCAACAACTCAAGTCAAAGAGGAAGAGGCAAAGGGAGGAGAGGCCCCACCTGAGATCACTTTCACATCACCCGCTAGATACTGCACATACCTTTTAACTACCCCCCCCCCTGACGTACCATAGCACATCCACGCCCCCACACCATGTATCTCAGTACTCAAATAAACCCCCTTTCACCAGAAACTGCATACTAACAACATGATGTGAGCAAATCCTGACAACAGCCACAACTGCAAACCCAGATTCACAGGGCGAAGTCTGAGAATCCAACACCTCTGGCCCAAATATACTGGCTGCAGAAGCAGGACAGGAAAGCCGAAGGAGCCCTGACAGTGCAAGCCAAAAATGGAGGCCTATTTAGGCCAAGGATTAGCTGTGCAGAGATGCTGAAGCAACTGCAAAGTGACTCAGTAAGCACAGGACTTACTGTTTTAGATAGCACTAGCATGTATCCACCATGGCTGTCTGGGATATGACAGCCCTCGCCTCTCAATGGTTGTTTGGACGGCATAGTACATCAACCACTCAGCAATTCAATAATCAAAATAATATCTACAGTTCCTTTCCTGGTCTTGGTTCAAGCCTCCCAAGTAGCAGAGGGAGTAGCTCTCAAACCACTGGGGCCACCCCAAATGATGCTACCCAGGAGATGGTAGGTGGATCTCCAACTCAAACGCCCCACCAGGCAAACATAAACCTTAACAATACCCAAAGAGATACACCTCTAATTAAGAAAAAGAAAAAAACAAGAGCCAGCTTACTCCTCACTACCCTGAACATGAGAGGCCACACTGTGCAAACACAACAATGGCTAGACACTTGTTAGTGTGCCTAACCAAAAATATTGTTGTAGGTCGATGCTCTGCCTAGCTGCTACACTTGCAAGCAAGAACATTCGACCCTAAAGGGAATTGCTACTGAGAATGGCCAATGATACTAAAGACCCGAAAGTGTGCAGAGCATGGGAACAAGTGCGCAGGTATGTAGAGCGTGGGAATGCGGAAGTGTGGTCGATGAGCAGTCAATGAGCGGTCAATGAGCAGTCGATGTGGAAGTGCAAGATGCTAGGGTAGGGAAGTCTTAAGGAATGGTGCGGGTAACAAGTGAGGGCAAGGGTATTGATTGCACGGGTAAGGAAAGTCAAGGTAAGGTGTCCAGGTATAAGGTAACCAATAGGGGCTAAAAAGCGCGCACTAATGGTGACTGCTCCTAAGTAAAACCTAAGGGAAGGAAATACTGCAGAAGGGAAGTAAATATGAAGTAGTCACTCTAGGCACTTTATACTAGCTAACCCTCTCGGAAATGGAAGGGACAGGACAGACAGGCAGTAGGAATATGTAAAGACATGTAATAAGGCTGCAACACTTGTTACAACACACAAGGCAAGGCAAAATACATACCCATGAGGTAGGATGGACAATGGACTGACACGGGACATCTGTAAGGTAGTCCGAAGGCATGGGAAATTGACCGCAGGTATGCGCGCAGCGTGGGAGTGAATGCACGGGTCCACAGAGCGCGGGAATACGCATCCAGAGTGGGTTGAGTGCGGGAAAAGCGGTCGATGGTTTTGTAGCTTTCCATCACCTATATCAAAAGATGGCCATCACAAGCCTAGTGGGAATATGATTGTCACAGTGCGTCCCCTCAACTGGGAAACAACAAAATATCTAAGTGGTCGGCGATCCAGCATGTAATGAGAGAGAAAAAGATTGGTGTATTATGTGTACAAGAAACACATCTACTACCAGAACACGAGACACAGATAGATATGCTATACTCATGAAGGCTCAAAGTAATAAACTCAAGAGACCCACACTGCCCAGGGAACTCTGCTGGGGTAGCAATCATCATAAACAAAGAAATATTCAACCCCAAGGACCTAACAATAACAGAAATCATCCCCAGAAGAGTGTTAGTAATTAGAACTAAATGGCACAATAACACACACCTAACAATAGCGAACATATATGCCCCAAACACCCACTCACAACATGAAGAATTTTGGAATACAATAACGAGAACCTGGCAAGAGAAAAGACTACCCAACCCAGATTTTTTAATGGGCGACTTTAACATAACAGAAGACTCACTTGACAGAGCCCCAGCCTGACTTGAACACAAACAAGCACTAGATGCCCTAAGAGACTTAAGATTCCAGCTCGACATCCAAGACACCTGGAGGATAAACAACCCGACATCACGCCTCTTCATGTTCTATAGCAATACAAACATGTACTCACGACTAGACCACATTTACACCTCACCAGCCCATGAAAGAAATATATGTGGCTGGGACTCCTGCACCTCAGCCATCCTGACCGACCACAGAATGATACTTGTAAGATTCACCCCAAGCAATACTCCGTTCATTGGCAAAGGCCACTGGGCCTGGCCAGCGAGCTTAATAAATGATGAAAGACTCATTAATAAAATCAGTAAAGTGGGAATAACAGCCCAGGATAGAATCATGAACCAACAAGCACCAAGATCAAACACTGAGAACCCGCAAAAAGAATGGGAGGAATTTAAAATACAAATCCAACAGCTAGCAAAGATCACTGCAAAAGAACACTTAAACAAGATAAGAATGAGAACCAAGCAACTCAAAGAAGACTTATGAAGAACCATGGCAAATGATGACATTGACACCAATGAATCCACCAGGAGACAAAAAGCCTGCATTGAGAGCGAAATAAACCACCTAGAAAACAAAAGATTCAGTAAGATGCAACTATACTCCCAAGCAAAATGGGCTGTGAAAGGAGAAACAGTCAGTAAATACTGGTTGCAAATCAACAAAAGTAAGAAACCACAAAATGTAATATACAAACTAAGAATACCTGGTCAGAACCAATTCGCCACTCATTCTGACAAAATGGCAGAGATCACGCAAACATACCATGATAACCTGCAATGAGACCCCCTATCTGACCAGGAAGCAGAAGAACGAATAGCTGAAATACAAAGAACAATGAGCAAAATACTGCAAAACCAAAAGCTATGGAATAAACACTCACCCCTACACAGCCCCCTAAAAGAGAGCCACATTCAAGAGGCACTATACACCTTGAAAATGGGCAGCACTGCTGGAATAGACGGAATTCCCTATGAAATATGGAAAAACCTGCATGAGCAACATATCAATGACCAAAAGAAAGACATACCAAGCTTTAACATCATCAAAACCCTCACACTAGTAATACAACATCCAAGAACATGGTGTCAAGGAAGAAACAGACTTTGCATTAGGATGGATGTGCCCCATTTACATAAAGAAAGAATGCACTGAGATAGAGAACTACCTACCCAATCACCCTCTTAAATACAGATTGCAAGATCCTAACAAAGGCTTTAGTGATGCAACTAGCAAGGGAAGTTCACTCACTAGTACATACAGATCAAAGCAGCTTCATACCCCGCAGGTCCATTTTCGACCCTATTAGACTAGCGAAACTGATGATAGAATATGCCAATGTCATCAAAGAAAATGGAATCCTAATTGCATTAGACCAAGAGAAAGTGTACGATAGAATAAAACATGATTACCTGATATCAACCCTTGAAGCATTCCAACTACTACAAACCTTCACAAAAACCATAAAAGCCCTCTACAGAAATGCACACACCAAAATAGCAATAAATGGCATGCTCAGCACACCGTTTCAAGTCACCAGAGGCGTACATCAGGGTGACCCCCTGTCCTGCCTGCTCTTTGACCTGGCAATCGAGCCATTAGCCTGCGCACTTAGGAACTCTGATAAACTAAGAGGTTATAACATACCTGGTATAACAGACAAAATCATTTTGAACCTCTATGCAGATGACACGACGATATTCCTGAACAAGATGAACAAATACAGCAACCTTGAATCGATCCTATCAAAATGGTGTTGTGCTGTAGAGACTCGCACCTCTGTATGCCTGTAGAGCCCTATATTGTGATGCATCTGCATACAGTTCACAGCACGAACTCGCAGCATCATTCCCTGTATCATCCCTTCACTCAGCCTATACATGCGCGATCTTCCCGTGCATCGCACGACATGCGCGCTACTCTCCCACGACGCATTCCCGCGCGTGCCCCACGCGCTTTCCCACGCTTCATCGCCCATCATCCAGGAGCATCCATCCATTGTCCAGCAAGTCCTACTGGTATGTTTTTCACATTTATTCTTATCATGACACCATATTCCATCATGGACCCTTACTTACATATACCTTCTTTGTTCCCACACCTTACTCGCATCAGCTCCGCATCATGGGAGCACGCTTAGTCACCTTTTGCATGATAGCATTCGCATTTTTTGATCACTGAGTTAGCTACCACTTAGTTGGGAGTAGTATCCCTTAGCATCCCTCAACATAGTGCATGCATTTTTGAGCCATAGTCAGTAGCATTTTTGACAATCACACTATCATCATCACATTTGTCGTCCTCACACCCATCAGTATCAGTCATCATCTTCCTCTAGTCCCCATCACATTCCTAGCCCTTTGCGCACTTTCGCCTATTAGTGCACAACTTTCCTACGCTTTGCGCATCCTACCACTCTCTGCGTGCACCTTCGCCTCCGCACATGTGACTTTCCCACGCTTCATGCGACCTGTGGATGTGTTGCACTCGCTTTCCCTTGGGTTGAATGCACTTGCCTTTGCGAAGTATAGCAGCCATAGGCAGAACTGAGACGACCACACATATACTCTGACTTGGCATCCCTTGTAGTGCCATAGCTTAGTAGTTGATTCCTTCAGCACGTCAGGTGCAAAATTCAACATGGAAAAGACAGAGATAATACCAATAGGTACAAAAACACATAGAGACCATGTAATACAAACACAGAAACCAAACCAACTTGAACCCCCCCTAAACGACAACATAAGGATAGCACCAGATGGACACCCAGTGAGATCACTAGGCACCTGGATCGGCAACAAAACAAACGACATAACACCATGGGAACCTATACTAAGCAACATCAACACAGCACTGAAGAGATGGAAAAACGGCCACCCTACACTTGATGGAAAGAAGCTAATAATACAAATGGTCATGGGCGGCATGACGCAATTCCTGACAAAAGCTCAGGGCATGCCAAAAAATATAGAGACAGCACTTACAAAGATAATACAGGGCTCTATATGGGATAACACACGTACCCCACCCATAAACCTTGAGCAACTACAACACACAAGAGAAGAAGGTGGTATCAGGCCTCCTGGACATAAAGTCAAGAAATGAAGCGATTGAGATCACATAGATAAAAGCTTACCTAGACCTGTCCCCCTCCAGACCAGCATGGGCCTCAATCATGGATCTAATCATAAACAACATCAGACCAACACATGGTGAAGACGAAAGAACAAACCCTTTCCTCACATCATGGACCCCACCATCCAGAGGCCCAAAAATAACCTCACTACCCCATGAAGCACAAATGTTACTAAAGACAGCAAAAAAATTCAACATCAGCTTCGCCCCAATAAAACTCTCAAAAGAGCTTAAGAAAAGCCTACCAGCGTGGTACCACCTAGGGACCTCTAAAAATACCTATCACAAATCTAAAGATAAATGTTTAACAGACCGACATGACTCAGACAGCATTAAACACCTACTGAAGATAAGGAAAAGACTAACCCAAATCAGCAACAACAACCAGCACTTCCCCAGAAGCTCATGCCCATGCACCACCTGTCAGAAAGACAGAAACAAAGGCTGTAAGAACCCCCACACATGTGCGCAGCATGTGAATGAAATCCTATTTAAAATTGCACCAAAATTCAATACGAAAACAAAACCCAAAAAAGATGGACTCTCACTTACCTGCCATAGAACAGAGAAAAACTACCAAGCCCACAAGAACCGCCAAGGAGAAGTACTATTCGACCCGACAGTAACAAACAGATCCAGCCTATCTGACTGCTTCAGAATTTTTGTAGACCCCAAGAAAACATCACTCACCCCTGCCCATCGCCTACACACACCCACAAGAGGCCTTAACCTCATCCAGGAAAACATAACCATCTTTACTGACGGCTCATGCACCAATAATGGCAAAGAAAACACAAGAAGCAGCTGTGGAATATGGATAGCTGAGAACCACCCTAAGAACAAAGCTTTCAGAATACCTGGACAAAAACACTTGAATCAGATAGCCAAAATAACAGCGATATTCATAGCAGCACAACAAATAGAACCCTACATACCTATCACATTTGTAACTGACTCCAGATATACAATTGAGAGCCTCACAAAGCACCTCCCACACTGGGAAGATATCAGATGGATCAACGTAGCAAACAGTGACTTCATAAAAGCAACCATATATCACCTTAGAAAACAATCAGCACAAACAATGTTCATTTGGGTAAAGGGACATACCGGACAAGAAGGAAAAGAATGAGCAGACACACTCACAAAAGAAGGAGTGGACAAGCCCCAACTGGACACCCTGGACCTATCTATCCCAGACAAGTTTAATCTGCAGGGAATGAAACTATCAGTAATATCACAGGCCCTCACATACAAGGGCATCAGAGAAATGAAAACCTTAACACCAAGAAGAAAAACCTCCAGTAACATGGATGTCACAAGATACGCAATCCAAGACATAATGGGACACCTCGAAACAGATGCCACCATATGGACCAACAGCAGACACAAAGACCTGTCCAAAAAACAAAACAATTCCTCTACAAGGCATTACATGGCTCACAAAAAATAGGAGAATACTGGACAAACATACCAACATATGAACAATGCACAAAGTGCACACACTGTAATGCCAACGAAGAATCAATGGAGCACATCCTGATTGATTGCCCGAATAACGCGAGCTCCACAATATGGTCTCTGGCCAGAAGGACATGGCCACTGAAATATGGTGCCTGGCCAAGGATAGGCATTGGAACTATCCTAGGATGCGGAAGTCTAAGCTTTAAACAAGTAAATCAGAACAATGAACCAGACAACAACCAGAATAACAAACCATTGAAAGGCACCTCTAGGCTGCTGAGGATACTAGTATCAGAATCAGTGCATCTTATATGGGCCATAAGGTGTGATAGTACAATCAACGGTACGATATTCACAAAACGATAACAAAGAGGTGGACAACAAACATAAACAAAAGAATACAATTAGACCGATTAACCGCAAGGAAGATAAATCGTACCCCAGCCTTCATACAATTAGTCACCTCCACATGGTCCGACATTATAACATCAGACGACCCCCTTCCAAAGAACTGGGCGATAGCCCTCGAGGTTTTAGTGGGTATTAAACCACCCAGGCCCTCTACGAACGAGGTAACCAGGTAGTATAGAGTCCCACACACCCCTAACAACGGGAGTGCATAAACGCATTTTCTCCTCGGACCGGGACCCCCAGTATCCCGCTATAGCGCATATATTTAGAACTAGATCTTGTCAGTTGCTAAATATATATATCGCTTGTCCAAAAAAAAAAAAGCCTGTATAACAACCGATAACCCCAACCAACCACCAATCACTTCAACTCGTACGTAACTTCGACGAGTAGAATGAATGGTAATTGGCATGGTACCGGAACAGAGAGAAAAGCGCAAACGCTAATCCTCTCAAGAGCACCAGCCCAGCGCCTCGACCATATGTGCCACTGGAATTATAATGTACAAGCCCACGCGTCTATATCGTATGCCCAGGCATGAAGTGTTTTGGCTAGAGGACGGGAATATCACTCTTGAAGCCTCCGGAATACTCTTCCGGGTGCATCGGTCATGGCTCGTGCGACATTCAGAGTTCTTTGCGACTATCTTCAATGACAAAGGCAGGCACATTGGGTATGATACCGTCACTGGGATAGACGAAGACGAGCAAATTTGCTACCTGACCAAGCTCGAGGGAAAAGATCTAGAGGCACTGCTTCTATTCTATGACAACCCCGTGTAAGTAAGCTCTGCTATCCTGTGCTTGATATAGGCTCAACTATGACTGCGTAGTGTGTGTTGCGGTGATATCCGATTTTCTACCCTTGTATCCCTCATCCACGCGACAACAATCCTGGGATTTGAAGCAGATCGGCTGCAGGCCTTAAAACTGCTCGCAGATGACTGGCCATCTGATCTCGACCGCCTCCATGCCGGCTCGGAACTGCGCTCCAATGCTGCTCAAGTTGCCACCCTTTCGCGGGCGTGTGGGATTAATGGCATGTTGAAGCCTGTATTTTATGAAATGGCACGAACATCTGGATTTGGCCTGGGTGATGTAGACGAATCCAGTAACTCAAAAATATTGAGCAAATAAGTCAGGCGGATGAGCGACGCCTTATACGGACGCGAGAACAGCCCAGCGGTATATGGGTGCAAGCAGCAGCGCGAGAAGATCCATCCTTGACCTGTCCAAACCGTGTCGACGACCACTCCAGTGATATCCTTGACACGAAGCCAGTGCTTTCTTCCCCCACCCTGGGGCCAAACCGCTGTCTCCCGGTGGTGGCAAGGTGCTCAGCATGGGTTCGGCTCGTGCATGACTCAGGGATTTACGACCGGTATCGGCATGACCCGCTTTGCGGGCTGTCTGCGTTCATGCTCATTGTGGGAAGACGAGGGGTGGCGCAAGGATTGCCACCATAAAAGGCGGCGTGTGTGGCCCACTATGCGGGAGAAAACTTGGGAACAGATTGATGGGTGGATGAGCATCGGACAGTGAATTCATCCCACAGGTGTGGGATGTAAGCTGGAGGCAAATAGGCGTTGGAGTGGACTACTCATTTCAACAGCGGCTGGAGTATCCAAGGGGTGTCTGATTGTCCGCAACGATTGCAAGTACGGTAGGGTTGCTAGAACACATAAGCTATACATTTAGGGGTTTGCCTAAAAGGGGTTTAGACGAAGGAAAGCCAAACAAAGAGCACGCGTCCAGTGAAAGATCATTCTGTACTGAACTTCGCGAGAAGCCAACTGGCGAGATTGTCCAGGGCAAAACAGAGATGTCCGATATCGCTTCTCTCCTTCAAGCTTCCCTCCAGCCTGCTTCCAGGAAACAAGCAGAACAGCAACTACATGCACTTGCATCACAGCAGGGATTCCTGGCACATCTCCTTACGCTTATCCTCAACGGATCCTACGATCGCTCAACGCGCCTAGCAGGTGGAATATATCTCAAAAATGTTGCTAAACTACGATGGGAGGAGGTGCGTAATGATCTTTTTTTGATCACACTCATTCATCTCATCTGTGGTTCAAACAGGATGATGAACCCCTCCCGGAAGCAGACAAAGCAGCACTCCGAACCCAGCTCGTCCCAGCCATGATTGCGCTGTCGGATCCTACAGATAAAGCGATTCGTGCTCAAATCGCTGAGTCTGTCGCTCTGATCGCCGAACTTGACTTTCCAGCAAAATGGACTGATCTCATTGACGTGCGTTGTTCACGTTAAACCACAGGCTCGTTGTCTGACGCATCCTCGACAGCAACTCATCTTATCACTCTCAAAAACGGACTACAGCATCAATGTCGGGGTCCTGCAGACCGCTCATTCGATCTTCAACCAATGGCGGGCCCAAGTTCGCTCGGACGAGCTATTCACGGAGATCAACTTCGTGTTATCGCGTTTCATGCAACCCTTTCTTGATCTTTCCAATCAAACTGCAACCATGCTGCTTTCCTCTCCTGCCCCGCCTAATATCGCTATCGTAACACAAGCTCAGATTATTCTCGTTGATATATTCTACGATTTTACGTGTCAAGATCTACCCCCGGGTATCGAAGATGCTCACGACTCCTTTTTTGCTCCACAAACTGGACTCTTTCAGCGTTTCATGTCATGGGACCCAGCAGAGCTTCGATCCGATGTGAGCAATATTTTGCCGTCCACTGTCAGTTACTGACCTGTCATTTAGCCTGATGAAACACAGCCATCGCTGCCCGCGCAGTTGAAGACCAAGATTTTCGAGATTGGCGAGGTTTGCAATATGTCGGAAATGAGGGAACAAATACTAACATACATAACAGCTTTACATCAAGCTTTTCCCAGACCAACTATCACGTTCGCCTGCTGTCGAGGGATTTGTACAGAGCGTATGGGAGCTCATCGGGTCAAATAAGCTTCCTGGTGTTGCGGATGACTCTGTACGTTTTCAAGTGTTTTGTTTTGTTTTCTAGCGACCTCATTGGCATCGGCTTGCCAGCTTGTCTCTCAATCTTTGCGTTTTATATCCACCGCAATTCGGTCGGGTTACTATAAATCGCTCTTCTCTTCGCGCGATACCATTGCCTCTCTTGTACAAGGTGTCATCATCCCTAATATTGGACTACGCGACCATGAGATGGAACAGTTTGAAGATGAGCCACTTGAGTTCATTCGGCTTGACTTGGCCTTCGGAGGTAGTGCATCAGAAGTGGCAACTCGACGTCAGGCAGCCGCGGACGTGCTGCAAGCGTTAGTCAGCTCGGGTTACCAAACCGAGGCCACGGAAATTGTGGGGTCGTGGATCACTTCAGGATTGCAGCAGTACAATTCGAACCCCGCGCAGAACTGGAAGGCGAAGGACAGTGCCATATACTTGCTCACTGCTGTGGCAACAGAGGCGTCGACAACGCAGGTGAGCGAGCGTCAGTTTTTGTCGACGAGTACTAATCTGACGGCAACAAAAGCATGGTGTCACGTCGACGAATGCATTGGTAGATGTTGTGAAGTTCTTTTCTGAGCACGTGTATCAAGACCTCCGAGCATCGGCCGGCAGTATTCATGAAATCCTCTATGTTGATGCGATTCGATTCCTTTTGACTTTCAGGAACCAGGTATTTGCATTTTGATACAGGCCAACGCCTCAGCGCTGCTCACACTTCTACCAGCTGACGAGAGATCAACTTCTATCAGTGCTCCCTCTGTTGGTACGGCACTTGAATGCAGACCATTATGTCACGTATACGTATGCTGCGATCACGATTGACCGCATACTGTTCATCAAAAAGGGGACACAATTGTTGTGCGTTCGGATTTGTGTGACGAAAACCTTGCGCTCACGGTCTGACCACAGATTCTCTCAAGCCGACATCCACGATCTTGCTGCTGACTTATTCAATGCACTCCTGAGCAAGATAGAAGCTGCTGGCCCTCCTGAAAAGGTTGCCGAAAATGACCACCTGATGAAATGTAAGTCAATCACATACCGTGCTGGCGGGTAGTGACTCCTGTGTGCAGGCGCGATGCGCATAATCGTCACCGCACGTCAAACCCTCACCCCTGTCTATCAACAAGTCCTCCAGCGACTGGTCAACATCCTCGGTGTCATCGCAAAGAACCCGAGCAATCCAAATTTTGACCAGTACATCTTTGAAAGTATATCAGCGCTGTTGAGGTACGTCTTCGTTTCATCCTAAGAATCCTGGCCGACACTCTTGGTAGGTTTGTTGTGAGCGGCACACCTTCCACTCTGCCTACGTTCGAGCAAGCGCTCTTTGGCCCTTTCACATTTATTCTTCAACAGGACATAGACCGTAAGGAGCCAAAATACGACCCGTCTCCCATCTCTAACTTTATCTCCTAGAGTATATCCCCTACGTTTTCCAAATTCTCGCTCAGATGCTAGAAGCTCACAACACTGGCGTGCCATCCGAATATCGCTCCCTCCTCCCCTTCCTCCTGACGCCCACATGCTGGCAACAAAAGGGCAGCATCCCCGGTCTCGTGAAGCTCCTCAAAGCATTCCTTGCCCGTGACGCTGCCGAGATGATCAAGACGGGGCAGATCGCAGCCGTACTGGCCGTCGTCCAGCAACGCCTGATACCTTCCAAAATCAACGATGGCTGGGGCTTTGAACTTCTGCAGGGTGTCGTGCAGCACGTGCCTCCGTGAGTTTTTTGTGTTCTTGCTACGATGAAACAGGAATTGACAGCATCGGCTGGTTAGGGCACAGCTAAAACAGTACTTCAAGGCAGTCGTCATGACGTTGCTCACAAGGATGCAGACGAGCAAAACGGATAAATATGTATATCTCTTTTCGCACTTCCTTCTTTTCACCATGGCTGTCAATGTTGATGGGCTCGGGCCAGACTACGTCATATCCGCTGTCGAGGAGATTCAACCGCAGTAAGGCGCATCTTGCTCTTCAGATTTGTCACATCGCTCATATGTCTAATTTTGCAGGCTTTGGTCGCAGATTCTTGTCAACTTTATCGTCCCGCAGGTGCCAAAGATGCCGCACAAAGACAGGAAAGTTGCAGCTGTCGGCCTCATTCGTATGCTCACGCAGAGCACGATCATGATTACGCCTCCGAGCGCGCAGAGCTGGTGAGCCGCGCCCCCTCCCCTTCTTACCACTAACTCACGTCCCTTTCACAGGCCCCCAGCATTTGTCTCCGTCATTAAGCTCTACAGCGAGCCACAGTATCTCGCCAAGTCTAAAGACGAAGAACAGAACACTGGCATAACGGAGATTGACTTCGAAGAGCAGACTGCGGGGTATCAGGCTGCGTATTCCCGACTCGCGGCGGCGGACGGTGCGCCTGTGGACCCCGTGGCGTATGTGCGGGATCTGCAAGACTTTTTGGGGCAGGCGCTGGTGAAGGCGGACCCACGCGTGAAAGGGCTGCTAGCTGCGGGCGATGAAAAGGTAGTGCAACCATTTGTGCAGGCGCTTGTGGCATCTGGATATGCGATTCGGTAAATTACATAGCCGGAAGTGGCTGCCACATCTTTTGGGGTATCATTTGTATGACAGGGTGGACAACAAGTACCCCACGTGTGCCGGCGAATATGCGTGTGTAGTGTATGTAGATAGCTATGATATCGATTTGACTTGTGCTGTTGTGCAGAAGTTGAAATCAAAAGGCATGTATTCACACAACAGCCTCCATTCTTTGAATTGTTTCGTATTACCGCTCCGATCACGACGTACCGCGTTGCTCTGCATGTGACACGACTGACACCGATCACGATTGACCTATGTAATTACCGTACACGCTACGCACCGGTTGCAACGATTGAACTGCTGACTCGTAAGCTACTCGTGTCAGGCAATCCAGCCATACTAGATGTATGTAAAATCCATGTATCGTATTGCGCTGCGTACGCCTGACAACTTGAAAGAGCCGGAACAAATTTCATGCCTGACCAATAAGTTAAAACGACGTAGCATTACAAATATTCGAAGGCGATTGCGTACCAAGTCTGACTAGGCTGGGCAGTCGATGACTCGATCAAGACAAGACTAGAACATTCGAGTAGAGCGAGCCTGCCTCGGCTCCTCGAGGACGAGTCGTGCGTGAAAACATGGGAACGGGTGAGCCGGTATTATTAATACAAGACGCTAAGCAAGTTTGTATGCCAATCCTGAGAGTGGAGCCGGAAAATCCGGCCACTTTGAGGAAGGACGGCTATCAAACTTCATCTGACGTGCGGGCTCGTACATAAGCATCTTCCGGCTCTCTAAAAGCACAGTCCATAGGGCCATAGATAACGTCAAATATAAGGGCACTTTATACTACTACGCTGCTGCAGGTTCCTACAGGTTCCTTCAGCTCGAGCCCTGGCAGCCTCGGAAGTTCCATGAAGACGTTGACTCCGCGTCAACGTCTTCATGGAACTTCCGAGGCTGCCAGGGACTTGGAAGCTTGAGGAAGTCCACGCTCAACGAGGACTATGTTAGTCTGAATTGACTGCGGTGAAAATAAGTAAGAGACGAAAGGTAATAATAATGGAGAGAAAATGCCTACGTTTATATAGCGTGGCCCGGTCATGCCCACAATTCAGTCAGGCGGATGGGGAAGGCTGTTTCAAGAGCTTGATGGATACATCCTAAGGCAGATCAGGTCGTCGGGGAAGTATAGGTTCCAAGGAACTTTAGAGTGGTATTGGCGTGTGCTCGCAGAAGTGGCTAAATTGAGTGTATGACCGAGTATCGGGCATGTCGAAGAAAGGCGTAGGAAGGATGATACATTGGCATGCCGTGGATATCAGCGAGCCTTTGGTATAGAGGAACGTGGGGTAGGGAGAGTGGCTCGCAGGGCTGGCCCGTTCGACGCGACTGAAGTTGGGATATGATCGGGAGTTGATATTAGGACTTGAGGGAGCCAGGTGCCATAATCGCGCGCACCAGTGACAGATGCAAACCAACATTCTGGAAAGGTGCTGTTTTGGAAGAGTGAATGTCAAACTTGAACCATGCGCGGGCTCTGTCCCTCAAGAGTTGTAGGCGCTTGGAGGCGAAAGCGAGATTGTCCGTCACGGTGTTTGGGACAGGGAGCGACTGTTGGCCACCAAATTCAAACGATGTACTGAAACTTGGAGGATGACATGTATGTCTGGCGAAGGGCCTAACATACCTGCAAGAGTGTTCTCAGTATAAAAATACATCTAGAGCAATAATAACATCAAGAAGGTCATAGATTGTCACTCACAGCTGTACAACGAAGAATATCTCGGGGCCTGCACCATGTGTTCAGCTTGCATGCCATTCCACAAGAAAAATACTCGTACTTGTCCGTGAAAATCAAAAGCATCAGGAATGCTGGCGTGCAGTTCGTCAGTACTGATTCAGATGGATACTCGGCAACGAAGCTCTGAGAGGGTACGATCGTCGTCTGCGGGACGGTCGTGGTGAACTGAACGTCCCGCAGAATGTCTGAGGTAGGCGCAGGTGGTACAGGATGGTGCTCAACAAGCACAAACTCCTTCAAGTTGTTGTTGACCGGCTGCATGAGGTTGATCATAATAAGTAAGAGACGAAAGGTGATGACGATGCATCTCCTACCCGGGTTTATAAATCATAGCTCATGTCCACAATGCATTTCAGGTGGATTGCAGGCGGTGGATTAAGTTGAAACCGTTGTGGATCCTTATGCTAGGCATTGTTAGTTTGTTACATGGAGGTATGAGACTGCATTAATACTAATATTATTACTAGTAATAGCCACCGGCCATTTGATACCATCACTACTCTTCACATATCACATGCCACATCTTACCCACCTCCATGTTTGGTTGAACTTCAATTCCCCCATGACTTCCGGGCCTCCTCTCGTTCCCTGATGCGTACCTCCAATATTAATATTGATCCCTTGTTAATCCTGCTAGCACACTCATAGTTTCTGTATCTCATGATAACCAGGTCCGCCTCTCGCATCGACGAACCATAAATTTCAGCACTCACCTCCACTGCAATGTGTCACTTTCGTCATGGACGGCAAGCACACCCTCAGCGGAGGTTGTGATAATAAGATTCCAGAGTGAGCGATACCCATGGACGTGAAATCAAAAGCATGTTTCCATCCTTGGCGCTCATAACCCAGTTTGAGCATACTTCTCACTATTAACATGACAATCCGAAATGCACTGGACGCCTCGCCGGGGACTTGTCTACCGCTGAAGACCTACTGAGGCAAGATATCCATACAGATACCAGTGACTATGAATCCTATGTCAATCGCTCATTTGTTAGGTGTAGGGGGGCGATACTCTTCAGGATGCGATCGAGAAATACCGATGCCAACACGAGTCCCTTAGTACGAAAGGCTGGCTTTCATTGTGATATAGTCCGTCAGCATTCAGTCCTCCTTGACTGGCTATATATCGAAAGGCATTGCCAACTGTGTAAAAGGATACCTCCTGGACGCAAGGACAGTATTTGACCGTTCACGAATAAATATTCAGAAACCGTCCATTATTTTCTATCCATTAAAGTATATCAAAATTTTCTCCCATACTTTTTGCTTCATTCTGTACATCAGGCCATCTCTTCAATGCAGAGGCGATATTACTCGTCAAAGAATTGTCTTCTACTTGTCCTAACTCGCGTGTCGTGTCTTGGAGGCGAGGATCATGCGCCTAGTAGGTTCACTCATCGGCGCTGATATTTACAACTTCGCACATCAGGCATAGTATGAGCGTGTTCAGCTCGGAATCAATACCTTCGATGGCGCGCGTCATGACGAAGTCGCTGACCGCTTCATTACTGTCAACTCCAGCGCTTTCTCACGAAGTTGGACATTCATTCTATATACAATGACTGCGTGGTGGTACGTCGATACAATGCACCTAACGATGTTTTACATGCACCTTGTCCAGATCTTTGGGTGGGACCTCAAACTTTCAAGTCCTATTGCTGACTGCACGCCGGGCTGTCCTGTTGGCAAGTAAACTCGACGACGCTCTCGAATCATACCTGACTACATCATTGAGAACATTTCTCGACGGTCCTTTTCCACGGGCTGCGTCAAGCTTGGCGTGTGCAGAGTGAGCAGCATATCTTTTAACATTCCTGGACGACTCGACTGCAGGTTACTGAATTTCCAATCTTCTTGCAAAACTTACAAATCACTTGTCAGGCTATCTTACCATTCGCTAAAAGTGAAAGTGCATACATATATACAGCCGCCATCATCTTCGCATCGATTGCCAATGGGCGTGATGTCGCTTATCTCCTTCAGAAGCTTGTGTCCAGGAGACACTAGCCAATTGGATCAGCGCATCCTAGCACGATCTCAACGATCCTCTGGAACCTCTGATAGCGGCAACTCACACTCAGTTGTCTGAACTTATTTTGATTTCTACGGCAGGCTTTTCCCCAATAAAATAAAACGGAGCGACCTGCTGAGTATTTGAGTTCAACATCGTTTGCATATGCCAGCCAACACCAAATATCTATTGATTTCGCAGTTCAACTCGCGGTGAAATGATGCGTGTGCTTGGGTGCAATAATGTACAATGCAGTGTTTATGTCCTACAAGAGGGTTCGACTTGGGATTGTATGTAGGGCGGCATCGGAGCTAGCTTCAAAAGATGCCTCATGGACATCACACGACGCGGCGCGGGAAGCATGCTAGAGGGACTTGAAGTTCACATCATGCCAGTTCTGAAGCAATGGTGTAGATGCTGGGACAGGCGTACTGTAATGGCGTCGCGTCAGGTACGGTCAGCACCAGAAAAGAACAAGATTGCCTACGTCGTCGTTATCGACCAGTTCCCGTAGCTCAAGACGAGAGTTAAGACTGGTGGGGGTGAGGCTTCGGTTCTCGAGGTGGGAAAACGGACTTACACACTGAGGAAACTATTTAGATAACCTACAATGCGGGTGGATAAGTTTATGATGAAAGATAAAGCGGGAGGCGCACAGTGGCTCATAAGGATGTATGGTACAAGAAAGGCGCCATTGCGGGGGCAGACGAGAAACTGAAAGGGAGAGTTTGTGAGTGGGATCGTCTATCCTGTCGAGATGCGTACCAGTATGAGAAATAGTGTGACATCTACACTAAAACGATAAGTCAGTCGTGGAACAGCACTGTATTGGGGACACGATTACGCAGTTATCAAGCCCACATTGACAACAAGCACGGTCAATCTGGTGATGAGACCACCGAGTCTTGACAGAAATGAGCCCATAATAGTGAGAAATGATAGACGGGACGAACCTTCCTATCCCGGTTCGGGACTTGTGAAACAAGTACACTTGGGTAGCGGCAATGAGGAAGTCACACGCCATCGAAGACAAGTAGAAACTAGAAGCGGGCAACTGAGGGTCGCGTAAGGTATGGAAGTTGGCTGAGATGTGAAGGTGAACTTACGTTGCTGACGTGAGTGCTATCCCACAGGGGATCACGGACACTGGGAGAAATATGAGTATCAATTAGTCCGGTGTTAGACCAAGCAAACTCACATTTCGAGAACCATTGCTGCGACCAGTTTGAGTAAGAGATGACATAATTTGGAATATGAGCGTACCTCCACCAGATCCTGTGTGTAAGTCATGAATCAGCCATGTCGCGGCCACAGCAGATTATTTTTACCTAGTGCAGCCAATGCCAAAAGGACCTGTAGCGCCGGTACTATGAGTGAACGGGGACACGAATGCAGACTTGCCAGACTTACTATGAAAAATGTGACTAGAATGTTTCCAAAGCTAACTAGAGAGCTATGAGTGTAGAATCTCAAGATTGTTAGCTTAGACCTCACGTCGCCATATACGGTGAGCATATGTCCTGAAAAGCGGAATAGGTACTTATTGCCACGAAGAACAATAAGAGACGTACAATTGCACCAAAAAAGCCATTATTGACTATGATAGAGTGAGGATGCTTCTGATTAAGATGGGCGTTGAACCACCTACAGTAATGCCCATTGATGCCTGTAATGAGTGGTTACGATACTATGATCTAATGAAACGAGAGAAGCCCACCTCAAATGTTCTAATCAAAAATGAATATAAGGAGAATGACAAAGTGGGAAATGACATACTTTGATACATGCGATGACATCGTGATGTCACCTTGCCAAACTATGGTATAGTGATATATTGATGCGGCGACAAGGGCGAGCTTGTGCTGTGTCCAAGGCCCTGGGGAATGTGGGTCACAGTGCAAAACAACGAGTTTCAAGTGACAAACCACAGAAAAGCTACCTGAAAAGACGATTGAGAATTGCAAATTGGGGATGGATGATATGTGGTACTTACCAAGGCCTTCATAGACCATCTGTCTTTTGGATAAGTTCGGAAATACCGCCAGGTCTGGGCGAGAGTGAAGCCATAGAACCTAGTAAAAAGATAATGATAAACGATGTTAGGATCACTGTAATGAGCTCACATGCTAGAGATGATGACTCCTGATAGCGGTTAGTAGGGTGTTATGAAGGGGTAGAAAGTGATACTAACCAATGAAATGTGAAGCTAGGACGGAGAGAGTATCGTTCATGGTAAGGAGCGTGAAGGGATGGAAGAGTAAGGAGAGGATGAGGGGGACATAAAAGATAAGTTGAGGATCGATTGAGATGGATATACGTGCCGTGGTCTACGGAGCGCTTCGACGAACGACATGAACGACTAGAGAAGCTAAATTACATGGAAGGTGTATTCCGACCTCCGCCAAAAACAGTACTTTCATGCATCAAACCTCATTCAGCTTAAATTTAATATTAATTGTTTCATAATTTATGACTGGTCTCTTGACTTGCTTCCGGAACTTGCTCGGCCAATCACTACACCTGAATCCGAGGAGATGCCCCGGTTGTAGCCGGACAGGCGTCTGATCAGAGCAACTTGCTCGCTTCGCTACCTACCTCGAATTCTTTGGTCCTCGGCACTCAATGGACTTGCTAAATTTCACACTCGTAGCTCCCAACTCATCTGTAGTAAACAAATCCTTGTGCAATGCTTGGCTACGCGCCATCGAAGAATACTTTCCTGACCCAAACGACTCTCCCTTTACAGTCATAGAGGGTAAAGTCCAGGAGATAGATCCTAAACGCTTGCGCTGTGATTGCGTAGTGTCTCCTGCAAATTCATTTGGAATCATGGATGGCGGGTCAGTAGGTTCCTGACCTCTCAGGACATTCCATTTACCCACACTAGAATCGATTATCAATTCTCTCGTATTCTCAAGGGAATGGGTGATATATGGCACTTGACTGATCACTGCCAGACTTACATTCGAGACGTCTGGCATGGTTACATCCCCCCTGGTTCCTGCATGATCGTCCCACTTCCTGATGATGCCACCTCAGCAGGCAACCCGTGGAATGCACGTACTCTTGCCATATCACCTACGATGCGCGCACCAGATGATGTCAGTTGGCACCAAGATCTTGTTTATAATACCATGTGGTCTCTTTTGGTGCAACTCGACCGATGGAATAAAGCCTCCGATGCGGAGGGCCATCTCAAGATTCAGACAGTTTTGATGACAGGGCTGGGCACGGGTACCGGAGGCATTGATGTGGACAAGTGCGCACGGCAGATGGTCCTTGCGGTGAAACATTTCCGTATGCCCTTGGCTGACCACGTGCGTTGGAATAGCGTAGAACAGCGCTTGAGGGACGTCCTAGCCACTATGGACTGCTAGAAACCCAATTCTATTGTCAACGCTAGGGCGCTAGGACCGTTTGTAGTACTAGTAGCAGCTCCCATCTTGGTCTTTGCGGGAGCTTCCCTTGCCCTGAATTAAATGGATTTCCCCTTGATGCATGCCTAGAATGATTCACCTGTCTGATTGTTCCTTCACTCCATCGCAAATCCGGCAAGTGATTTACTTTTTGACGCGATTGGCCATCTCTCATACATGACTTGCAGGATATACATAGTACGGATATACTTCTAGGCACAAACGACAAATGCATTCAGCTAGTTTTCTTGTCCGTTCTAATATTATGTCCACTCGCACCTGCTGGCTTCTGCGTTTGGTCTGTTCCACGGACTACGTCGAACTTGTAGCTAATAGAGATCTACCGAGTCGGAGACAACAATTCAATCTCGACACCTATTGAATCACTGCACTTTTGCATGGATGTCTACCAGTACGTTTTGGCCAAAGTCGAAAAGACGCTTCACTTACCATCTTTGTTCTGCAAAGTAGGCACTGGTCCCTTTAAGTTCGTCGAAAGAAGAACACGTCAAATGGCCGTACAGATAACGTCCCTGAACACCTGGTCATAGTTTAGGATAGTATTTTCCTTATTTCGACTCACGTTTCCTTTGTGCTCTAGTCCAACTTTCGTCATTGGAAAACGGCGAAAACATAACTGCCATAATATGTCTCACGACCTACATATGTGACGTTTGCCTTCATGCGGGGTACTTCCGAGCTGCTGGATATACCTCGGACATGAGGAAAATTGAAAAGATGCCGTCAACGTAGCAGTTGTCAAACGTGGAGATAACTATGTGGTCACCTGCGCTTATCATAGGTTTGTTCCGCTACGGAAGGAACGCAATCAGATAACTTGAACTTACCTCACTGCGTGTATTATGTCAAGTGACTAACACCGATGAGGTTAACGAAGCTGATCTGCTACAAGGAAAAAACCAAGAACGAGTGTCTTCGAACTATGTGAGCGCACAGAATACTAGCAGCACTGAGGGCATCCTATTGTGATGCCCGAGCTCGCCAGCGTATTTCTTCTTCTCGACTTGATTGATACTCTTGTCAGAGTGGCAGCGATGTCGGCCTGTTCTCTTCATCAGGGAGGTGCTTGTGCTGCCTTTGGGGCGTCACAGCTAAAGTTCTTGACCGCCCTCAACTGCAGGGCCAACGACCATCAATAGCAAAGACCGTATATGTTGAGAATAGCCCACCCCTGTTCGTTCAGCTTCAAGACGTTGCTCTGCCCACTCGAGCGTCTCCAACATCCTCTACTACTCTAGCTGATAAGGATCAACACCCAGACCGTGGAGATATATACCAGCCAGAGTTGATCTGATAGTCCCGATGCTGACTCCACAGTGACAGGATCGTGCAATATGATTTTGGCACAATTTTCCTCCTCAGGGAATAGTTTTCTCAAGCTCCTACACACGATATCAGCGAACTAGTAGCACTCGTGCTCGTATAGATGATACGTAGGGGACTGACTGTATACTAGAGACAGTATCATGTATCCCTTGAGTGCTGAAAGCGCGGAAGATGAGAATGAGAGGGTACAGAGCTTTGTGCAAATCATAGGGTTTATACATGAAGATAAAGTATCATGCTGGATTGCGAGGTGAACCAAAAAGGTACGTGGTGCCATAAGCGCAGGTTTCGGACGATGAAGCCTTGATAGATCGATTGGTTCTGAAGACCGTTTGAACGAGGCCTCTTGTTGGCGCGGTACAGTCCGATACAGAAACTACAACTTCGAGGTATCGAAGGGCCATTAAGATCCAATGACTGAATAAAGTACGGGAAAATTCCTGGACTTTTTCATTTCAGTCGCTGGATAATCGATGAGATATCGGAGGAAGCATCCCCCACTATTAATATGCAATACTCGATGTGATGCAGTGAACATTTCATATCGCAATTATCCCGACTCTTGTCCCAGAAACTTGACGAATCTGTCATCCGGGAACATGATCCAACCACCGGCATGGAATACGGCCCACCTGCGCTGTGGAATAGTGGGCAAGTCAGTTGAGGAGGCTTATCGACAGTCTCAAAGGCTCCATCTGAACTAGGCCCTGACACGAATGGACGAAGGAGCGCGGCCAGGCATGGCGGATACTGGGGCGGTTTTTTCAGTCTCGTTATAAGGACCCATCGCAAGTTGATAGGGGTTCGACTTTGCACCAAGGAAATTACTGAGGCGATCTCAACAATATTTGAGTCAAGGTTTGTTTAAACGGAATACTGCTCAGCGCGTATGGTCGGACTTTCTTTCTGAGCGTCAAGTTGTGGGTGCGCTTGAGCGACATCAGCAAAACATCAGTGTGTACGAGAGGAACGATGGCGCTCAAGTGCGTCTTTGAGGGTTTCAAACGCGTTTGGCTAGGCGTTTGATGTAAACGGGGATGAAAATAGATAAGAGGGTGCCTCACGTCCTGAGCCATCTCGTCCAGTGCGTGTGGATTGACTGGTTCTGCTTTGTGGACATGTTCTGTGCTTGCCTATTGCACGCGAGGGGAGTATGAGTGCCATCCAGGTGTTGGTGACATGCAGATACTGACTGGCATCGTATTAGAGCGGTGAGGCGGTGAGGACATGAAAGAAAATATACACCCGTTGATGATTATTTAGTGATTATTCAAATGAGACTCCACGAAATTGCAAAATGACCATCGTTCGCTTCACCGTCGTCCATATTGTCGCTGACGACGTCGTCACCTAAGGGAAATACTTCAGTTTTCATAATTGATCTACTGGACCAAGTACTTCAGGTGGACGTAACGTCACCGAACTTTTCCGAGTCTTACGTGATGTCATTCGCGCTCCACTTCAAGGGGTGCGTCCACTCTAAAATTTTGATTCGTACCCTGACACTTGATACAAACACATTCAAGAAGTCAGCCAACCAACCAACCATGTATGTCAACTGCGCAGCGCCCCATACACCGTCCCGCACCCTTCAACAGCACCTGATCGGGCATGCAGTTGGTTATTCACTAATGTTGCGACCCATCCGACTTCCCCAAAAAGTATTGGACATGCAACTCACCGTTATCATGACATCGCAAGCTAAAGATAAAGCTCCACATTTATCTGCACCTGCCAAATCACAATCTTATTACACTCACATACTAGGTAATCACTTCATCCTGGCGAAAATGAACAAGACGAGAGACGGAAGGCCGAAATCTGGAGTGAGGTATAGTACTTCTGTACTCGGAGTCGACATGTAATCTGAGGTCCACATATTCGCATCTGTTGCGAAGGCATGACAGAATTCATCGGTGTGTACGTCGAGAAATGTAGCTTCAGTTTCCCTAGTTGTCGCGAATTCGATTTGAAGCAAGTGTCTAGACCCGGCAAGGTTTGCATGATCAAGCGCATGGGGCGAGATAGCAGAGTACTTACCCATGATAAGTAACCTCTCTCACAACTGAGAGCAATGACATAATATTGTTCATATGAACTGTGCTCAGCGTTGTGCCCGTCTGAAAGTCTACCACCGGCACCTGGAAGGATGCAACTGCTAGCATCACCAAAAGACAATCGACTCGTAGTTTCTCCGGCGCCCCCACCAGAGTCAATTTCCGGAACATGGGAAGATGAAGTCGAGTAATTATCTTGATAAACTCTTGCCAGGTGTCCGCCTCAACCGAGGTGTGTTGAAGCCAGAATTCCAACCTTGCGCGGGTGACATAAACACTGTTTCCCAACGCTGGCTCTCAGAAAAGAGGATATCGAGAAGTCGAGAATTTGCTACTGGTTTAATCCAATTGCGTTTGCATTCATGGGAATCGTCAAGAATGTAAAGGGTGAGGGGCAGCCTGCCAGAGTGAGCAAACCAACACTGGAGGAAATATGGAAGAAATGGTTTCCATGTTTAACTTTCCCAGGTGCATGACCAGGATGCGCGACCAGACTTCTGGCGTTGAATGTGCAACAGCTCACCAAAAACGGCACACTCTGGTGAAGACTAGGGGAGGGTTGGCAACATTAAGCGAAATAATGTTTTATTTTAATGAGAAGATACTGGCACCTGGCCATGGCGTGTCGTGTACAATGAGCAAGAAGACTTGTCGCAGAAGTTTCACTGGCAGCCGATGGATGTATGCTGGTTCTGTCGGCGTCAAGTTGACGGGAGAACTTGAACGAAGAGAAGGATATTAATGTGTAGGTCTCACGGAGCAATTTCATGCTCCTCTCGCTGAATGCTTTCATCATTGAAAGCAGATCTGGCGTCTTGAGGAGAGAAATAGGCCAGATGACTTGGTCAAAATTTGGTATCATGTTTGTTTGTTGTCGCGTTCAATTTAGCGTCTGGCCCACGCTGGCTCAACGATATCAATGGTGCCTACAAACTACGCTGACTGTCTGACGGCCGTCGTGTTAAGATGGCAGTATGCGAGAGTCGAAATAGCACTTACATTATTGATATGGGGCTGTAGTCACAAAGTGCTCTGCAAATACGCCATACTCTTCCACCATTCACATCTCTCCCAATATCGTCTATATCACCTTCCACGGAATCATCTCCATGATGCGGAACAAGAGTATTCCCTGGGGAACAAGTCTTAACTACCTCTCACACTCATTCACGGACTATCATTCACAAGATCAAACCATCAGTAATGCCATTATAGACATTGCGATACCACCTACCGCAGGGCTTACACCATTCAAATGTGTACGTTGCACTTATCGCGAGCTCGTGGTCGAGACGGAGTTAGACTGTTGCAAGATTTTGACAAGAACTTGCTGAGCGCTATTCTGTCAAGCTCGACGTCACCTGCACAGTTCAGTTCAGCCCGCCCAGTGGAAATTACACCAAACAGAAACGACGATAGCACTTTTCGGCACGATAGTTGGTTTCTCATTATTCGGTCTTGCACTGGCAGCGCATTTCGGGCAGCTCGGAATAAAGAAGAGAAATCTCTTGCAGAGTGAGTGCCCTCATTCGCCACAACATTCATTATGCCACAGCTATGATACTGATACTGACGTCGTGAGCAGACCTCGGCGGACATGCATTGTCAATGGTTATGCTGGGCATACCTGTGGGACGAACGTGCAGCGGTTATGCTTGCGCAGAGGCGTACGGTGATTACTGAATGGAGAGAACAGAAGTTGGCGCATACTGCGTGATTTATTGTAGATTTTTCTGTGCGGAGGTGAGTTCGTGATTCTTGATCCTTTTGTTGTTGTGATGGTGGGCTGAATCCCTCGAAGGTCATGCGAGGCATATGTGGGATACCAGCCTTATTAAGGTCCCCATTAATGGAGTACGCTGTATATCAGATATCTTTCGACGCTGCACTGAACGTCGAACCTTATGATTATTGAGCAATATCATCACCCACACGGAAGGGCACTACGGAACGTACGCTCATGTTTATCATACGACAACTTTACGCCACAAAATGGTGGTGCCAGTGCTTTGAACATTTGGTGATGAATATATTTTTTCGATGTTTTCCAGTCTGTAGTGGAACCAGTGGGGTAACTGTATACGTTCATACTGCCCCTCCTTTGGTCTGCACCCGGGTGTCCACATGTTTCCACTGCTTGCATCCGACTTGAGCAGCGACATGACTTGGGGCGTTGAGGTATTGGATCCTCAGAGTCGCACATACCCCGATCTAGGTGTTCGAAGATTGACGCAGCCTGCATGAGAAACGGTAGACCGGACACGAACTGAAACCTCGAGCTCAACCGAGTCTAAGGTGGGAAGCGACAGCTTATCTATCGAAGAACCGGCGTCTATCATCATCATTAGCATCTGCGGCACCGATGGCTGCAGCCACAGTACTACTAGAACTCTTGGCACACCCACGGTGGACACGCTTAGGTCGGTTCACCACGAAGCTACGTCCCTGCTGCTTCGCATCAGACTTCGAGCAGCGAGTTTTATGGCGCTGAGGAATTGGATCCCAGATTCATCCATAACCCATTCTAGACGTCCCTAGATTGTCACAGCCCACGAGGGACAATTCCCGACTCCGGCTCACACCCAGTACATGACGTACAAACTTCAGTACTAGTACGCTTGGTCACTGGTCATCACTTCTTACTTCTCCTTCCATCAGAAACTATACGCAGGAAGACTGCTCCACGGCGTCACGCTCACCCAAATAGTTAGCTTCGACATAGCATTAGGACACAATTACGCCCTCTGACAAGCTTTTTCGCACGGGAAAATCCCCTCGTTCCTTGGCTCGTGCCTCACTAACTTTGAAAGGCCACAAAGTTACAGAAGGAAGTTTGTGACACTGGGCGTAGAGTCGAACGAGGTTTACCTTGCTATGGTACTCTATGCGACTCGGAGTCATTGCAGGCTCAAGTTTCAAAATTAAGACCCGGGTGGCACGACCACGGTGGCGCACAGTTTCTCGTTTAAACGTATGAGCCAACTCGCCTTAACATCGGTATGTTGACCGCCAAGGTGAGGTTCTCTCACACCGACAGTGGTGTCAGAAGCCCTTATTGCACCACTTTCGTTTGAGGACCGGGAGGCATGCTGTTGCGAATGCTATTGGACCGAACAAGCTCAGCCACTCTCCTGCCATTCAGTCCACGTCTCGATCTCTTGTATCCACTTGTCATCATTATACAGGCTCTTACTATATCAATCTTGTTGTGTGTTACATGCAATTCCAGTAAGTAAAACTCCCTGGGACGTGAGCGAAATGGCGAATTGTTCTATTCACGTTCCAGGACGCTTACACTTATTTATGCAATATGATATCTTGTGTTTTTTTTCTGATAAGGTCATCTCTTATCTCTACCGTCCCCCACGCTTGTTTGCCAATCGAAGTTTGCCCTCGATCCCCACATAGTAGCGCCCAGGGGGTCTGGCTCCTGAGCAAGTCTGATCCGCCGTGAGTGCCTACTTCTGTGTTCTCCTCTTGAGGCAGGCGTCTGCGAGCACACCCATAGAAGTGGGAAAGCAAGCTCGAGTTCGTTGACACCGCCTGGGCGCTTGTCACTTGAAGCAGCAAGAGGCCATGCTTCTAATTGTGGTAATTGGTCAGTCCATGAAAATATCCATCCTGCGGGATTTGTACGGGATGGATCGCTTAACTGTGCCTTGGCATGTGACATGCCTTAATCAGATGCTATGACGAGGGGCGGTTGCCAGATTCATCAAACAAAGAAGCTGCGAATGACTTCTCATGGATGAAGTGCTGTTATCAAGAGTGAGCGCTGTAAATAATACTTACTCGTTTCATAATAATCAGTTGTATCATGAAGTCGATCAGCATCTTCTGATTGATCATTCGCAGTGCTTCGAAGCCATGGCCAAAGTTGCGCCAATGCATGATGCTATCAGCTATTTAATCCGGGTTGTGTCAACCGTCAGACGATCTCATCAGACTCTGGTAAATCTGGGCCAGTGCGATAGATAAGACGGGAAGGATTGATGTGCATAGTCTGATGACTCGGGACGTGCGGCTCTGGTGCTGTGTGTTCGGTATCAAGTACTGACCGGTTACCAAGACTGGCGTGTACGACCTAGTGTGATGATTAACGAACGTGGAAAGTGATAAACGACAGCTGATGAAACTCGTTTCAACTCATTGTAGCCCTACACATGGATTAACTGATGGCGGACAATGTCCTATTTACTGAAAGGGGTGGGTACTTGCCAAAACACGATCAACCATTTCCACGGACAGCCCCGTGTAATTAGCTGGATCACAGAGCCTTTCAAGCTCCTTTTTTGATAGCCCACTCTCCCGGACTTTATCATCCGCACAGAGCAGTGTCAACAAAGGGAGATCCTCTTTGACGCTCCGCCTACACAGTTCGTAAATCAAATTATGTGCAAACTGTCGTCCTAATTTTGGAGCGAGGCCCATCATGACAGCCTCACTTACCACGCCGCCTCTTGTGATTTCCAAATTTCTCTTCATGGCGTTCGGATGCACTTCCAAACCTGTAATGAGCTCGGACGTATTCAATAATGCAGCGTGCGTGAGAGTGCAGATCTGCGGGAGCACGATCCACTCAATCTCCCAAGGCCCCGTTGCGCGCTCATGGTCCTCAACCATGGCATCATATAGCGCTGCAGAGAGCTGACGGACAGTCGCGGTCATGGCAGTGATATACACGCTGGAGATGGGATTACGCTTCTGTGGCATCGTCGAGGAGGAGCCGCGGTGTGGATAGAATGGCTCTGAGACCTCTCCAACTTCCGTTTGCATCATGAGCTTGACGTCCGTGGCGAATTTGGAACAGGTACCGGTGAGAAGGGCGAAAAAGCCGCCAACCTCGGCGATACGATCACGTTCTGTGTGCCATGCAATCTCTGGGACTGATAGACCCAGTTTCTTGGCAAGGGCTGCTTGACATTCGAGACCCCGACCATTTTTGATAGTGGCGAGTGTCCCAGCAGCGCCACCGAACTCGAGCACGAGCAGACGGGATTTTATTTCGGCGAGACGTTGTTTGTGCCGTTCGAAGGTGGCAAGGAGGCGGGCCATTTTGAAGCCAAAGGTCATGGGTACGGCTTGCTGAAGGTTGCTGCGAGCTGCCATGAGGGTTGCTTTGTGAGTTTGACAGAGACGGCGGAGGTCCGAAGTAATAGCGTCCAACGCCTCTGAGATAAGACTGAGAGTATCACGAAGTTGTAGGATTGTTGCGGTGTCGGTGACATCCTGAGACAAAAAAGATTTGAAACCCAGTATGACAAGAGCGCATGTAATGTACCTGGGTGGTAGCACCCCAGTGAGCCCATTCGCCTAGACCAGGTTGAATAGTGTTTACATTCTGGACTATTTGTTTGACTACCCCTAGGACGGGATAACCTATTTTTTCTGTTTGAATTCTTAATTCATCAAAGTCTATGTTGGTGACATGGCAAAAGGCGAGGATGGCATCGGCAGCCTGGCGAGGAATGATTCCGATATCTGCCTGGACAGATGCCAAGGATGCTTCGAAGAGGAGATAATAGGAAGTGCGTTGTGTGTCTGACCAGATGGAGGAGATGGCTGGAGTAGAGAATATGTTTCTAAAGATGACAGAATCAGTTACAGACGACATGGATATGCTTGTTATCAGTGCATCGCAGTGATTATGAAGAGGTTCACCATTCCATTAATATTTTGTTTTTAACTGAGTTATCATGCTTCCCAATCAAAGAAGTGGAAGGATCCGAGAATTCGAAGGCATCTATACCGACGTATTGGAAATTTTCAGTTGCGCCTGCGACCTGCGCTCGTCTGCAGGTTCACGGTTAACGTCGCTCCCCACGCCGAGTACGTCCGTCATGGCAGTCTTCGGGGATGGCTCGGGGTGCCTACGGTGACGAATGCAAGGGTCGGGCATAATGTCGGGCATGGATATGGCGCTGTGTCCTGCAGTGCTCGTCGGGGTTTACCGTTCAGATGCCGTTGATATTAAAAGTCCGCGAGGACATTATACTCTTCGGTTTCATGAGGTAAATGTATTGTGATTTCCGTGGATGGTGTCGTATTTCGGTCGGATGAGCACCGTTTTGATCACCCTGGCCGAAATAATGCCTTTGCCGGTAGACTATTTAGTCTCCCAGTTCGCCCTTGTTGTCTTTAGTATCATCATCTATCCCCCTTCCCTTCTTTTGCGCTCCTCATAATGAGTCTTCCGGGCCTCCAGCTGGAAACTAATATTCCTCAGGATGAGTCCAACCAAGATGAGGCTCACGAAGCCGCTCCCTCATCTCCCTCACGCGTTCCAGTCAACTTTTTTGACCCAGTTGGTGTTAGCGAACTCAAACGTTCAATGTCAATACGTTCCACTCGTTCTCAAGTTCATCGTCGGGAAAGCTCTCGTCGGAAAAGTACAACCAAGCCTTCCATGTCTGCTTCACCTATGATGGAGGTCGACACCCCAAGCTCATCCTCTGTAACTTCTGTGCGCGATGGTGACGCTTTCGATTTTGAACTCACACTTAAGGACCTCATCAGGCGGTGAGTTTTACAATAAAATTTTGTTGCCTTTGTTGACATATTACTAGTTGTGGCGAGGAGTCTATCAAGGGCCGTGAACTTGGCGTTATGTTCAAGGGTCTCCGTGTTGTCGGTGTCGGCGCGCGCGCCTCTTTGCAGCCTACCATTGGTTCCATGTTTAATCCTGCTGCCATCTTGAGAAATATTTCTGCGATGCGCAACCCGCCTGTCAGGGATATTCTCTCAGGATTCGAGGGTGTCGTTGAACCTGGTGAAATGCTCCGTTAGTCACTTTGATAAATTAACGTAAAGTTAAAATTTCGCGCTAATCACGTGTTTGTGACAGTGGTTCTCGGACGACCTGGTTCCGGTTGCAGCACGTTCCTCAAGACTATCGCAAACCAGCGTGGTGAATACCATGCTGTGCAGGGCGAAGTTTGCTACGACTCCTTCACCTCCGAAGATATCGCAAGGCAGTACCGTGGGGATGTAATTTACTGTCCTGAGGATGATGTCCACTTTCCGACCCTGACTGTCGAACAAACCTTATCTTTCGCCATCAAAACGCGTACTCCACATGTCCGGTTCGCAGACCAATCCCGTGAACAATATAATCGTGATGTGGTAGACATTCTTGTGCGCATCTTCGGTCTTCGTCATGCCCGAAACACTGTTGTCGGCGATGCTGCCATTCGTGGTGTTTCAGGAGGCGAAAAGAAACGTGTCTCGATCGCAGAAGCACTGTCTTGCCGTGCCCTTATTGGTGCGTGGGACAAGTGAGTTCTCGTGTGTTTATTGTCCGCTGGTAGCAGTGCTAATAACAATGTTATCCTAGCTCCACTCGTGGTCTCGATGCGTCCACTGCACTTGAGTTTGTTCAGGCGCTACGTATCGGCACGGACATAGCTCGTCTTACCACTATCGTGTCTATTTACCAAGCAGGGGAGCAACTTTACGACCTCTTCGACAAAGTATGCGTCATTTCAGAGGGCAAGATGGCGTACTTTGGTCCAGCTAAGGAGGCGCGTCAGTATTTCATCGATATGGGATACGAACCGCAAGATAGGCAGACCACTGCTGATTTCCTCGTGGCCGGTATGTTCCATATTGATTTAGAACAGATTCAGCTGTTTATCCAGTGATTTCCAGTGACTAACCCAAGCGGGCGTAAAATTCGTGACGGTTTCGAGGGCAAAGTTCCTGGAACGTCGGAGGAGATGGCCGCTGCATTCCTTGCTTCTTCTCTTGGTCAGGCAAACCGCGACTCTGTTGAGAATTACCGCTTCCACAATGTCGGGAAGCCCGAGCGCAAGGATGCATACAGGCAGAGTGCCGTAATGGAGCACGCTGACACAGCTCCAAAGAGGCACTCGTATACAATCTCTATTCCTATGCAGGTTCGGGCCGTCATGATGCGCCGCGTGCAGATCATCAAGGGAGACTGGGGCACTGTAGCTGTCAACCTTGCGTATGTGTGCCGCCAATTTTAGTCCATTAATCACCTGACCACCAGATTTGCTCCAGTGTGCAAATCTTCCAGTCCATCATCATGGGTACCGTGTTCTTGAAGCTACCCGATGCAACCTCTGGTTTCTTCTCTCGTGGTGGTGTCCTGTTCTTGTGCGTATTTTACTTCCAAAGTTGCTTACATGTATATGTTTAACTTGTCCTCAGCGCTCTCTTCTTCGGTGCTTTATCGTCCATGGCAGAAATTCCGGCTCTCTTCGCTCAGCGTCCAATTGTGCTCCGGCACCACAAGGCAGCGATGTACTACCCATTTATCGAGAGTTTCGCACACACAATGGTCGATATACCGTTCACGTTCATTATTCAAGCTGTGTTCGCGGTTATTCTATATCTCCTGGTCGACCTTCAGAGAACGGTATCTCAATTCTTGTGAGTCTTACATGTGATGCAATTGTTTAGTCTCGCTGAATGTAGATAAAGCATCTTCTTCCTGTTCGTTTTTGCTATGACTACAACCATGAAGGCATTCTTTAGAATGGTTGCCGCTTGCTTTAAGACTGAATCTGCGGCTACATCTCTTGCTGGTGTCGTGGTGGTGGTGGTGGCACTCTTCACTGGGTATACCATTCCCAAGCCTAACATTCCCGGTGCTCTTCGCTGGATCACGTATATCAACGTGCGTTTTTTGATTTGAATCATAGGCTTGCGCGCTCACAACTAGTGTGCAGCCCGTGCGATATGGTTTCGAGGCTCTGCTAATGAACGAGTTCCACACTTTGAACGGTACCTGCTCAATGCTCATCCCCTCGGGTCCCGCATACCCAAATATTTCGTTGGCGAATCAGGTGTGCTCTACCGTCGGTGCTCGGCCGGGTCAGAATTATGTCGACGGTAATCTCTTCGCGGAACTGTCCTATGATTACTACTACAGCAACCTTTGGAGGGTAAGTCCACGAATGACTTTCCGGCATAGAGATTCACTAATTCGCGCTCTTCAAGGATTTTGGTGTCGTTTGTGTTTTCTTTGTTGGCTTCCTCGTCATTCTATTCACTGCGACCGAATTCAATACTGCTTCTGCATTCGACACCGCTGTCACGCTTTTCAAGCAGGGTACGCGCGCCGCTGAGGCCGTTGATGAGTCCAAGGACGAGGAGAAGGGTGCTCACCCTGAACCTACCGGACCTTCGAGTATGGGTGCCAGTGCTGCAGAACTCGATAGGCCCTCGGCGATGGATATCTTTACTTGGAGGCATTTGCAATACACGGTTCCCATCTCCGGAGGAACACAACGTAGACTCTTGGACGATGTGTCTGGTTTCGTCACTCCTGGAAAGCTGACAGCCCTCATGGGTGAATCAGGCGCTGGAAAGGTGAGGAATTTGGATGTCCGAGTATCATTGCTGTCTAACATATTTCTAGACTACGCTCCTTAACGTCTTGGCACAGCGTGTTGATGTCGGTGTCGTGACTGGTGATCGTTTGGTCAGTGGTCAACCCCTCCCTGCGGACTTCCAGGCACAGACGTACGTGCACTATTTGAAAACTTGAATGATTTTAAGTGCTAAAGCAAATTATTTACTAGTGGCTACTGCCAGCAAATGGACACTCACCTTCCTCAGTCTACTGTGCGAGAGGCTCTGCTGTTTTCCGCCCATCTTCGCCAGCCCGAGACTGTTCCTATGGCTGAGTTGGCAGAATAGTGAGTTGTCATTGCCTCCTTTACCGCGGGCCCATAATATTATTTCAGCGTCGACAAGTGCCTCGTCATGTGCGGCCTGGAGGACTATGCTGATGCCGTTGTTGGGTCTTTGGGTGTCGAGCACCGCAAACGTACGACTATTGGTGTTGAGCTCGCTGCCAAGGTTCGTCCCTGTTATGTATCGCTGTCGAACGATGTGCTGATGGTGCGGGTGATATAGCCAAAGCTTCTCTTGTTCTTGGACGAGCCTACCTCGGGCCTTGATTCTCAGTCTGCTTGGGCCATCATGAAGTTCCTTCGCGAGCTTGCCAATAACGGCCAGGCCATTCTCTGCACGTAAGCGTGACGTGGCAAGTACTATAGCCCATTTGCTCAATCCTGCCTTAGCATCCATCAACCTTCTGGAGAGTTGTTCCAGGTCTTCGATCGTCTCTTGCTCCTCAAGAAGGGAGGCCAGACTGTGTACTTCGGTGACATTGGCGAAGGGTCTTCTACCATGCTTAATTATTTCGAGCGCAACGGTGCTTCTCGATGCCACCCTGACGCTAACCCGTACGTGCTTCTTGGTTGTATTTTCCCTTCTTGAGTTGACAACTTATTCCAGGGCCGAGTACATGCTTGATGTCATTGGCGCGGGTGCAACGGCGTCGACTTCGGTTGACTGGCACTCCATTTGGAAGAACTCATCTGAGGCCGCTACAGTCCAAGAGGAGATTGAGAATATCCACAATGAAGGCCGCGCTCGCCCTATCGTTCAAGCAGCACAACCCACCGAATTTGCGACGTCGTGGCATCACCAGCTCATGGCCCTCACACAGCGTAATTTCCAGGCATACTGGCGGAATCCAACCTACCTCGTGGCCAAGTTCGCGCTCTGCATTGCTGGTGGTTTACTTATTGGCTTCACGTTCTACCAGACCAGCGATTCGCTCCAGGGTACCCAGAACAAGCTCTTTGTACGTGTTGTTTTGCATTACATGACGGAAGTTTTTAATCTGTTTGATAGGCGATCTTTTTAGCCTCGGTGCTTTGTGTCCCCCTATCGCAGCAGCTTCAGACGATGTTCATCGACATTCGGTCTATCTATGAAATCAGAGAGCGCCCAAGCAGGATGTACAACTGGACTGCACTCCTTGTTAGTCAGATTCTGGTCGAACTCCCATGGAATATTATGTGCTCTTCGCTGTTCTTTTTCTGCTGGTACTGGACCGTCGGGTTCCCCAACGACCGCGCGGGATACACATACCTCATGTATGGCGTTGTGTTCCCCATGTATTACACCACTATCGCGCAGGCAGTCGCTTCCATGGCTCCAAGTGCTGTGATCGCGTCACTTCTATTCAGTGCGCTGTTTTCATTTGTTGTCATCTTGTGAGTATTGCAGATGCGTGTGGTATGATCTCGTCCTTACTGTTTTGTAGCAACGGTGTCCTACAACCATACCGTGCTCTTGGATGGTGGCAATGGATGTACCGCGTCTCTCCGTTCACCTACTTCATCGAGGGTCTGCTTGGTCAAGGTGCGTCTTTTGAAAGAAGTCTGTACACGATTGATAACGTTTTCTTTAGCTATTGGTGGCACTGACATTAACTGTGCTCCGCAAGAGTTCGTCCCCGTTATCCCTCCCAGTGGATCCACTTGTGCCGAATACTTGGATCCTTTCATGACATATGCCGGCGGTTACCTCGCCGATCCCGACGCCACGTCCCAGTGTTTGTTCTGCCCTTACCGCACGACCGACGACTATATGTTTGCCGCGTTCAACATTGAGGCTTCTCACCACTGGCGCGACTTAGGCATCATGCTCGGTATTACTGCTTTCAACGTAAGTTTTCTTGGTCGTGGAGTGCTTCCATTGAGCTAACCGGCATCCTTTGCAGGTTTTTGCGATTTTCACGCTCACGTACATCTGCCGCATCCGCAAGGGCAACCCCCTGGCCGGTCTGCAGCAGAAACTTGCTAGTCTCCGGAAGTAATTCATCATGCTGATCTGAACCTAATGATTTTATACACCCTCACTTGCACACATACCTATTTCGTTCTTTTTCTCATTCAATACATCTGATAATTTGTGTAATTAGATACCACGTCTGCTTCGTTCCGTAATCCTTTACGAGCTCTCGTTCCTGTGGTCCTGACTATAGTAGAAGTAACTTCCGAAATACAATGGATTGACAGTGGAGCAGGGGCTGGCGGCTGAAGCCTAGAGCAAAGCTGACAAGTGGTGATGATGATGATGATGATGATGATGTACGCTATCGACAAGCTGGAACCTATGTTAATTGCTGGCTAAGCTATGGAAAGAGCTGACAGGCTCTTGGTGTGCGACTCTTGACCTTGGGGGACCCCTGGTCCAACAGGACTACCACGTCGAATCGAGTCTGGACAACCTACTGCCTCTAGAAGGAAGCAAGGAGCTTGGGATGTTGCCACTGGCTTGTGATATGCGATAGGATGACCTTGCGATGTCCCAATCTGATTCCGTGAACCTGGCAGGTTTCATAGTAGCCATGGAGTCATCGTGAGTGATGATGGGTGTGCTCCTGGTGCGAGAGTGATCTGAATGGCCCGGGACATTAAGAAGGTACGGTGTGGAGGAAGCAGTATCCTGTGTAGTAACGCTGTCGTGATCACGGTGTCTGAACGCAGTGTACGCGATTAGGTTGCTAAACCGGGTGCGCATGGTGGGCTTGGATGATGCTTCGTTGGGGTCATGCACGTCCTTGCGTGCTGGCTGGCCTGGAAACGAGAATGTCTTCAAGCTCTGGCGCTCTACTTCTGTGTCTGACACGGGCACTTCAGGAGGGAATGGCCTCTCCCTGTGTCCCCAAGACTCCTGCGACAGCCGTAACTTGCGTTTCGCCTTCCGGAGGTACTCAAGAGTGTACTTGCCGACGGTGACGCAGACCAAGAGGCCGAGGACGGTGCTAACAACGATGGCGAGAACGAGGACATTGCGCTCAGAGGGATTTGACTGTGTTGCGGGGCTGATCCCAGTTGTACTTCCGGAGGAGCGGAGGCTGGGGGTGGGTGAGGCTGTCGCATGGGTCGTAGGGGAAATGAACAAAGCAGTGGGAGCGACATAGGTGGTGTGAGGACTGCTCGTAGGGTGTGAGTATGGTGCCGGGAGCATCATGCCCCTTGGACTGGGCAGCACCAATGATCATTGCCATTGCAGCTGAGGCGGGGCGGAGGCCATCAGGGCCGTGTGCCAGGCCTGGATCTGTGGGATTAACCCCGGTGAATGGGACAGTCTCTACCTTTTGGGCACTATCTCTGGGTGGTTCGATAGGACTGCCATGGGCTATGCTGATAAGGAGAAGAAAAGATATGAGGATGATTCTGAAGGACATCATTCGGGCGCTTGAAGGTAAAGAACGTGGAATCGTCGTGAAAACGACGGAGACGAAATGATCGTGGTTGCGAAGTCATATTATTCATACTTGGACTGTTTTCATACTGTCCAGTGGAACCTGGCTGACAGCGACCTGGAGGACTTCTAAAGCGGCTGACAGGCTCCGGAACGCGTCGAAAAGCAAAGCACGTGGACAGCCGAAAAACAAAGCACGTGACATACACGTTCAAAATTCCACCAACCATGCGTCAATCACACCATTGTTGTTTAAACTCTTTTATTCGTGCCTTCCATTTGCTCTGTCATTTTGCTCGCTGTGTGTCACGATGACCTCAATACCCAAGACACCGTCTCGCTATAGATCACGTTCAGATGCAAAGACGCCGCTCACTCCATCCATCATCTCTGCCTTCAATAGTATCTCCATCTCCCCCCAAAAACGATCTCATCCTGCTGACCTGTCAAATCCATTCATCACCAAATCGCGACAAGTATCTCCCGTAAAACGCGCAACTGGAGGTGGCATTGCCGTCTCAGACTCATTTCAACGCCAAGCGGGTGGAGGAGTCATCAGAAAAGGCGGCATTGAGACCCGTTTGGACGTCGTTTCACGCGACTACTTACCCCCTGCATCACAGCCTAGACCAGAGCTCAAGCGCTCGAGATCAACCCCTGCTACTCGGGAGCGCACACAATCTACCGGTGACAACCGCGATCGTTTTATTACTACTCGCGATGCCGACGATGTTGCTGCCACGCTCGAACTCATGAGTCTCAACCCAAAAACCGTATCACCAGGACACACAGCTCGTCTTGCAGCTGCCACAGGTGTCCCTCTCAATCGCCGTGTGCTAGCGTACCACGAGGCCCCCCCAGCTTCTTCTTCAGACTCTACGCTTTCCCAGCAGCGCGAACTAGCTCGTCCGCTCTACGGACGCCCAGGTGAACTCCCTTCGTCAACTAGCTCTACAACCAACAAGTCCCGTCGCATTCCCACTCAGCCCGAGCGCGTCCTCGATGCTCCGGGCATGGTTGATGACTTTTACCTGAATCTAGTATCATGGTCTATCCAGAATGTTGTTGCTGTCGCCCTTGCTGAGAGCACTTACGTCTGGCGGGCAGATACGGGGATCGTCTCTCATCTTGGTGAAGCGCCTGAGGGCACATATGTCTCCTCAGTTGATTTTTCAAATGACGGTGCCTACCTCGGTATAGGTCTCGGCACTGGCGAAGTCGAGTTGTGGGATGTAGAAGCTGGACAGAAGCTTCGGACGATGGGTGGACATCAAGGTCAAATTGCCGTGTTATCTTGGAACGCCCATATACTTAGCTCTGGATGTGGGGATGGAAGTATATGGCACCATGATGTCCGTGTCCCTCGGCACAAAGTCATGGAGCTGCTTGGACACACAGGAGAAGTCTGCGGACTGAAGTGGAGAGCAGACGGCGAACTTCTGGCGAGCGGGGGTAACGACAATGTCGTCAATATTTGGGATGGACGCGTAGGCGATGTTACGGAGGGGGCGCGCGGGCAAGCCAAGTGGACGAAGCGAAACCATACCGCTGCCGTAAAGGTAGGTCATAGTCTCGATTATATTTGGCATATCTAATACACTATGTAGGCAATTGCTTGGTGCCCCTGGCAATCTTCCCTCTTGGCCAGCGGCGGGGGCACAAACGACGCAACTGTTCACGTCTGGAACAGTGGCACTGGCGCCCGCCTGCACTCTCTCAAAACACCGTCCCAAGTCACCTCCATCATCTGGTCACCGCATAAAAAAGAAATCCTCACGACACATGGGTACCCCACAAATGCAATTATGGTACACGCCTACCCGTCGCTCGAGCGTATCGCGGAGATACGGGATGCACACGACTCGCGGGTGCTGTATACAGCGGTAGGGCCTGCAGGCGACGTCGTGTGCACGGGTGCCGGGGATGAGAATCTGAAGTTTTGGAGAATATGGGAGGGGGTGGGCGCAAAGAAAAAGAAAGAGGGGAAAGAAAGGTCGAGTTCAACGACGAGGTCGGGGATTTTGTCGATACGGTGATCCACAACTTGTGCTGTGCATTCATTCTCTTACGGAAGATTACCAACATACCCAATCTGTTATATTGCTCACTTGCAAACGCATGAATATCTGAAACTGCTCATTAATATTAATGTTTCTTCAGCTGGAATAGCAATAACATGTATGATCTAATACATTACAAACGCTCGATAGATAAACTCTAAATGCACAGCCTTGCAAAAGCATTGGTATAATTTCTATCTTCGTCCCTTGAAAAGACTGAATATGTTGCCCTTCCGGATGCGGAATATATATGTGAACGCGAATATGGCACATACCTAAAAGTTAAAACTGATGAGCGCGCGTGCAGGGCAGTCTAATAAAAGGAACGCACATTGAATACGACGATGCCCAGTACAATACCCGTGTTTCGCCAGTGATGAGAGTCCAAGATATTGAAACTGCTGAACATGAACTGATCGGTGGTGCGGTAAGGACAGTATAGGCATTCAGTCGTCGCATCGGGGTTTGTGAGATAGCCCCCGGCAGAAGATATGAAGGGATCCATGTACGCTGCGCAACTGAGTCCGCTGGGAGGATTAATTGGCACTAATTCATCTGACGCGCAGTTGATCAGCTGTCCACCAATAGCTAGGAGGAGGCCTCAGTTAAATTCAGACGAAGGAGAGCGTGCACTAACCTTGGCCCAGGAGACCTTCGACGAGGTACGTGAATGGGGATACTCTGTACATCCATTTCCACCAGCCCAACGCACGGAAAGGCTGCAAAACACCGTTACTTCAAAGGCGTTAGCGATTGGACCGGCAAAAAGAGCGAGTTGAACTTACAAGATGACGACGAATGAAAATACCGTGCTGAACAACAGCGATGCGATCACTGCGTTGGGTGCCATGGCTCCGACCGCCTCTGCGATGGTAGTGTAATAGAGGGGGAACACGACTCCGTACATCAAGTATGTGTAGCCTGCTCGATTGGTGGCGAAACCGACCGTCCAGTACCAACAGAGGAAAAACAGCGACGAGCAAAAGATGTTCCAGGGAATCTCGACCAGGATCTGCGATGTAGCAAGTGCAGTCCAGCTGTACATTCTGCTTGGTCGCTCGCGGACTTCATAGATGGAGCGAATATCAATGTAGACAGATTGGAGTTGTTGAGTTATGGGGACAGAGAGAATAGTTGCTAGGAAAATTGACTGCACTGGGATTAGCGTATGACTTAAGAGTAAGCATGGAATGAACGCACAAAAAGCTTGTTCTGCGTCCCTTGTAAGGTGTCCTTGGAGTCAAAGAAAGTAAACCCAATGAGCAAACCACCCGCGATGTTGAGAATGATCTTCGCGACGAGGTATGTCGGGTTACGCCAGTAGGCAAGGAAGTTGCGCTTCGTAAGGACAACAGCTTGATGAATCCATGAGGTGGCAAATTCAGAATGACGTTCCGTCCCAACCTGATGGCCGTGCGCGACCTTCAGCGTGTATCCGTTCGATCTGCGCTTGAAGTTCAACAGCTTCCGGAGATCGCTTCCAAATGTTATGCCAGTCGACAGTGGCAGTTGCGGTTGCGCCAGCCCCAATGGTATCCAGCATGTACTCAGCACTTGGATACGGACATGAGAGACATCTCAGAGATGTAGATGAAAGCGACTTACGGATTAGCATCGGCGTCACAGTGAGTGGCTCCGTTGCGCTCAAAGTAATCCAGCATAATCGAGGATTTATCGCCGATATCACCAAAGTAAACGGTCTGACCACCCTTGCGCAGAAGTAATAGTCTGTCAAACACCTGGAAGAGCTCGGCAGAGGGTTGGTGAATGCTGGTTGTAACAATTAAGCGTGCATTAAAATACCAAATCTAGCATACTCACGTGCAAAGAATGGCCTGTCCATTGTTTGCCAGTTCACGAAGGAACTTCATGATTGCCCAGGCGGACTGGGAATCGAGGCCGGACGTTGGCTCGTCAAGGAATAAAAGCAGTTTGGGCTTTAAAACTGTCAGCGCGAAATCAAAAATGTGGCTCCAAAGGACGTACCTTTGCTGCGAGCTCAACCCCGATGGTAGTACGCTTACGGTGCTCAACACCCAGTGATCCAACAATAGCGTCAGCATAATTTTCAAGGCCACACATGATAAGGCACTTGTCCACGCTATCCACAACTCTCAGTCGTATGCGTACGGTGAATAAATGTGAACATACTATGATTCAAGTTCTGCAGACGAGACAGACTCAGGTTGTCGCAGGCGAGCGGAGAACAGAAGAGCTTCGCGAACAGTCGTTTGCGGCAAGTGAGTGTCCATTTGTTGGCAGTAGCCACTGCGAGGAATATCAACGAAGGATCTTGACTAGTGGCAAGTTCACTCACGTCTGAGCCTGGAAGTCTGCGGGCACGGGCTGTCCGCTGACGAACCGATCTCCCATAACAACTCCGACATCGACCCGTTGAGCCAAAACATTGAGCAACGTCGTCTGTGATAAAAAGTTGAACGAAGAGTCCTGAAGATAGATATGCGACGAACCTTTCCAGCGCCGGATTCACCCATGAGAGCCGTTAATTTTCCAGGTGCAACGTACCCAGAGACATCGTCGAGCAAGCGCCGTTCTCCGCCAGATACCGGTACAACGTATTGAATGTGCTGCCACGTAAATACGTCATTGGTTGCTGGCTTTTCGAGTGCACTATAGGATGCGGGTGCACCGGCAGTTCGTGGCGCGCCACCGTCCAAAGAGGGTGGACGGGTGGATAGCTTGCTGGATTTCTCTTCGTCTTCCGTGGTGGCAATGTCTTCCATTGCACGTGTTCCTTGCTTGAAGAGAGTCACCACAGTATCAAACGCGGAGTTCGTGTTGTACTCCGCGGCGATGAGCAATAACACGAAGAAGCCAACACCAAAGGCAATGATGATACCGTAATTCTGCGGAGTATGAGATCTCAGCAAGGATGATTGTGATTAGACGATCGACTCACTTTCCAGAGATCACTATATGAGTAGCCGTATGACATGTTCACGAACCTGTTGCCGTCTACGGTGATCATGCCAGGCAGTGATCCGACAGTCGTGCAAACCTGGTTCGCCAAAGAAATATTCTCGTACCCTGGACCTTGGGGAACAAGTGTGGTGCAAGTAGCGTTCAGTGTGTGGAACTCATTTGTCAGGATGCCCTCGAAGCCGTAACGCAGAGGCTTCATCAAGCAGTTTAGCTCAAATCATGACCAGAGAACAACACATGCTCACGTTAAGATATGTTATCCATCTGAGGGCGCCTGGTATACTTAGGCGAGGAATGGTGTAACCGGTGTACAGGGAAACAATTAGAACGGAGATACCAGCCATGGACGTTGCACCGGACTCCTCCTTGAAACTGGCTGCGAGCATTCTGAAGAACGCCTTCATCGTAATAGTCATGGTAAAGACTGTCAAGAAAAATATACTGTAGACCAATATCAGTCAATGATGCTTCAGATAGATAGATGCACTCACAAGAACTGGGATGCTGATTTTTGAAGGCCGACCATGAAGTAAAGAATGACGCAGAAAACAGCTTGAATTATGAACGTGATGGGGATGTCTACCACTGTATGAGCAAAGGCCTCAATGAAGGGGTAGTACATCGCTGCTTTATGGTGGCGTAATATGATAGGGCGCTGGGCGAACAGAGCGGGAATTTCTGCCATCGCAGATATTGCGCCAAAGAAGAGAGCGCTACATGGCGTCAGATCGTCCCTTGGCATGGCCGAACAAGACACTCACAAGAACAAAACACCTCCCCGAGAGAAAAAGCCCGATGTTGCATCAGGCAATTGCAAAAAGACCGCGCCCATGATGATGCCTTGAAAGATCTGGGCACTGGTTGATAAAGTGGGATCAGAACGTCGTATAATGAATATCGTATCAAGACGTACCATAGCTGTACCACCTGCGCGGACAAGTCGCCCTTAATAATTTGCATACGGCGAACCATCACAGCCCTAACTTGCATAGGGATAGATATGGTATACGAGTTATTCTTGGGTGCATGATGAGAATGCTCCATAACTGCACTCAGCCGGTATGCATCTTTGCGGTCAGGTTTGCCAACATGAAGTGCCCGATACTCGTCAATTGCCTGACGATTAAGATGGCCAAGCTGTGACGCCCGGAAATGGGCGGCCATCTCCTCTGCCGTTCTGGGCACAGCTGTGCCTTTGAACCCTGACCTAATCTTCCGGCCAATTGGGTCGGTGACTGATGATCGATGATCAGGGACGCGGGCAAGAGTTGAAAGAGGCAATAGAACGCACCACCAACGAGGAAATCTGCCGTAGTCTGCCTATTATGGGGCTCGTAGCCCATATCGATGAAATATTGACGGGCGGCTTTGGCCGGCCCAAAATAGGCCATTCGACCTTCAGCGATGACACATACCTTGTCGAAGAGCTCATACAATTGCTCCCCGGCTTGGTAGATGGACACAATAGTTGTCAGACGCGCGATGTCAGTACCCAGACGCAAAGCTTGAACAAACTCAAGCGCAGTAGAGGCATCTAAACCACGAGTAGAGCTAAAAGTGCCGAGTTAACGCCATAACAGCCCACCACACTAGAAGCGTACTTGTCCCATGCGCCAATCATACTTCTGCAAGACAGTGCCTCTGCAATGGAAACACGCTTTTTCTCTCCACCAGAAACACCGCGAATCGCGGCATTACCGACGACGGTTTTCCGAGCGTGTTGAAGGCCGAAAATTCTGAGGAGAACGTCCAAAAATTCAGCATTGAATTGCTTCCTTGACTGATTGGCGAAGCGGGTTTGAGGTGTGCGAGTTTTGATGGCAAAAGACAATGTTTCCTCGACCGTCAAAGTAGGGAAGTGAATGTCGTCCTCTGGGCAGTAAATGACGTCTCCGCGGTAATGGTTACCGATATCTTGGGGGGTAAATGAATCATACTCAACCTCTCCTTCAACAGCATGGTACTCCCCACGCTGGTTAGCGAGGGTCTTGAGGAAGGTGCTGCATCCTGACCCAGGTTTTCCTAGAACGACTGAAAGAATAAGGTTTCACAAAGTACATGGGGTGATGTTCGGAAGTGCTCACGTAGCATTTCGCCAGGTGCAATGACGCCTTCGAAGCCTGACAAAATATCCCGCACAGGTGGATGTCGAGCTTCACTAATTGTGCGCAAGAGGGAGGCAGGGCTAAATAATGACCCCATGGTCGGTTGCAATGATGATCTCGCGCCAATGCCCACCACACGGAGGTCATTGAACACGACACCGAGCTCACGCCATTTTATTTCTTCCTCATCACGTCTACAATTAATTGTCAATCATAACCAGGTGTTCATGAAATGGTCCCAACTCACCGCTTGATGATGTCCTTGAGATGTTTTTCGAAGCTGAAATCTTCATCCCCGACTATAGTTAAAACAGAATTGCGATACCCGGGTTCATCAGAAGTTACCCCCAGGGTTGTCTTGACGTCCAGAACGCGACGGTTGCCGCTGGCCTTATCATGCGATGCTGTACTTGTATGAGGTTGTGAGGTGGGGCTGAGGGGAGAGGGGTCATTAGAGTCGCCGGGCATCCTAAGGTGAAAAGAGGGAGTGATTACCAGTATACAGCAAGGAACGGATGATTTTTATATGTGGTGGTGCTACAATACTAATACCCGAGCCATAACGCATCAAGCCGAACGAACGCAACGTTACATAGTACTAAAGCACGCTCTTAGGCACTCCTGTGTCTGTAATAATTTCCCGAATCCCGGAAATCAAAAACGTTAACTTATACCGCCACCGCCTGATAACCATATTTGGCTTAGCTACCGTCACATGCACGTAATTTTGATGACACTGCACACATGCTTCAAGCTGCAGCCCTGGACCTCCTTCACTCAGCCAGCTAGTCGGGAATTCCAGAAGTTTCGTCATAGTCCATCCTAAGCGCCACAACCGTAAAATAATGCGCAGTCCTCCTTTCGAATCACCCTCGCGTTGTCCGATGCTATCGCATGACTCATGCCGCAAACGCGGAAGTGGCAACGTATACCCTTTCCCGAGCCCGATCGTTATATTGAACAGTGATCGTCAAAGCATTGATTTGATGAGTTGATATACCGAGTCAGTGCTTCAGTTATTACTGGCACAAGGCATGAAACTACGGTGAAACTGTGCAAGAGTGATTGATAAGTTCGTCGTCGACATCTCGTCGGCGCAGGTTGGTGCTCGGTGCCTGGTGTTCCCATGTGGGAATATATCTGCAACTGTGGGATCGTAGGAGCCACCGTGCCTGGCCGTGAAATGCATAATTCAGCTGCGATGAAACCGCAGCTCTCGCCAAACCGTCGTTGTCGCGGGATGTAAGGATTGTGTTTCTTGTCACAGTGTCACAGTGGTCGATCATTGCCAGTCACCGTCTAGCCTGGATTCGGTCCTCGTGATGGAACGCGCGGCAATTGTAATGCGCTACGGCCCGAAGATTTTGGTATCTAGCGATGAAGTAACAATTTTTCCATATCTGACTTACAGTGGCCAACCCTCCAATATGAAACAGTGTATTTGTATTCTGGGCCCTGGCCTATCAAGAATTGTCGGATCTGGCTGGTCCCCATAAGCACCCATGCACCTTCTCTGCTTGTAGTAGGTTAATGTTACTTCTTCGGGAGTTCTCGCTGATGTCAAAGATATGGAATAACTCTGATGCACATGCACAGCGCATCAGCAGCGAAGAACACGGAGAAAGAGCACTGCTGTGCGGAGAATAGCCTGATTATGATGGTCAGAAAACTCACGGATTGGAACTGGACGATAGATCGCCAGTCAAGACTAGAAGTGGGCTCACCAAAAAAGGGTGGCTACATATAGGTGGTTAGCAGACTTCAGCTTCAAGAACTTGAACCTGGCATCAAGTTCTACTTCATGGCGGGCGATATGTTTTCTCAGTGAGGCCCCGCCCACACCTTTGAAGAAGGTTAGGTGAGTGCAGATCATAGGTGGAGATTTTACGCACTATGATTCCTTCTCAGTGAGAGGAGCCTTTACGGCCATTTGCCTCGGGAAGGTGAGAAATTGTTTCAGTTACCACATCAACACCAGCTCAGGTCTCCTGACGACAAGAGTGAGTGAACGGCATCGGCGACCACAAAATGTCATAAACGCAGTGAGCTTCCCAGGCAATACAACCCATGACATGGTACATCGCTTGATTAGAAATTTCATACTGGGCGAGTGCCACCACGTAAAGAGGTCTGCGAGTATAGCATTCAAACTATCGAAGTCGAGTATGCAGCTGCATCAGAGCGGCAGTACAAGAGCCTTAACAGGATGCCAGCGCAGACGAACTATTGCATTCAAATACAGATAAGAGCACCGCCAGGAACCCAAGTGGGGCGCAAGCGGCACAAAAGTTCTGAGGGTGGGCGCCATGAATTCATAGATCTGATGCACAATCATAATATGACTGCCACCTATCCTCCATTGCAAATATGACGTGCCAGATGCCAAACGTCAACATTGATGTCACCGAAGTTGCCCCATATACACTCCTAATTTTCACGCAAAACATTCGCAGTCAGGACTGACCCTGGTGATAAAAGTGGAGTAAACTCACTGTCAAGTGCCAGTGTAGGGAACTCGTTGACAACAAGCGTCACTATAAAGGCTAACGCAGAGATATTAACACTTAATATCACCACCTTAGCCTCTGTAGTGGGCATGGGAGTAAGTTGTAGTACCTTACAAGGGACGCTGTACGTTCAATCCCATGATCCACCGTAAACTCTTCGGAACCGCGGGAAAGTGGGCTAATACCGCTCTAGAGTGATATCAAGAGAATGAAGATGCCAGCAACAGCCGCGGTGTGGCGCTAGGACGAGATTAAATCTTGCGGCAATCACTCTTGAGGTGTGCAGGACTCACGAAAACTAAGGCAGTGTTTTGCAAGCCGATCAATGAGGAGAGTAAGCTAACTCCAAATCGAACGATTGAATTGGAATATCGGCACAGGATGCGCAACTGAGGTTCTGGATAAAGGATCACAAAGTACAGTTTTCTGATGACGATGTGTGATCGAACGGTAAAAGAACGGACTTGTGTACCAGATGCGGCAGTCCTCAGATGATTATAGCACTTATACCAATACCTGAGGAATAGGTGAGCCGTTAGACACGACTATAGTATGATCAAGATAGGGATATATACTTACAAGAACAGCACAGCAAATAGGCCAAAGCACGTTGAGAAAGACGTTGACCATAAATATATATCGTTCGCAAATGGAAGACCAACCGATGGCTTGCAGGTGGTGCTTCATGCCCGTTTTGGCTCGTACGCAGCGACCGTGTTGATAGTCGGGACGTTTATATTCGACCCAGTACGCCTGCTTGTGATCATTGTCGCCAATATATAGTCCGAGGTACCGTTCAATCAAATTCTGATTTCAATGACCAAGGTCAGCAACTGTGAAACCGCCAGCGGCGCACACATCCGCAAATGAAAACTTCATATTCGTGTCAGATCATCCGCCCTACTTACCAGTAGGCAGATTGAAGGCAAGACAGGTTCCTTTTTGATACACTTGTAGTCCATGGATTGGGCCAGGTGAAATAACGCGGTCGCGATACGGCATTAAATAGATTGACAATGGGCATGACGCAACACATGTTACGTGGCATTAAACATACCTTTGAATTTGAAGTAGCTTCAAGCATGGTACATGGGGTATACCCCCGGGTACTACGCTAGCGTGGTAACTTCGCCGGTGACCCAGCGCGATCTTTTTCAAATGGATTTCTATGCCCCCTGCCTTCGGACTAGAATGAACGAGCAAGTGTCATACTGTGTCATATCATTCAAAAAGAACGGTTCGGAATGATTAGTCATAGCGTGACGGAGTAATAAATGGAAACATACTCAACATTTTCGACTACCAAGCACAGCGCCAACAAAGCTTTTCATCCATAGCAGTGCAAAATGATTAATCATCACTTACAATTCAATGTTTCTCAGAAGGACCCGACGCGCGTCTACAATGACACAATGAACTTTTCGGTTAATTTAGTCTTCAAGTGCGTTGGAAGTTTTGCTTGTCTGAATGTGCTTTTGCATGCGTTTCAAGCTGCAGCTGGCGAGATCCAAGAGTGAGTTCAAGGATCGATACACCTTCCTCCGTGTTGTACTGTTAGTTAGTGTTTTTGGTCTGCTTGCCAACCAGATCGTCTCTATGGATTTTCCAGGTTACCCTTGTGTCCGGAGAAAATCAATGATCGTGTCAGACGACACGTTCTAGTGAGTCATCTCTGGAGAAAAGGAATCATTGCTACTGCCGGGCCCCGTGATCGAGTACGTCAGCAAGGAAGGTCAGAACGATTTTGCTGAAGCCGGGGCGTAAGCAAGGAAGACAATTGAGCGGCGACTCGACGCCGGCACTAGTAGCTTAGTAAGCCCGAACGCTGAGTCTCCTCAGCTCTCATGTCATAACATCCACTAAGGCGACCTCATCAATTCATTAGATCACCGGATCGTCAAAGCTTGTACGTCACCATACAACCCCTTTCGCCTAGGGAGGTCGCTGCTACGACATTACTTCGTTCCGGGATGTGACACCGAGCAAGTCCCACTGGGGTTCGTCCCTATCCCTGTTTGAAGATGCGGCACGGGCTATTCAATGGGAAGTCCTCCCGCTATCTCGCTACCTGTCGCAGCTAAGCACTTTGGTAAGAGAACGAACGTGCATCACCTCCGTCTTCCCCTAAACATCAATTGGGATTCCAGGCGCGTCTCAAATTGTATCTGCTGGAAGCTCGAGAGATCGCAGGCTACACCACACCCGTCGCCAATCAATTCGTTGAGACAGGCCCCTGACTTGGTTGATGGACCTAACTCCAACATGTACTGTGGCTACTATTCTGAGGTTATGTATCCCAGCCTATTGCAACGAGAAAAACACCCAGTATATGCATGTGTGTATGGTATGCAACATGTTTAAAACGCACGCAACCATCTAACCTTTCAAGAACGAATAAGACGAGAACGAGATAGAGATAGGGGTAGGCGACAGTGGCAAGCGGTCTATACTTGATCCCAGAATGAATCGACGATCCAACAACAGTCGTGTTGTGATTCATTTAAACTGTTTGAAGATCGTGGCGGCACGCAGTATTCAAAGGGAAGTTCTCCCGCTTTCACGGTTACTCCGGTAAGAAACTGTGCTTAATCGTCCTCAGCAACAAGGTCTCTGGACGGATGGCTTTTCACAGGGAACGAAATAAGAGACCGCACTTTATCTTTCTCAGCAGCAAAAAGTCTGGACGGATGATTTTTATGGGGAACGAAAAGGCACGCCTCAAGTTGTTCCCTACTGGTTGTTCAAGAGGCCACTCTAAAACATACAACTCAAACTCCACGTAACCATCCAATTGGCAAGTATACACAACGAAAAAAATCCATGTATATACACAATACATTATATGCAACCTTTCCGTCCATCCTAAATATAAAACAAAAGAAACAAGAACAAGGACAATTAAGCTATGTGACAGAGCTATCTATCTTTTGGAAGTATGAAGGAACGTAGTAAGGGGTAGGGGGAGCGCGTGGTGGCGGCGGCGGTAGAAATATGGATATGATGCCATGACAGATGTGGGATGGGATAGGGAACGCCGAGGTAAAGTGTGTGGACTCGGGCACGGGTACGGGCACGGGCACGCAGGATGGGATGAGACGAGATGGAAAAAGGCACGGTCCTGCAGCAACATAACATAAAAGCGCGATAAATCTAAATCCAATTCAAAATGCGTTCCTGGCAGGCCCATGATAGAGAGATTCAGGTCCAAGCCTGCCCGTGATAAAGAGACTCTGTCCACGTCCATGGCATGATAAGAAGAGGAAGGTATTAGAGTAGAGATAAAGCGCTAGGCCCCGAAAAAGGAAATATTTGAAAGGTCTAGGTCCCTTGACAAGTGAGCGTCCGAAATATGAATCTGCACTAAATGAAATGTGTACGTTGACGTTGTTGATGCTTCGCATGTGGTGGGTAGATCGTCGAGGAGGATGTGGTCAGGTTCGTCGATTCGTCGAGGAGGCTGGAGGTGAACGTGCGTTGGAAGCTGCGATGCTCACGAGGTAGTAAAGATATTCCCCAGAGCCTCTGAGGGAGTCTCAGGCACCAGAACCGTCCAATCCCCTCTTTGGATCATAATCTGATGCACACGGCCTCCAGTGCACCACCAGAACCAATCCTGATGTTGATGGTTGCACATCGCCTCGCAGCACATCGCCTCCAATCACCATCACGGCCACTTGAAACTGAAACCAAAGTTAACACTCCGACCTCACAAAAGGAAAGGGAACAACCGCACTCACCACTCACAACGCAACACCAATCCCGCTAGGCCTAACAGTACTCGGCACCCTCATCCTGCTTCCAGCAGGACCCGAGGACGAGTGATACACCATACCCGTTCCTGTCCGTGACTTTGGCCTATCTATCCCCATACTTATAGTCATACTCCCTATACTCCCCGAAGGATTAGGCTTCACAAGTGTCCGCATCACAGGCGACAAAGGCAGAATAGTCGTGTGTGATTGCATCAAAGGAGGCTGTGGCTGCGGTTGAGACTGTGCACGCTTAAGCTGATCATGCACGTTTCGGTTGTAGGTCAGTACTCCCCCCGGCCGTTGGGGCTGTTCGCCTGGTTGGAGGAGTTTGAGGGTGCGTGGGAGGGGGCTCTGGGTGCCGCTTTCTCGAGGGTTCGAGGCGCTTGGGATAGTGATGCTGCTGATCTCTCTGGGGTTCGTGAAGGCGCTGTCTCTCGTGCTCGCGCTCACGAACGGCACAGAGGATACACCTACACCATCGCTGCTCTGCCCCGCAAGACTGGGCAAAGACGGATTAGGCGTCGACAACGAGGTGTTAGATGCAGACGGGTGGGGGCTCATCGAGGGCCGGGGTGAGCTCAGCGACGGTCGGGGTACACCGCCCAAGGACGGTCGTGGGACGCCTCCTAACGAAGATCTCGGAACACCACCCAATGAAGGTCTCGGAACACCGCCCAACGAAGGTCTCGGAACACCACCCAACGAAGGCCTCGGCACACCGCCCAACGAAGATCTCGGCACGCTGCCCAACGAAGGGCGTGGCGTCCCGGTCCCGGCCTCACTAATAATCCTAAGCCCCCCACCGCCCAACTCTACAGACCCAACACTCGACGTGCTCGAATACGTCCTCAACCTAGAAAGCGAAGGCGGGTATTTCTTCGGGGTCAAAGGGAGTGGAGGGAGTGATTTATCAACGTCACATGATGACAGCGTCGATGACTGAGATAGAGAGTGCTTGTGCATATGCGTCATGCCCGACGAGGGGTTAGGTCCCGTCTCCGAGAACGCTACGGGGCTCTGGGGCGTCGCAGGGAAGGGAAGGGACAGCGAGGAAGTAGAAGCGGTGCTCGAGCCATTACCAGTCCCACCACCTGCACCCGTCCCGAGTCCACTAGAGCTCGACCCTGCGCTATTGCGAAAGTCTGCGCGGGTGGGAGTCACGCCGTCCATCTCGTCTTCAAGTGGGATTGGGACTGGGACTGGGACTCGTGCCTCACCGTCTTTGAGTTTGTAAGGGCGAGATTTGGGACGGGAGGTGAGAGGCTTGGTTCTGGGTGGGAGGCTTTTGGAGAATTGTCCGTCGAGGATGACGCGGCCGTCTGTGCGCGCAAAGTCGCCTGCTCGGACGACGCGGCCGAATTCATCCACTTCTTCTTCGCCCTCTTCTTCGCGAAGGATAGAATGGGAGATGCTGCGTGAGAGGGGGTGTGGGGAGCGGAGGGAGGAGTAAGATTGGGATGTGGATATGGACGTGGCGGATGAGCGTCGGGAGAGGTTGAGCGCTGAGAGACGGCGTGTGAGTGGGGAGGGGGCGTCTTCGTCTTCGCTGTTTGGAGTGTTAGTATTTGGATTTGGACGCGAAGAGAAGGAGAGAATAACGAGAACTCGGCGTGTGGCCTATCGGTGATGCAAAGACCCTTGATCTTCGACGGGGCGGTGTCTCCGCGCCAACCGCCGTTCTTGGCGCAATGGAAGCGACATAAGACAGAGAAGCGAAGATGCGAGGAGATAAAAGCGCGAGGGTTATGCCTTGGAACTGAGACCGCCAGCCTAAAACGACGGGAATGCTCACCTATCACTCCATCCCAAACCAGTTGTGAGGCCAATACCTCCTCTCAACAACCTTCCATCACGATGCCTGACGCGTCTACCAGGTGTGTCCCTCGAATCCTTTGGATGCTTACTTCCGGTGGAACTATTGGTGAGCAGTGACGCGTCTGATTGGTTTGAGAAGTTGGACTTGAGGGACGCTTGTGATAAATTTGAGGCAATGGAGAGACGATTTGGGGCTGGAGGAGATGACGGGAGGAGTTTTGAGTGGGGAGAGAGGAGACCGTGTCGAAGCATGAGATGGCTGAAAAGAGAGGGTGAGCGGGATTACGAGAGCTCCGGACGAGACGGAGACGAAGAAAGGGAAAAATGGAACAGAAACTCACGGCAAAGGGGTGTGGAGATCGATGCTCGAATCGGAGTCGGGGGCATCTTGGTCTTCTACTTCAACTTCGAACTCGTGAGGATTGGGCAAGTGTTTTGACGACCCTGAAGATCTATACCCATTAAGACTGTTTGTCCTCGAACGTGACTTATTAGGACGCGAACGAGGGCGCGAGCGTGGACGTGGAGTTGCTTGTATGATAGCTGAAACGTCTGGGCTTGTTGAGCGAGGTCTGTCTGGTGGGGAGGGGAGGATGAAAGCAGGTTTGAGTGCATCTGGGATGTTGTAAGGGCCTTCTTCTGATATTGTATGTGTTAGATCGTAGGAAGGTTTTCTTGTTGCGCTATGGAATGAGCGTAAACTTGAAAGGCTTCCATTTCTAGTTCTAGTTCTTATAGGAGAGTGGGGATCTGAACTAGAAGAAGATATAGAGCGTATTGAAGAGTTTCTGCGAACGAAAAGGACTGTATCGGATGGACCTGGTAGTGGCGGAAGTGGTGCAGTTGGTGGTAGTGATGGTGGTGGATTATTGGAGACTGGTGAGACTGGAGAGACTGGGATGTGTGAGGGTGGTACAGGAAAAGCTTCGAGTAGGAATGGAACTGGAGTATGTTTACTTATCATACGATGTTCAGTTGATGTGGCCATTACTGTCGTCGCTGTAACCGTCGTCCTGGTCATCGTCGTCTTCAATTTAGCTGAAGCTTAAGCGCCGCTCACTCAAAACCAATTTCACAACCAATTTCCCACGATACAAATTTAGATTAGTCTATCAGCCGCTCAATTAACTCGAGTTCAAACGTTGATCACAGCAAATGCCACATATGTCGTCCTTTGTGTCTATCATACAACCGCAGTCGACAATCATCGATATCATTCTTAGAGAGGCCTCATGCTCAAGGTCGTCGTTCACTAGCACTCTTGTCTTTCATTCGTCTCTTAGCAACTCCATTTTCTTTCCGCGGAACCTTTCAAATTTCCGCACAACAACCATTCTTACCACCACAACCAATAAGCTTCCAGGTCCCTATTAAAGTTCATCGCCCCCCGCCTCAAACACTTGCCTATTGGCTCATCCACTTCACCCTGAAAACAAATGGCAGTCTCTCACGTCTCGCTTCCTCAAGGCAATACCTATCGGTGCCTTCAATCAGGTTCGGATCCGCCTCTGACTGCCCACCTCCCCTACCTACCTTCCTGCCTTAACTATCACCCACATCCGGAGCTAACCATGACGACATTATGGGCAACCCGTGCTTGCAGGAACGTTACCAATATCGCGTGATTTACTGTTCTCGTGGTGGAATTTGACTATTTTAAAAACACCGAAAAATGACATCATGCAAATCAACCCTTGGCAATTCTCACAAACTGGACAGCTGCAATTGAGTCCTGTCATCTTGATGAGTGACCGGACACGGTAAACCCTCCCCGAAATTCAAATTCATCATATGGGTACCCATCATCCCTTATCTCACAAAAGTACAATAATCATCCGAGTCGCTCTTCCACCATCGTGCTCTGGGCCTGATACTTCGAGGTGATAGACGCTTTCATTTCCGCAGAAATGAATTGCTTCTAGCTAGCGCATCAGACATACACATTGCTTCTTCAGTAACAATCTATTGTCAATGGAGGCCTCTTCTTGACCACATGACTGTTTCTGGCGCTCGAGATCTTGCGTGCAGCCCGATACGGCCTGGATCTGATTGATCGGGAGGAAAATTTGATGCATGATAGGTTAGGCTGCCCCCAGAAGACTTCCAACATACTGTCTTTCGTGCTTGATCAGGTGATCACGAGAGTACAACCTTCAAGACCACAGCATGCGCGGTTGAACGATGATGCAGATGAATGCGCTTGGCAAGCGAATTCAAGGCGGCGGAGCGAGCGCGATATTGACCTCGGCGCTCTTGATAGATAAGTTATCACCGCCCAGCGCTCGATTTCATGCCTTGGGGCCTTGGGCCTTGGAATTAGGACCTCTCCATCTTGTACCTTGTCTGACCAGAATTTCCGTAAATCGGTAAAACGATACACACGAAACCGTCCAATATTGATATTGAAGGGACGCGCTGATTGATCGTGTGATGTGTGATTCCTGTGTTGTCTCTGGCCTTTAGGTTCTAGAGTTCGGACTTCATAACTTACCAGTCGGGTTTCTCGGATTTCTCGGAAAAAAATCTTTGAGTCGGGTGAAAGTTGTAACGGCTGTTTGATTTCAAGCTAGCAGAACATGAGGTCGCAACAAGCCGTTGACACATATGATACCACCCCCCATACTTACATCTGACCATCGCCCTTGGTCGTTCGCTATGGACGAATGAGGCTTCTACTAGTAGATCTGGATGTGTAACTCGGCTTGAACTCGACGTTGTATTTGAATCTAAAACGCGAGCAAAAGTTAAAACGCACTTGTAATACATGAACATTACTATTTCGAATGACTAGGCCTCCATACGAATGTTAACCCGCTCAGTCAATCGAGTAGAACTAATTCAAAGACGACCTCGCTTCCTGGATATATGCGCGGCGTGATGGACTATTCGAATGACTGGGCATATTCACATTCCCATGGAACATCAACCTGACCAGTCAATCGAGTAGAACTAATTCAAAGACGGCGTCGCTCCCCTTGCGATGTATGCGCGGTGGTATGTACTATTTGAATGACTGGGCTTATCCACATTGAACGCGGTCGTCAATGGAACGTTTCCAGTCAGTCAAGTAGATATTGCTCCTGAGACAAGTTCAAGAAGACTAGAACGTGCTCAGATTTGATTTGAACGCAAGGGATGGAACTAAGAGCCGGCAAGGAGGAGCGATTGGACTTTTGAGTCGCGGAGAACGCGCGGCGCTTGAATATTCGACAGGCGCTTGTTCTGCTTCTTTCAAGCAAGCCACATACTGTACTAGATAAAGACCGAGCTTCGCTGGCAGCAACCCTGTCCCGGAGTACTAAGTACTACCATTTGGATAATACTTAAAGGTATACATCATCAGCGGTATCCTTTGGACAGTAGCAGACCGGGGCAACAATCGAGAAAAACTGCGGAAAGTTTGCTGTCGGACACGTGTGTGATGAGAATGAGCGCATTTCAATAAACAGGTTCTGACAAATGATATAACTTTCAGAAAGCACAACTCAAAGGGGTGGATTTATCAGTAATCGGAAGATGCCTGAGCACCGTTCCTTTCTTTCCCTTTGGGAGGATGAAAGGCCACTGCCAATTTTAGTGAGTCGGAAAGCTTGGGCAATATATATTTAACAGTGCTCGTAACACAATCAACTCGCAAAGGTCTATTTCACTTGGTCAGAAGAGATAAGAGATTGAGAGTAATGAACAAGAATGATTAATGACTTATAGTGAACAAGCTTGATAGAATCAACACTTACGTATATGAATGGTGTTTAAGTTCATCGCATTCTCGTTGAATCATCTCGAATGCCCATGAGTTACGGACGATAGCTGGAAAACTTTTCGAGGAAAAGCTGAAGCCATCGCGGGGCGTGAAGGTGAATCCCTTTTCCAATCACATACAAAGAGGTTTCGACACCTAGTTAACATGGACCTCCGAGGATTTATACACTGCAAAAATGTTGTCAGAAGGCTTCGAACCAACTCCATGAGAAACAGATTTCGACTCTGTTGTGACAACCACTTGACTAGGAAGACCAGTTAGATGGACCTCTGAGGAATCCATCCACGAGTCAATGTTAAGGTGTGTTCTGATATAAAAAGAGCCGTCATTCGACAGGTTTCGAACCTGCACAGTCGAAGTGAAACGGATTTTGATTCCGTTGCGGTCACCACCTGGCTAAGACCAGTTGGGATGAGTTACTGCGGAGCCATCCATGGGTGACTCCGTCAGAGTGTGTTCCAATAGGGAAAAAAAACCTTGCCGTCAGCGGGTTTGCCAGATTCTGATTCTGTCGGGGAAACCTTTAACCAACTGGCCATGAGATAGTCCTTCAAGGAAACTATCCATGAGTGAATCTTCAAGGTATGTTCTGATAGCAAAAAAACCTTGTCGTCGGCAGGTTTCGAGCCTGCACTACAGTACTGACGCTGTCCGAGAGAGAGATTTAGATTCTGTCATGGTAACCGCTTTGGGCAGGACGAAGTTGAAAAGAACTTTTGAGGAAACCATCCATGGTGCATGAGCGAGTCTTCAAGGCATTTCCGATAGAAAAAAACCTATTGATCGGCAAGTTTCGAACTTGCACAGTGCTGAGTGAAGAGAACCAGATTTCAATTCTGTTTGTGGTAACCACTTAGCGAGGACCCGTTAGATGCACCTCCGACGAAACCATCTATGAGTGAATGTAAAGGTGTGTTCCGAGAGAGAGAAAACTTGTCGTCGGCAGGTTTGGAACCTGCGCATTTCAAAAGAAACAGATTTCGATTCTGTTGTGGTAATCACTTGGCCCAGTAGTACACTTTGCAAGATGATTCTGAAGAATTGTTCATGAGTGAATGTCAAGGTGTGATAAGATATTTGTCGGTAGGTTTTGAATCCGTACCACCCAAGATTTATGAACTGTTCTGCTCCCAGTTGGTTATGCTTATGATCCATTCACTCATGAATGCTCAAGGCATGATAAAAGGAAGATTGTTCAAGTTTCGAACCTGCAAGAGATTTCTGTCCTGTCACGCTTACCACTTGGCTAAGACTGGACTCATTTGCAGTACGAGTCCAAGAACATCATGCATCGACAGTAGAATCACATAGGATTAGCAGCCATCTGCCAACGCAAAATAAAGTAAAAAGACTAATTCAATGGACACAAAACATGCCAGGAATAAGTGAGACCAGAGCGCCAGCGCCCCTGGGTTGCTAATAGCCATTAATTCTCACGGGGTCAAAAGGACAGCCACAATTGTGGGCTGATATTGACCTTGTAGTATAAGGTAACAAGCTTAAGGTCCTAGACCAGCCGTTTCGTCTCTTCTATGAAGTACAACGTATGTAGCCCTGCATTGGTGATCAACGAGAACGAGTCAATTTCAAGACATGGTCGTGGGCGCAAAAGTTGTTGTTACTTGAATTCGTTGGCCCATAGCTAATTCAAATGACAACACACTTGGCGACCTCTATATGACACTCGTTTCGCTTTCCATCCTCTGTCTGTGACCAGTCTATCGAACTTCAAGGTAGGCCGCTCAATTTGTGTGTGGAATCTGTGATCTTCATGCTCGATCTACGTCTACAGTCATCAGCCTCCAACATGTTACAGTAGCCTCCTTCTGGCATCCGCGGGTTTCGTACTACGTGTCTTGGAGAATACACTGGAAAAAAGTCATTCTAAGTCCTGTCATTTGTGTGGGGCTGTAAGCTTTCTGCCAAGACTTGTCGGGGGTGGTTCAAGGATTGATCGATATGACCACCAGTTCAGATCGCCAGATCTAGATACTCAAGTTATCATTGGAGCTCAGGGCACCTTTGGAACTATGTTGGATGTTAGGGTACGGAGAAGTCACTAGCTGGTGGACTTGAATTGTGATAGAACCAGCTCCTAGATGAACCTTCCGGTGGGTGGCCTGCTGCTTGGCATTCATGCATATCAAACCTATCTCCAAAGCCTCGCGCGATTTGCCAAATACGTAGCAAGGAAGAACGCAGGACACGAAGCTGCTGCTGCCTTTTTAGTGTAGCGGCAGCGCTGCCATGGATGTGTCATCTGGTGCCGTAATTGATCTACGAACGGTACTCCGGAGCAGCTAGCAGTCGTGGCCAATAGTAGTTACTGGCCTCTCGACTCAGGACTCCGTTTCAATACTTCAAGTCGGCAAATCCGACACTACTCAGCAGACTCTCTGTACCTCACTACATTCCCGCAGCCCTGTGAGATGAAGTTTTGTTACTCATTGGGAGAATATAGTCCGTAGATTCTATGTAAGGAGTGCCAATTACGATTAACGATTGAAAGTTGGAGGGGTGGGACGGGACGGCCCTATAAGGCATATACTATATACTGGCCAAAGAACATGTCTTATACTAGCAGAGCTAAAAAAATTCAAAGTATTGTGGGTATCGTAGGAAGTTCCGTTATGTCGCGAGCAAGTCGTTCCCGTTCGCGGACTGACTTCCTGGCATTGAGCCTGACTAGCAATTCACTAGCGAGCTTCGCATGGAGGACTGGTTGACTCACACTGATAGCATCGAAATAATATAGGCTATGGGTAAGAGTGTTAGTATTTGCGCAGTACACAAGGAACATATAGTATCACTGACAGTTTCCGATCACCGCCCCAGGCGCAGCAGTGTAGTATTGATCATTAAGACCTTCCTGGAACTGATACTGAGATAGTCCTGATTATTATTTTTTCTGTGATTTGCATGAATAAGACGACTTACGAGCACAAACAGGGAAGTCGCCACAAGTCTGGGGGACAAACCAGATGAAATGAAATGTTCAGCGGGAATGTAATGTTACACATACAATGAAAACAATCCCATTTGAATAAAAACTCGTGACATTTCATTGAGATAACCCCTCGACCTTGACATACACAGCTGCATAAGTCAGACCATAAGCACAGCAGAGAGACACGTACCGAATGTTGTCTGTTCGTGCCGGTCGCAAAAACCACCAAATTGTCCCTGTAATGACAGCATCACATAATGCACTGGTGAGGGACGCTACTTGCGACCACTAAATCCGAGTATGAATTCCATGCTCATCAAAACTATGTTGAGGCTGACTGGACCTTCGTATAGAATAGAACTTCTGGATTTCGCGTGACGATTCTTTGAAAGTATGAGTATGTGAGAAGTCGTATGAGCTCAATGAACAAGATTGCCTTACATCAAACCACTTAGGACTAGAGACGGAGACGATAATATATCAGAACATTGAGAAAGGACATGAAGGATTGACGCAACTCATGCCACACGCTGCAGCACTCAAAAGTCAGAGGTTACGCAGCTGAGATCGAAAGAGCTAACCGAATGATGCAATGGCGAGTGCACACTGAAAGTTTGTGTTATAGCTCTCTGCAACAGGAATTATAAAAACGGCACTCTCACAATAATGCCTGTTATCAAGCAATTTTGTGCTGTGACTAGAGGAGCTCATTGAAACCCTACTCTCGTGGATCCTAGAGCACTCACTGATCCACACCCTGTATGCATAAAAACTTCCGAAAGCCGAAGTGAATTGGTATCGTCCTGCAGGAAGCTAGCCACAGGAACCACGTACCACTGAACGGCGAAAACGATCCAATACTTACGATTTGTTAATTATGTAATGTTGATAACAACTAGATATGAAGAACTCACTGTCACAAGTACAGCGAGCTTCGTAGGCAACGCTCAATATGCAGTACGCTAAATCAATAAAATTGAACATGCCAGTATCTGCCTATCCTCTTGATGAGTCGATTTGTGCAAGAACAATTCTATCGACTTACCACGGAAGTTGAGCAGTGCACTCGAAGGACATGCTACGACGGCACGAAATAAAGATGGTCCAGTATAGGCCTATCAACGAGTATTCCTGTGTTGTTCCCAAACAACTGCGAGACACCATCGTTGGTATCAGCATATAATCATGATCGAGCATCGTGAAAAACGCCCACAAGGCCATAGTTATCTATATCAGAGGTGTCGATCGACGATTCTTTCGTTGATGTACATAGGTTGGGCTCACAAATAACTTGAGTTTTCTCGAATCCCGCGGAAACCATCGCACGTAGAAGAGATACTGTCCGAAAACTGTCCCGTAGAACCTTTGAAATCCTGCAGGTCAACCCTCAGCAGTAGAGACTGAATGGCACGAGTCCATACGCTGTAGCTATGATAAATCCTTCAAAGCCTCGAATCAGCTAGGAGGAATCGAAGACCAGCCGTCAGAAGGCTCACCGATGAATCCTGGCCCCCACATTAGTTCCATGGAGTTGGCCGCCATCGTGCTTGATGAAGGCGAAACACTCTGAGAGGCAAGCCGCAGGAAAAAAGTACTTAGCAGGCCCGGCTGCCTTTTGTAATAGGCGTACTAGTGCCTTTATATGCCTTTACGGCATAGCTCATGAGTGTTGATCTTTGACCAAACCGAATAGCGCCACTACTACCAGTGAGTACCAGTACTACTATATTCAAGGGCTATATGTTCGGCTACAACACTATAACAGTATTAAGATGATATGTAGAATCTCACTGAGCACCCTAATCATGTTGTGCAGTGACGCGTGACGCTCTGGCTAGAGGCGAATCCGGAAGAATTCAACTCACCAGACTTCCCGTGGGCAAAAATAGACTATACGCTTAGGTGTGCCGCGTGTCCGGGTGCCATTTCGTTACCGTTTGGAATTCAACAGCGAGCGGTCCGCCCCAACAAACTTCACATAAATCTGTAAGGGGGTTTTTCACGGCCCGGAAAATTAATCAGTAAGTAGCCTAGAACGGCGGTGGGGCCGAGCTGGCAGTGTACAGTGTAAGACGCATAGACACTTCCTTTCTGCCAAGTCAACTCTATAACACAGCTGGTACGCCACGCTACACTCTGGCCTCTAAGCTCAGCAAACAATACAATCTTCCTTGAAGCTCAAACTATACATCGTCTTGTCTACCGTCTTCTCAATCTTTTTCCAATCAGCGCGTCGTTGAATAAATTCATAAATATCCTAGCGAAAACATCGTTATTTGGAGTTGTTCCGCGATAACACTGGAAAACCGCATACCTCGGGTCGATATGCCCCACCATATCTTGTTACATCTCTCACGATCTGTGCCAGATCTTTTGCGTCTTCCACGACAAAGACATGTCCCAACATCTTCAAATGCGAGAAATCTGCAGTGATATTAGGTACCTATTCACAAGGCATCAGGCACCATCCGATTGAAATCAGTAGAAGTGGACCTTCAGAGAAGCTATGAAGGAGTAATAAGCATTGAGGTCGGCAATGACTTGGAAACCGCCATTCAGAGAGATGATCTGGCGCTTGATATGTTTCTGCAGTATACTGTGCCACCATATCAGCCTCCCACAACAAGCTGTCTCAACATCTGCACACTCACCCCAACAACCGGATTCCAACCTCTTGGTAGAACACTTCAAGTACCTCCTTGCTCGTGCTGCCCTTGAGAAGCTTGCAATGCGTATCCAAGCATCGGATCGCTTCCGTACAGCCCTGAGTGGGACCCAATTCTAGTGGAGCATCTTCTGGGGGATAGTATTCCCGTGGTTTTGTCAATGTCAGGATGATGTGCTCAACCTAACGCACCAATGAATCTGTCAAGGATTGAGAAAGCACAACTACACACCTGATTCATTAGCACCTGTGTTCCAGCATTAAGCCCTGCAGCAACACAGTCATCGAGCGTATTTTCAAAGCGTTTCTTCTCTCTCACGACCACATTTAGGAAGTCCTTTTTGTCGATGTATGGAGCCTGATACAGGTAGCAGAGTCTGGAGAAACGTCCGTGATTTCAAGATGCACGTACCAGTTCCTTGTCAAAGAATACTTGTACCATGCTTTGAATCGTATCCCCTATGTGGACGAGCTCGAAGAATTGCAGCAGCGGCGCTACACTGGCAGTTTCTTCGTGTTCTGCTGGTTTGTATGAATCCATCCGCTCCGTTGCTCTGTCAATGCGGAAGGTTACCCCATGACAGATACACAAGCGAGTGACGGACCCGCAAATGTATCACTTACATCCCAAAACCTTTCTCTAGATGCCTGTTACACAATACCCCCAGCATCTCGCAGAATGCTTCTTCGATCGTTTCTCTCACCCTTATTCCATAATGTCCGGGGTACGATACAAAGGTCTCCAGGCGTTTGAGTGCATCACGGTCGGCGTGAATCAACTGGAGAGCAACATCAAGGGATAACAGGAGATCAAGGTTTCCTGTTGGCGCTGTTTGAGAGGTGCTAGATGTAGATAGCGCAAAGGAGGTTGCAGCTGTGTTTGTGCTAGCAATTGAAGCAGTATCTCGTGTGGATGCTGTAGCTGATGAGTCTCCTCCTCCCCATCACAATCAATGCTTACATGGGGCCATCGAACTTTCGTCAATACCATCATCACCTCCCTCTTCATCAGCACCAATTTCAAAGATGGAGGCCTCTCCTTCGGCGTCCCCGAGGCCGAAGCTGGTATATTCTTTTGTGTTGTTCACTGATCCCGTGCCACCGACCCAACGCTGTGGATTAAGCATCGCAATGCCTTGGACCATACCTGTGCCGACGGCGCCAACAGCTCCACCAACAGCTCCCCCTACAGCTACCACTCCGGCACCGACAGTACGTGGGACTATGGTCACGGGTAATAGGAGCACGTCAGTGAATGACGCTAGAACGGTACGCTTCATGAGAGCCGGGTTCTGCGCAGTAAGGAAGCGGGTCCGTTGTGCTTGTGTGGGTGAACCATGTGATGCAAGCGCTAATGTCTGCAAGTTGGAAGTGAGTCATTGAACAAAGACCGTCAGTAGGAAGGTAGGCACGTACCGATCGGGCCCACTCTTTGCATATTACCTCGAATGCCTGTTTTAACTGATTCTATTTCCTCGTCAAGGTATTCGTCCATGTTTGGCTCAAACATCAAGAATCTACGGATTCACAGTTAGCAATACTTCTGATAGTACTCCGAGAGAATGTAGCGACGATGAGGTACGTGGAAGGGCGAGCGTGTCAGGAATTTTATCACGTACACGACATCTTCTGTCTTGTCTTTACCTTTCTCGCTGAAATTACTAGACAAGGTAGTGAGAACATCCACAATCCTCCACGATTCCCTGAAGCTGGCAGCCACTGCGGTGAGATAGAGAGCATTCGATATCTCTCTGGCACGTGTTAGCAGCGGAGCTATGTATTCGCCAACCTGCGCGCACCCATAGTTACGAAATGAGGGAGAAATAGACATGACATGAACTCACAACTTCGTTGGCAACACGTTCTGCGAACCCAATAAGGACTCCGGCAGCTGGCGGAAAGACGAACACAGCCCTTTTGCCATGTTCCTCCAGCGCACCTATGACGCTAGCCATGAATTCATCCATAGGTGTAAAGTCAAGGGTATTTTCCTCTCTGCGCGCCTCATTTGAATACTCGAAAGATACAGATCATGTAGGTTACTCACGTGAAGTTAGCTAGCGGATTCCATCGACCTTGCTCATACAATATCTCTCGCTTCTCAGCCCATACCTTGCCCATTTCCCAATCCCCAGTCCCAGGCCACACCTCCCAGCTGGCATGAGCAGTCTGTCTCATCATCAATTCGTCTCCACGAGAATCAGCAGTATCAAAAGCAGTCAGAAGTGATACGTCAAAGCGATCTATAGCAGCCTTTAGGGCGGCGAGAAGAATGTCCCAATTTCTTACGGGTTGGACGCGGGGGGAGAGGAAGAAGCTCAGCAAGCGGAGAGAACGAGCCTGAGACAACAGAGATGTGCCTATGAGAGGTGTGAGCGCGGAAAGAACCGCATGGGGCGGATGCTGCAGAGGAGCCAAGCATTTGTTTAGAATTGAATGGGCGCGTGTATACCTGGGCGCGGAAAGTCTGCTTTCCTGGAGATGCGTCTGTGAACGTGAATGATGTAAATGCAGCAGAGAGAGATGGGACAGATGGTGTGCGCGGGGCAGACGTGAAATCTCCGAAATCGTCATCTACAGGTATCGTAGGAGGCAAATATGCGCTAGCCTTTGGCTTTTGCTTGGATTCAATGTCGTCTAACGTGACATCCAAGGCGTGCCGAGTAATGGCTAAATCATCCCATCTTCGTTCCCATACTTTCTCGTCGCGAGATAGACCAGCGGTTGCCCTTGACGCTCGAGCATAGGCAGGGATGTCGGGGATGGGGAGGTGGTTAAGGATAAGCAAGTGAATGTCAGCAGGTAATTTGCCAATCCATCGGGAAATAGGTTGTGCTCTGCTTGCCCTCTTGTTTGTCGTCGACGCTGATGACGAATAAAGCCGCGTCGGTTCAAGTGCAGTGAACTTGTCCATCAAAGCTTGCTCATCGTCTTTCGCAGTGTTCTTGGATGAACTAGGAAAGGACATCCCGGCGGCAATCCAAATGAGGAAATTTTACTATTAAGAGGGATCTTTGTGGTTTAGTTCACTTTGTCAGTCTCTGCAACTTACTTGCCTGCAAGCACCTTATCATGGTGACTATAGCATCTCCCCAGTCAAACGAAGCAGAGCAAAAGAAACGAAAACAAACTTTGGAGCGGGCAAAAGCAAGTCACGTACGTTTTCTATGCCTTCAGATGCAGTTGACATGCTTCTTGCCTATATCGCATCTCTAATACGATAATCCCAGCTCTCGAAACAGTTACAGATGCGCCTGCAGTATGCAAAGCTCAAGGTTGAGCACGGATGGGTATGCTTTCTTCCTCACTGATGTGGTGATTGATTGCTCGACCGTTGATTAATTAGCAACGCCAAAACTTGAACGAGGTTGAGAACCTGTATTTCCATCATTCGCAGGTACGCGGGCTGCGTCCTGTCGTACCTGCAAAAACTGTTCCTCTGCTGTCTACGAATCCACTTCCTCCCACCGCACCCGTTCCAGAACCTCCCGAACCCGTAGCGGTCGATGAGGTATCACAGCAGGTCATCAATAGCCAAGCACCTCCCATAGATACTTCCCGAGGGCACACGTCTCCGCATAATTCCCCTGTTAAATTAACATCGACTCACGTGCAAAGCTCGTTCACCGACACCACCTCAAAATCTTCATTACACACACTACAGACCCTCCCCGAGAAGGCGCCTTCTCAGGAACCGTCTCAACCTGCTCCCGCCCCTGTTCACCTCAGTACACAATCAGCCACTGTTCTCCAGGAACTTCCAAACTCAGAGACAGTAGCCCCTCCGTACAACTCCCTCGATTTTAGCGACCCAGCAGCTATGGTAAGATTCATGCAGATGCAAATGCAGCTCCAACCTCAACTTCCTTTCCAGGCTCCGTCACACAGCCAAATACCAACACAGATTCAAACGCACACACAATCCCAGCCATATAACCCCTACATGCCCCTCAATCGACAGTCCTCCCAGCCTCAACCCAACCCCTTCATGCCCCAACCCCTTCCTCAGTATTCCTTCACCCAATCCTACCACGCAACCTCGCTCCAAAATCAGTCCAACCCACAAACATCTCATTCGCAGCCTAGTGCTAACTTGCAATCCTCGTTTGGGAATGGGAATGGGAGCGGCCCGTTGACATATGACAGCTTCTGGTCTACACATGCCAGCGCAGGATCACTTTACCGCACTCACGGAGGTTTCACAGCGAGCGCCACACCAACTGGCCACGTCGCGATGATCACCCCTGGCGGGCATGCGGCTGTGATGACGGCTGAGGGGGTGTATGTCGGTACTGCGGGGTACACGGGCCGCGTCAGCGGGTAGAGATCACAATGCTTGCTTGCTATGTTGCTTATTCTTTGGCGTTGCTGGGTTGTGCACGTTTCTAAGAACTACTCTGGATTGCTTCATGATGTTACGATATATTCATACTTACCTCTCCATTCTGCTCCTAATGACCTTTGCATGCTGGTGGTTGATATTACTGCAGAGCCCTGGGCTGCTATGGCGTGTGGCTGCTGACAGGGACAGCAAAAATGGTTTGAATCTGGTATACGGATGAATGACTATAGTACTCTACTTCTACTAACTAGCACATTAAAAGCAGCACAAACAAACGCATGAAATCGGTTAATATATCATCCATCATATCGTCTCGTCTCATTCTCGTCATCGCTATCGACGTGTGCCAGGTAAAATATCCACTACTGAAAGATTGAACGTATGCAGCACTGAATTCGCAAGTATCCAATGATTGAAGCTGAAGGCGAAGATCACAGTGGAGGAGTTGAAAAGAGGAATCATAAGAATACGTCGCCTAGCCAGCCAAGGACTTTGAAGAGTCCCCACAGGCATCCACCAGCGATAATTGGCAGACTGAGGTTATCGTCCACGGAACCTAAATCTGCGTTCCAGAGTGAGCAAGCAAAGCAAAGAATAAAGTATACCCACCGAGTGCTTCAGCAACGCCCGAAAATAAACCCGCGCATACAGTCACAACAGCAAGACCCGCCCACCCACTGAAGACCTTCCCACCTTCCGCGCTCCCACCACTAAACGTACTCGATACACCAGCGTCCCAGGACCACGTCAAGTTGTCTCTCATGGGGCCAAGGTACGTCCAGAATCCGGCAGCGACGGTAGCGCCTGTGAGTGAGGCTGCAATAAAGCCCGCCAGACTTTTACGAGGGGCAAGAGGAAGACCAAGGAGTCGTGCAGGGAGCGGGGGTGTGAGTGGGCCCCAGAGACGACCGAAAGTGGATGCGGCTGTGTCAGCCCAAGAAAGGCTGTTATAGTACGATAAACAGGGAATGGCAAAACAGAGGAAAGGCACAAACATAAGAATTGAGACAACTGCGATGTCGAGAGGCAACGCGATTAACGCAGTGTTGGCGCCAAGAATATACCATATAACACCATTGGATGATTTCTAAGGATACGTGAGGTCAGAATGCATGCCCAGTGTGAGTTACGCTTGCCTTTTCACTATCGCGCATAAAGATGCCAACACATTTCTCAAAAGCACGTTCGAAGAGGGGGTACTTTAGGCGGAGGACATCTATTGGAACAAGGACAGCAAGGGCAGAGCTCAAGGCAATAACAACTGTCTGTGGGTTGCCTTTGGAAGTGTATAGGTAAATCGTAAAGAAACCTGCCAAAAACCACTCGTCAGACCAACAACCTTTAGGGGAGTCAAGGGTATACATACCAATGGATGAATGCAACGCCTTGCGAGGAATCTCCCAATCAATCTGTTTTTTCAAAGTGTTGCGCTTATCAGGTGAGCTGCCGGGGGACAGCTTGCGCTCGCGTGCTATCCGCGCGTCTACCTCTTCTACGAGTTCCTCTATCGTCGCCTCTCCGTTCTGTTTCAGCTGTTGGGAACCGTTTCTTGCAGATGCCTTGCGCTTATGTCCCCTCTTCGCAGGCATTCCATTTGCTGGCTGTGACGAGAAGACGAGGCTGCTTGACGTGGAAGGTGGAGAAAATGATATTTTTGGGGAAGAGGAGCGACGTGGAAGTGACGGAGTGCGGGCGCGCGAGCTCGAGCGACAGGGCTGGTTGTGCGCGAGGCCTAACGAGAAGGCGTCGTTTGCAGGAAGCGTCATCCCGTTGATGAGAACGAAGGCGCGTGAATATGGTGCAAGTACACCGCCCACAACCGAAATGTTGCTCTGTTTGGCTACGTTGTGCTTCCAGCTTGGCTCATGCTCAATACAGTGAATCACACAAAAGGAGTCATCTGGGCTCAGTAAACATGCATAGCATGCATGGCATAATTTTTGGGGCAACATAGCATACAACTCTAGTAGACATAACCCAGAAGCTTCCCACCAACGTTCTTGCGACGAGCCTCCTCGTGATCAAGAATTCCCGATGAAGTCGTCTGTCATCACGATAGAAGTCAGCTTGCATTCCAATCTCAGATTCAGAACAGCCCACCAAGATAATTTTCCCAAAACCACGGGCAGGGAGGAGCAAGTTAACCCAGGACTCAATCTGGTTCACTTGAACATTAAAACGTGGTGAAATGACACCCGTTTTGTTGAGCCGGCCATTGAGCTGGATCACAATTTTTCCGGAACGGTGGTCATCGATGATCTCAAATTCACCAATGTAGCCTGCAAGGCATCAAAGTTAGCACTCGCGCACATGTGACCAAGAACGAGTAAAGTTGAAAAAATAATGTAGACTCTGCAGTGAACCCCGATCCGTGACACAGAAAAGATCAGCGTTGTTTGGTTTTGAGAGACAAGTTGATATTTCGGAGAATTAAAACGAAGGCCGGGTAGAAGGTCAAGCCTCGTCAATCGTAGTTATAACTCCGAGAATTGCTCAAAGCAATGAATGAGTGGTTTCAGTATAAAACGCAGACCCACCATGGCGTTGCATGACAGAGAGGAACTTCACAATGACCTTTGAGGAAGGTCTGATAAGGACCTGGCGCTTTCCCCGGCGCTCAGCATTGACAATGTTGTTCTAGTAGCTCAATAAATCAACACAGCTCCGCTCATAGACGCGGTTGACTTACAAGGCAGTCGTTCTAATACAAAATTACGATCAGGCTCACCGTATCAAAACAAATAGAACACTCACAAGAACAGAGACGCGGACCATTTTGAATTATCGAGGGTCGAAGCGGGATGGGAAGGGTAACACTATCGAACACGATGTGAGTACCTATGCTCGTCTGAGTGTCGTGCTACGGAAAGCGCGAGTCAAGACGAGCTGCGAGAAAGCATGACATAGGGCCGGTCAAGCCAAGAATACAGCACAATCATGTCGCACGTAGACATAAGCACAGGCTCACCTTGCTGGCCTTGAGGATGTGCCGGATGACTGGCTTATGGGCTTCGATAAATTAGATGTTGAACATGTGGCTGTGTGACTGTATAGTACCTTTCAGCCACTGCGGAAGTTACCGAGAGCTTCGCCTGCGTGATCTTAGCCTTAAGGCATCGACATCGTCAACGTCCTCGACACCAAAAATCTGACAAAATGGTGCGTGCTTGTGTCAGACAGATGCTTATCATTTCTGAGACCGCGATTAGGGTCGTGTTCGTACCAAAACCACCAAGAGGGCTGCCCGTGTGCTCATTGAAAAATAGTAAGTCTAATTTAACGGTTGACCGGGTTTCGGGCATAGAGGACCAGAAGTCTGGAAAGACAGACGATGAATGATTGGACTGGAGCAGTGACCGATTCTGACATATGACACACAGCTACCCCCGCCTCACCCTCGACTTCCACACCAACAAACGCATCATCGATGAAGTTGTCAGTATCTTTCCACCCAATCCACTTGCGCCATCTCATCCCTTTCCCACAGGCTGTGGTCCCCTCCAAGCGCCTCCGGAACAAGGTCTCCGGCTTCACTACCCACTTGATGAAGCGTATCCAGCGCGGGCCCGTCCGTGGTATTTCGTTCAAGCTCCAGGAGGAGGAGCGCGAGCGAAAGGATAACTACGTGCCTGAGGTGTCTGCTCTTGACACGAGCGCAACAGGCTTGGAGATTGACAAGGATACCTCTGTAAGTCCTATTTTGATTTCCCCTCCAGTATCTCCGTATTTTTTTTCCTGGCAAGAATTTCATGCTGATATCTGAATCTTTCCTAGGAACTTCTCAAGGCACTCAACTTCGACTCCATCCCTGTAACCATCGTACAGACTGTTATCCAGCAGCCAGAGCGTCCTCGGCGGGAGAGGCGCAACGTCCCTGGCGCTGGGAGGTAATTTGTATGTTCTAGGTGTTACACATAGGCTCGTGTCATGCCACGCTATGTATGCATGCGATCACAACTATTCTGGTACCTTTACTTTTCTCCTATCACAATTTTGCCCATGAATCAGGCTGTCAACCCTTAAACGTTTCTCAAGCTGCAGGCAAGTCTTGGAGGCCGTAATGATCGCGTGCCATGTTCACCTGAAAGAAGTTCTTCTCAAACGCACCCGCATCGATATGAATCAACGTTTGCATGGAGAAATCGCGTTTATAAAGGCTGGTGAGGAATTGCATGTACTTCAGCTGCAACTGCAATACGAATCTGCATCGAACCCTCATTCGGGAACAAAGCGTTTTCTCCTTCCGAATGTGGTATTTTCTCATTTATGCCTGACAACTTCAGGTGCCAAGTGTCAAGTGCCTTGATGGCCATCTAATCTCGGCTCAAACTAGAAGAAACAGTAAAGAAGATAGAATATGAGCACTAGAGTAATGAAAGCAAACTGTCAGGAGGTAAATAAGAACAGCAACTAACTGGCGGGGGTGTCATGGGCTAGCCTACGACTGCAGGTGAAAGCTTGTAAGTAACCCAAGTAATAACAAATATATCTTTGCTAGCACGAGGGAAAGATCAACGTATGGTTGGTATGGTAGGAAGCTCCATTGGACTGCGACCAACTTCAAGTTGTTGTTCGCGTATTGACTTCCTAGCATTGAGCCTGGCCACAAATCCACCAATTTAGTGGGCTTTATGTAAAAGAGTATTTTATCCACTTACACTGCCATCATCGAGTTCAAATAGGCTAAGGTGATTAGTTTTAGTGTTTGCATAGTGAGTATGCAACAAACTGACTTTTTGCTAGTAGTGATCCAGGCAAAGCGGAATAGAACTGGCCGAGACCACCATCCTGAACCTGGTACTGAAACAGTCCTGGTCGTTATTTCCCGCATGTTGCGTGAACAACGGGACTTACGAGCACAGCCATTGCGATTGCCATAATGCTAGAGAACCTCGTGATAGGAGTGTTCGACGCGTTTGTAACATCACACATACCAAGTAAATAAACCCATGTTAACAAAAATTTGTGTCAGTTTATTGAGATAATTCAGTTTCGACCTTGAACCACAGGATCCAGTATGAGTTGAACCACAAGAGTAGGGCAGGACTCGTACCGGACATTGCCTGTTCGTGCAGGACGCAAAAACCACCAGACTGTCCCCGTAATGAGAATATCACACAAGGCACCAGCGACAGCAGAAATCTGACACCACTGAGTCAAAGTATGAGTGCCTCAAGGTTGTTCAAAACTGTTTCATGACCGGCCTTTTTACCGAATAGGTCTACAGGGTTTCTCGTGTAAAATCTTTGGAAATTATATGAGAAATCATGCGAACCCGAGGACAAGAGCTTACATCAGACCGCCTGTTACTAGAGACGAGGACAGCAGTATATCAGGATATTGACGTCAAAGATGACAGACATACGCACTCGAGCCAAAAACTACAGTGCTAAAGAGTCAGATGTTGAGTATCTGAGATCGAAAGAACTGACCAAATGCTGCAATGGCGAACGCGCACTGAAGATTGGTGTTAACCCGGGAAATAAATAATGGAAATGCGTCTCACAATTATGCCCGTGATTAAGCGGTTGTATTCCGTGACTGAAGCAAGTGTTAAAATTCTTCGTCCCGCAGACCCCGAATGACTCACTTATCCACACTCGGTGTGCATAAAAGCTTTCGACAGGCGAATCAACTTTTGTGTTATGCTGCAGGAAATTAGCCATAGCAAACACATACCACTGAACTGCGAATACAATCCAACACTTATTGATGTTATTGAAAATTAGTAACGGCAATATATGGAAGACTCACTGCCATAAATACCCCCAGCTACGGCAGCTATGTTCAATAGGTGGTATTACATCAATGTAAATGCACTTGCCACCATCTGCCTGTTCTCTCGATGAGTCGATTTGGGATACAATACCAAGTTTATCGACTTACCACGGAAGTTTAGTCATGCACTCAAGGGACGTGCTACGACGGCATGAAATAAGGATAGACCAGTACATTCCTATCAAGGCATATTCGTGTATTGTTCCGAGACAACTGCAAGACATCATCGTCAGTTATCAGTGTACACTCGAGCATCGTCAGAAGCACACACAAGACCATCATTATCTAGCGATCAAATACTTCATTAAGTCAAGGCTTTCATGGATGTGCAGAAGTCCCACTCACAAAGAATTTGAGTCTTTTCGAATCTTGCGGAAATGATCTGAGGTAGAAGATATACTGCCCGAAAGCTATCCCATAGAACCTTCACAATTCTGCATGTCAACTTTGGGTAGAGACTGAATCTCAGATCCATACGCGGTAGCTATCATGAATCCTTGGTCTAAAGTCAAAACCGAGGTACATAAAATGGACCATCGGAGGACTCACCTATGACCCCAGGACCCCACATAAGTTCAACGGAATTGACGACCATCGTGTCGGGATACTGTGATCATTTATGCATATGACAGCGAAATGACAGTAGTCTTCAAGCTTCAACTAGGTACCATTTTTTGTTTGTGATTTCAACTCCGCTTCCCCGGTTCCTAGCTGAACGCTACGGCGTCAGCGACATATGCTGCCCTCGATTTTGGATCATACTCAGTAGCTTCCCTAGTATATGGTCTGCCAGACTAATTTTGTGCGGTCCATGGACTAGTGCGCCTACCTTCCAGACGCGTCCGCTCCAGTACTATGTCTATCTGGCGCCTAGGCATATCCCAATTTCACGGTGACTCCGAATAGGATGGTCAATGTCACATTAGATGACTGGAATCCCCTCGACAACGGTTCGAGCCCCGATAGACTCACAAAATGTCTGCTGTACAAAGAAACGCGTTTGATTTTGCAACAGCCATTTACTAAGTTATATTTACTGTTGTCTCGCAGCTATCGAAATGAGTAGGCAAGCCAGACTTTGACCGCCTGGCTTGTCTACTCACTTTGATAATTTTTTACTTTGCGCTGTGGTACACGGCACGGGCCAGATACCTGTAAGAAGCATTGAAAACTAATTTTATCCGTATTCCAGTTAAATCAGTTTCAGGTACCGGCCGCGGTGGAGTCCGGCCTTTGACTCTACTTGCAGCCTCATGGAAAATAGTCGGGCCCTCCTCGAGCTCATCATGATGAGCCAACAGTTCTCACTGTCTAGAGCATTCGATACTTCCCCAGTCGCATCCTTACACACACGAGCTGTCCTAACTTCGATCGAGTTCAAGATGCAGTCAAAAAAGAGTTGCTCTCTGAGTTTTATGTAATGAAATTTAAGCATGTTGGTACTGGGCGTAAATACCTGCCTTACTGTGCTCTCGCGTGAAGATGCGGGCAAGATCACAGGGAAGGATACGCAATGCAGTCTATGTTTGAAATTTGACTAGTAGTAGCATACATTCACCATTTGTTAGGATTGTTATGACAACATCAGAAATACTCGACAGCCGAGGCTTGACACTACTTGGCTTATTGTACTCAAGCCAAGTGCCGAACCAGCCTCAAATAATGACACCCAAGGGAGTACTCTCATCCTGTCTTCTCCAACGTAGTGATAAGGCCAGTCCACCTAGAGGTGTCATCAGTCGACTAGGAATATTGTTTTGCCATTAGATAGGAGATTGTAGGTGAAATACTTTGGCGACAATTGAATTTCGAAATCTTGAGCCTCTGCCGCAGTCCTTCAACGTTCTAACGGCACTGGATGGCGTGGTACAGGAGTTGAACATGCTAGTTTCGACAACATCTGGAATCGAGCTCAAGAGCAATAACTGATATAGTACTGCTTGGAAGAAGAAAATAATATATATGACAAGGCGCATGCGAGATGTGCTACTTAGTGCCGACGTTGAAAGTCGATACTCTAATGTGATCCCCCCTCCCGCCTTTAAATGGGCGGATTCCGCATCAAAATAATTAATCAGTCTCAACAACAACATGGGCATGGGCATGGAATGATGAAACACATTCCTCCCTGGTACTTGACCTTCAGCTCATCCTTATTGCAACTTGAAACAACTTACGGGCAAGGAATGCAACCCCCTCTCAAACGCAACGGCGAGTGTGTTCGTTCCTCTTTCTGAGGGGGTCTGTTCTGCAGGGGAGGAATGCAACAACATGGCCGATGAAGAAGGTTGAGAGGAGACAATTTCTCTTGGAACAGCACGAGCTGCAGGCGGGTATGTAACAGAGTCTGTACGAGGTCCTGAGCTGGAATCCATTTGTTTTGGTAAAGTGAAGGTCAAGAGTATAAAAGAGCACTTAAGTACTCGAGTCCATACATTCGATATTTATTTCCACAAACCAATGACGTCGACGTCGTATATCCTAATTATAACTTCAGGTAAGTACATTACGTTGCAAATCGGTTGGTGTTAAGGAATTATTATGTAATTATTAGTCAAGAAAGGAAATTTTGCTTGCGTGCCTGCAAGCTTCCTAATTGCAACCCGATACCAACTATACCAAACGTAGGTTCCGTAGCCAAGATGGTAGCAAACTGCGGGCCTTATCACCAGACCATCATCACCTCTCCTACTTGAAATCAAAGTAGTACGCAATGTCAACCGAAGATCGAATCATTTTCCGTCAGGGTGAGTACATTCGTGCTAGATCGAATGACGCTGTACTGACTGTATCCAGGGATCAGCAGCGGCTTCGCTGGACTCGAGGTCGCCAGTTTTGAACACAATTTTTCTAGATTTGTGTCAAACCCACAGGATCTTTCTATTTCTTCTCAAACACGCCAACAATATGAACCACTGCTATCTGCTGCTGCTGCACCCCTAATTATCTCCAACGGTGCTGCCGAGATCGACCGGGTCTTCAACATACTCCAGAAGATCCGGAACCCGGTCAGGCAAGATCCTGCTGTAGAGCAAGGTGCTCCGCCACTCAACTACTACAAGACATCTTATGGGATAACCTTTATACGTGGCGGAGAACTAGTGTGGTCAAACTACCTGCCTGAAAGGGGGGTGCGTCCACCAATCTCCGTGGATGAAGACACAGCAAGTGCTGAGGAGGAGAGTCAGTTTGGGGATGTTGTGAACATTCTCCAGAGCTTGGTGCAAAGGTCGCAGGCAGCTTGAATCGCGACAATTAGATATCTCACCATAAGATTGACAGAAAGTCGTCAGGATGCAACCAGGAGGTAGATTAGATGGGAGTCTAATGCGGAGATAACAAATTCCATGACTTGTACGACGGGCATATGATAAGAGGGTTGCACGCGGACTTGCAAGAATGATAATATAACGACATCTACCAGGCCCCTCAACCAAAATTTAACAATTCTGCTGCTGAATGGGCATGCCATCATGATCGTCACCCTCTAGCTCATCGGAAGGCTTTCGCGTCTCGCCCTGTTCTGGTACTTTCATTTCCTCGTCGTGATCGATCCTCTGAGCATTAGGATCAGGGATCTTAGAAAGGAACAAGGATAGGATGACCGCCAAGCCAGCCCAAGGAATGAGGGAGATGAAGCTCCAACGGACACCATTCCTGAAAGCATCGCGAATGATCTGCTGAACGACAGGCGGCAGACCTTCGAGCGACTGGATGGAGTCGAGGCCACCACTGTTGTAGAGTGCTTCAAGGACATTGAGGTCAGAACCTGAGATAACACCGCTTCGTATCTGTCCTATGATGTAGGAATTGACTTTAGCGTTCATGACAGTGAAACACTGTGCTAGACCGACGGTTCCACCGAGGGCACGGAACTACGAGGCGTCATTTGCGAACCATACGGCATGTCGACACTACTCACGAAAAGCAACAGAGCATTAGTTGCGGCGACATGGTCTGGCATCAAAAATCGGGCTTGAACGACATTAGGACCAGCTGTAAGACCAACCCCGAAACCCGTCATACACATGAAACTAAGTTCAGATGTAAGCAATCCGCTTCTGACCAATACATAAATGTCGCACCCATTAACAAGCCCTTGCACATTCTTCTGCATGCCCATCTGGATGAGACCTAAACCACATGGTCATCACGATTAATCCAGCAATGATTGGATAGATCGGCTGGAAGGATCGTTAGATATGTATGCTTTACAACGCAAAACTGTAGTTGTCTACCTGTCTGAAGCACTTGATCAGCTGAATGGAAACCAAGCTGCCTCCTCCCTATCATAACAATGAGACATTGGTGATCCGATGCAGTGCGAAAACATACTAAGCCAGGAGCAAAATAAAGAAGTTGTATACCGGCTTGATCAGGTGGCAAGCCAGAGACGACCGTCATAAATATTGCGACGAAGTAGAACATCACGAACATGACGATGCCGGACACAAAGCAACCATACTGCAAGACACAAATGTCGTAGGACCGGAAGAGCTCGAGAGGCAGCATGAGCTGCGCACGATAAAGCGCCGAGATTGCCACGGTAGAAGCTTGGTGCTTCCGCTCCAAGACCACCTCCCAAAGAATGCAAGCCGCAAAGACGATGACACCAATAACCAGGCAGACTATGACGCGAACAGTCTTCCAGTCGTCATTGGGACCCCAGTTCAGCGCTAGCAGAATGAGGATGCCTCCTATAACGAAGAGGAACGTTCCGATCCAGTCGATGAGTGCTAGCTTAATTATCCATATCGTAGATTTGGTGGAGCCTGGAAGTTCCTCAGATAACCTGGCACCTTTGACACGTTTTCGAAGCAAAAAGAAACACAAAATCATGGCAAGGGCAGCACACGGAATGCTATATTTCCGTTAACATCGTTCGTTAAGTGTACGGAAAATCCATACTTGATCGCGAACACCCAGCGGAAGCTGGCCGTGACTAGGAAACCACCGATGACAGGGCCAATACAGAAACCGAGAGAATACAAGAAGAACATGGCAGATTGCTGGATATTATTCGTATCCAGTGAGGACGAATCTGACAATATGGTCCGCACAATCTTACCAATAATTAGAATGTTGTTCTCCACAAAAGAGTATACATACTGTCAACAAACCAGCGGCCCCAATACCAGCTATTCCTCTGCCGATCAAAAGCATTGTCATGTTGACAGCTCCCGTACTGAAGGCACTACCGACAAGGAAAAATAGAAGAGGACAATTGAAGTCCAAAGTGACGGCCATAGATGTCAGGCAATGGATGCAAAAAAAGGCAAGAAAACTGTTGATGCTAGCAAGTATGACGTGCCAATATAGCTAATAGCGGAAAATCAGTAAAATCTCCATGTCGCGATTCAAAATGTATGAGTACCTTTCCAAGTTTAAGGCGTTAAATACGGACTGAAAGTAATGTCAAGGGCCGGCAGATTGAAGGCAACATAACACTTACTGCAATTCGAGGTTGCGCAGTTGCGACGACTGGATGTTCCAATAAGGTGAGACGAGAGGCAGAAAAAACGAAAATGACTTGCTCGTATAGTCTAAAGTTTCAAGTGTCACTGGGATGACCAAAGCGCACATCAACCACCAATCAAATTTCTTCCAGAAACCGCCCTCCTTAACCTTAGACTTGGATGGCTGATCATTGGAAGGTTGCAAAGTAGCTGCAGCAGAAACGAGTTGAAGGACCAAAATAATGCAGAATAGAAGACAGGAAGACAGACTTTGTCGCTCAGCATTCTTGCCCTTCAAGCGGCGGAGGGTGGGCTTTACAAAAGTCATACCTATAGTTGAGGCCTATGAACAAGGTCGCCCCCATATGCAACCAGTCCCCTATATAAGCAGGAAGCAAAGACATTTGCACAGTTTTTCCATGATAAGGTTCAGCACATGGGAGCGCAGCAACTGCCAGGCAGGCCATCGAAACGTAAACGTCAGACTGCAGTGACTTTTACAGGATGATCATCAATTGCACAGCCACCTCAAGCTACAATGGCAATTGACCTGTAGTAGTACTCACTTGTCCGCCAAGTATCCACTTCCAAGTCATATGTCAGGGCAGTGCGTGACCATTGACGGCTGTCTTTTCTCCGAGAGTGTCGGCTGCTGACAACATTAATCTTTAATGGAATATACAGGATAGATTTTGGCCGTGACGCCATGTGAGTCGAAGCACTTGTGGGAAGTTACAACTACTATTACCGTGACGTTGCTTGTTTTGACTGGTCACTGCGCAGTTCATGCATGCATGCCAATCAGTCACACATGCTGCTGCGGCAGGCAAGCGAGCAAGCCAAGATCTCCGTGGTGACAAGTACCGGTAAACCACTTCGAAAGGTATAGATTTGTGGTCAACTTCTTTATACACCACCTCCGTAGCAAGAACGCTCCCGGTTCACGTTGGAAGTATCATACCATGCCGCCAGGAATACAGCTTGCAGGTCGCTCAGGCTTGCGTACCACAGTTCGTGGGCTCGTCGCTGCAGTCAACAGATTTAACAAATCTTTTTCTCCTGCGGAGACACAAGTACCAGTACTCTCCAAGCTCCGGAACCCTCAAAGACTCTATATACATTCTGCATATACGCTCCGCCCCCTAGGTTTTGGCTTACCCTCATGCAAGTCCCTGTATTTCCTTACAAATTGCTGATACCTATCCTCTATGCGACCGCCTTGCTAATCCCATTCATTGATACACGTTCTACTCCAACTAGTTCCTGCCACCAGACGATTGACTAGTAGTCTACGTCGCCCTTTTGCCTACGCTCGAATCTGTACTCTATGGCGCGAACATCAGTGGGGTCCTCACTTCACTCCCTTACGGAGTGATCCATTACATTTTCCCCCTAATTCTAGTTTCACTCATCTGGCTCTTCCGCCCGCTCGCTTTTACGCCTTTTTACAAAGGCATTCGGCTACCAATTTGCATCGCCTATGGATAACTACACCCTTTGCACAAATGCCATCCAATACATTACGTCAAGGCCGTTGTAGGAATAGTCTGACGTCTTGACATTTCACACAGAGCCTGCGGTGTTGTTGGACTGGCACTCGCCTTCGGACACGACACATCAAGAACTTGTGATTTGCATTCCAAGTCTATACCATTGAGGGAGAGGTTTGGTAGACAGCAAACCCATCTCAGGGCACATTTATGACAACTACGTCCCTATCACATCCGCCAACTGTGTTGTCGGAATTGCCGCAGTGTAGGCTTTCCTTTGCAGCCTTGTTTGCGTCTTCTGTTCGTAGGCATATGCAAAACTGACAAGGGTATACTCGCTCCATGCTGTTCCAAGGAACGAAAGCCCAATAGGGACGCCTGGGGCCGGATATACAGTCTCGGGCCCGGCGCTGCCAATTGTAACATTCTCTGGATAGAAACCCAAAGGTACTGAGTGCCGAGAGCATTAACCAATCAGATAGTAAGATATCGAGGAGATCACTTACCCGTGACAATCGGATATCCCGCGATGGCTGCGAGAGTACTGCGTCTGAGTCCACATACAACAAAAATATTTTCAGTACAAACCTGCAGGAACAGTCGTGTAGCCTGGTGCTGGGAGCACCAGAGCGTCGAGAGCATACGTCTTGAGGGTAGCATCAATACCATAAGTGGCGCCGAGTTCCTTATCAAACGCGAGAGATTGGTAATAAGATGCGTTAAAACCAGTAGTCGCTTGTGATTCGATCAAACTACAGTGATTTTAGTAAGTATGGCGGTACTCTTGAAGGGTACTCACACAGATTGATCTGTGTATCCCGCAGGCTCTTCGAGCGTTGGGTTGTCATTGTCGAATATGATTAGGTCCTCAAGTGAAGCCACCCCTGATGGGTTTGTGACGAGACTGTCAAACCAGGCATTAAGTTGTACCTGCCAAATCAAATTGTCAGCACCAATTTTTTTGAATGTTTCAAATGTGTTCAAATACCTTGAAGTCAACATCCAGTACAACGGTCTCATTATTAGACTCGTAGATTTCATACGCCGAAGGCAAATCAGCAGGGTCTACGATTGTCGCGCCCAGAATCTGTAGCGTCTCCAGCGCCTGCTCGAATACTTCATTCACATATGGATCATTGCCGGTCATGCTGTCGTTCAAGAAGACTGCGCGAGGCACTCCAATACGCTTGCCAACAAGCGATGTGTTACTGAGTGCCATGATGTAGTCAGGGATGGGCATTGGCTGTGCCAGTGTAAAGTTGTCGTTAGGGTCTGGGCCAGCGATGATGGAAAGGACGATGGCAGCATCTGTAACGGAGCGAGTGAGCGGACCGACTGTGTCTTGGTGCTCGGAGATCGGTATGACTGGAAATATGTTGGTGAACCTGGAAAGAGACGAGGCAAGACAAGACCTACCCCCAGCACGGGATGTTAATCCTACAGTGGGCTTGATGCCTACTACATTATTTTGATTTGCCGGACATGTGATACTTCCGTCTGTCTCTGTACTGCCCCTCATATCAATTAAAGTGCAAGTGTAAGAGAGTGAACTGGAGCGAACCCAAGCGTGACAGCAGCCAGGCCGATAGATGCAGAGACGGCAGAACCAGCCGACGAACCACACGGGTCGGCGTTTGGGTAATACGCATTCGTGCATTGCCCTCCACGTCCTGACCATCCAGAGGCAATGTTTCCACGGAAGTGTGCCCACTCGGACAGGTTTGCCTTACCTGCAGTAGTATACTGTGTTGGATTTTGATATTATACTGCGCCTTCAGGAACGTACCGAGAATAATGGCTCCTGCCCTGCGTAATCGCTTCACTACACCTGCATCACTCAGAACCACGGATTTCAACAAGCTATATGACCCCGCAGTCGTGTTCATTCCTTGGTGTGTCGCTATAACAATCAGCTTTCCGCTCCATATCATTAAAACACACCTTCAAATGCTACGGTCGCAATATTATCCTTGACAAGCACCGGGATCCCATGGAGCGCACTCCGTGGCCCGTAGGTGAGCCGCTCATAATCCAGCGCCGCAGCTTCCTGCAACGCAGATGGATTGGTTTCAATCACAGCGCGAAGCATCGGCCCTTGGAGATTGACTTCTTCGATGCGGGCAAGATACGCCTGTCAAATCAAATTGCAGAACCATATCCATAATTCCATTAGTATTACTGCAGGCGATTTATGATATGCAAGATGCTAGCATGCTTACGGACCTTGATCAGGTCAACACTCGTGAACTGCCCCGAGGTAAGGCCCGCTTGAAGCTCAATCACAGATGCCTCGTAGAGATCGGGTAGAGGCGTTGTGATTGCCGCGGAAACTACCCATTGGGAGACGTATAAGGACTGGCTAAGCGCTAGCCATGCCCAGAAGAGGGTAAGTAGGTTTGGGCCCATTTTTGCGTGTAGAAGGGGGTGTCACCTAGCGATAAATGGGCGATAAGATGAGCTTGGCTCAAGTACCCCCAAGTGGAGCATTTCCCAGAGGTCACTTGAGCGATAACGGAGACAAGGAAGACATTGGGCAAGGTTGACTTCTCCCACGACTGAGCAGAGCTACATGTGGATCTTGTTAGACGTTCAAATTTAGCAAAGATAGCAACTGTTGATCATGCACACCAGGGGAAGGATATCTCGACATCTCATTCTTTGGCTTGGTGCCAATGAAAGGCTCCTTTGCTTAGGTCGATGTCGAGCTTTTGCATCGCCAGTAGGTCAGCATCTGCACACTGTCCGTCACAAGAGAAGTTAATAAGCTGTTCGACATTGATTATTGAGAGCGGGGAACTCGATAGCATGTTGTAAGAGATGGAGAGATGAATTCCAAAAAGAAAACAAGGCACAGCACAGCAGTGAGCTTCGAGTTTCCGCCCTGGCACGCAGGTGGACGCGCCGTTCCATGGTCAACATAAGGTTATATGTTGTGATCAAAATATAAGGATATAGTGCACATGGCTGAACGTTCAAAAGCTCCCGCACAGTGGGTACAGAAACATGCCTTTTAGTTTCCGAGCCCGCTCGATCGCTGCGCTAAAAAACCCTCACACAAGATGAGATCGAGACTACTATATAGTCTCTCGTATCATAGTCAGACCATATACAGAAGGAAGACATTCATTCCTTCTACGTACTATCCTTATTATGGGGGTACACGCAGCTGCCTTGCAGATCAACGGCGGTTCCACGAGCTACGCAGGTAGGACCCTGGCATTGAATGGCAGAAGCGAGTAATTAATTAGACTGTCTATTAATATAGCATCCAATTCTCCCATTCAGTGACCCGTGGGCCGCGGACCGCAGCAGCATTCCAGGCTGCGGATTGGGCATGCTCATGACAGCGGCACATATACCCGAGTACGGCTGTGTACTCAGTGCCTTCGGCGAGACATACGTCAGCCCGTCGGGCGCATCGCATGGATACGATAGACCTTTGATTAACTCTGAATTGTGGGCGGAATCGCTACACATATTATAAGCAGGTTTGACCTTTGTGAGGAGCAACTTCATCTACCCTTAGTATGGCCACCCATATTCTTTGGAAACTTGGTCTTTCAGCAAGCTCTGTACTCGTTGCGTTCGGATGTTGGAAGCTAGGAGAGCGAGTCTGGCACAATCTTAGGTCGCCCCTGCGCGCACTACCAGGCCCAAAGGGAACGAGCTGGTTATACGGGAACTTGAAGGACATTTTCATAGCAGTATAGTAGCCCATCAAACTCACAATGGCGCTGACCTTATTGAAAACTCACAGGAGAATTCAGTGCTTCACGAGCAATGGGTGCGGCAGTATGGGACAACCCTGAAATACAAAGGGTTCTTCTTTGTATGTTCAATTCCTCCTGCGCTACAAAACTTACCATGTCTGAAATTCTTTTCTCAGTCAGACCGATTGTTCACGATGGACACTCGTGCACTGAACCATGTTCTCACCCATAGTAGTGATTACCAGAAACCGGCACAAGTCCGGTATAATCTGGCTAGAATTTTGGGCGAAGGTGCGTGCCAGTGTCTACTATTATCCCAAAGTGTCTGACATCGTCGAAGGTGTCCTATTTGTTGAAGGTGCGATCCTGGCTGCATGATATTTCCACTTCTACTCATGGCGGTCTCAAGGGGCTCAACATCGTCAGCAGGTATGTTTTGTCACATATCTCAACGTCACAATGCTGACGCCATATCTCAGAGAAGGATCATGGTACGATTCGCCTTTTTTTGCTTTGGATCAATTGACCATGTCTTCCGAAGAACCCTGCCTTTGGACCCGCTCAGATCCGCTCACTAACGGACATCTTCATCAGCAAATCGATCAAGGTAAGCTTGGTTTGTTTCTCACTAGATATTGATGTCGACGTCGTTGTCTTCCAGCTTCGAGACGTCTGGTCTACTATGACCGTTGCCAGTGAACACGCGGCTCGGATAGATATCATGCCGTGGCTGAGCAAAATGACATTGGATGTCATCGGGCTTGCAGGTATGTCCTTTCCAAAGGAGCTTCCTAGCAACACTGAATGAGCGTCGTAGGTTTCAACTATGAGTTTGATGCCTTGAATGCGACCAATAAACCGAATGAACTTAACCAGGCCTTCTCGGTTATGTTTTCTGCCGGTCAGCAGCTTAGCATCATCCCCATACTTAAGGCATGGATTCCATTGCTCCGATGGATCGTGAGTTCACCATTGCGACCTGACATAAATTGCCGCTAACCTCCTCCAGCCCTCTGATCGCGATCGCAAGATAGATGCAGCCCAAAAAACGATGGGTCGCATCGGCAGCCAGCTCCTGCATGATGCTAAAGCCGCTGTCGTATCTTCTCACAACGCTGAAAAAGGTGGTTCCATTGAGAAGAGCAGTCTTCAAGGGCGCGATTTACTCAGTTTACTTGTTCGTGCCAATATGGCAACCGATATCCCGGAAAACCAGAGGATATCGGACGAGGATGTACTTGCACGTATGTTGTCAATTGGAATTGCGCGCGCAGAGCACTTATGGTATACTTAGAGGTTCCGACTTTTTTGGTTGCAGGACATGAGACCACAAGGTGCGGATGTCACTTGTTGTAGAGGATAATCCACACTCACGCAGTCGGGACAGCACGGCAACAACTTGGGCACTCTATGCACTCTGCTTATGCCCGGACATTCAAGCCAAGCTCCGGGAGGAGCTCCTGACAGTGGAGACCGAGACTCCATCCATGGATGAACTGGTGGCGCTCCCGTATCTTGACGCGGTCGTGCGCGAGACACTTCGTCTGCATGCCCCCGTCCCTAGCACAGTTCGCATCGCGATGAAAGACGACATCCTCCCGGTCGACACGCCTTTTACAGACAAGTATGGAGTGGTTCATAATGAGATCAAGTACGTTGCAAGCGTCCCTTCCAATGATCATCAAAATCTCATCATGGATGCATCAGGGTTAGCAAGGGCGACCCGATTTTCATCCCCATCTTGGCAATCAACAGATCGGAAGCGATTTGGGGAAGTGATGCAAAAGAATTCAATCCTGACCGCTGGGCATCACTTCCAGAGGTAGCTTCGCAAGTTCCTGGGGTTTGGGGACACCTCATGACGTTCCTCGGTGGTCCGCGCGCGTGTATTGGGTATCGCTTTTCATTAGTGGAGTATGTTTGCTACAACCTTTCATTTTATTTTCAACAATAACGTCCTTTTACAGGATGAAAGCTCTCCTCTTTACCCTGGTTCGAGCTTTCGAGTTTGAGCTTGCTGTTCCTGCTTCGGATATCGGAAAGAGGTCGACGATCGTGCAGAGGCCGTTCTTACGCAGTGACCCTGAGAACAAAAGCCAGCTTCCATTGCTGGTCAAGCCGTATCGCAAGACCTCAGGACTTTTATAATCATATCCTTTCAATCTATAATAAGTGCCTTGGAAATGACGGAACAGAACTGTAATGTTTCCTGATAGAGGAATAATTGCCAATGTGCAGCAGCTATTTTCTGTGTAGATGGACTACTCAAAATTATAGATCCACGACGGCTATTCGAATTTGATTCCAGTAAGCGAAGTGATTGTTGTCCAGCCATATATCAGTTTCACGACCTGCGAGATTACTGAGATAAGAGTTGAGTGAATTTCTCGATGTGAGCTTCGCAGAGCGCCGAGAAGTAAAACTCGTGCTCAGAGTTATGGGGTTGCACGAGGTTGTGAGCGATCTCGTGGGCTAGCGTGAAGTACCTGGGGCAGAACATTAGTTCGATAACTTCAGGCCATGATGATGCCTAACCAGGAAATGTAAGCCTGATTGATATCCCCATTCTTTACGTCTTGATCATCTACAATTGATAGTATTAGGAAAGCATGGAGCTCCAAATATGCACACGCACGCCATGCCTCGAAGAAGCGATAATTAAGAAAGAGACTGCCGTTCCGATTAAAAGCGATCAAGCCGCCCGCCAGGTCGTAAAAGATGTGAACTGCAGTCATCGGAAGACTATAGACGCTTGCGAGGGGCGTGACAATGTGAATAAAACGCGCAAGAGAATCACGTTTCCTTGCAATGAAGGTATGGGGTTCGGGAACATCTATACAACAACTGTGAATGCTGCATCGTGGAGGATAGTGGTATACTCACCCCGAGCGATGAAGATTTTCATTGTACCCATAACACCTGCACATCAATTAGCGTCATTAAGTTCAGGACCTAATCCAGTACTTACCGTTGTGATCAAGCTCAGCGACATGGCCGGAGACGTCACAATACCCCTCATTTAGAGATTCCTTGATCATTTGCATCTCGCGTCTGTTGTGTACTAGCTTCCCTTCCTCTGGTCTGCAACCTTTGATCGCCATCGCAACATTGGATCCTAGCAATATGTCAAGCAAGTGTCTTGACAAGTATGAAGTGAATTTCTCCAAGCTTACGAATGTTGCTCTGCGGAGTCACAGTTGGAGGTGTCCTAGGAGACTTCTAGTTCAAAAATATCGTCCCGCCTCAACAAATGACTCTCTTACCTCAGATTTGGAGATCGCCCCCGCGATGGAGTAAGAGCGTCTTCCGATGGACTGTTGAAGCCAGGTATCTTGCGCCTGATGTTCTGCAATGTGTTGTTCACAACATTTGGAATCATGGGATGTCGTCCGACGTCTTCATTGTCGACTGTATGTTGAGTGGGCGCATCGGGAGTAGACGACTTTGGTGGTGGCACTGCCGGAGCTGTAATAAGGGGTGGAGCCGGAACGGGTGGCAAAAAGGGTTTCGATGCTATTGCCTTGGGAGGTAATGTATCCCAACCCCCTGGGACTCTAGCGCGATGTGAGGGAGACAATGAACGGGTTTCAGGCTCCAAGCTCTGACTCATGCGTGGGTCAGGCACTGGCATCGATGTAAAGCTTCCTCTGGCTGCCTCCATCAACTTTCGATCGTTCTGTTGTTGTCTCAAAATCTTATCCACTGAAACAGCATTTCAGGGTTTCAGTAAACCGAGGGAACCAGGAGACGCACCGTTATAACCTCTCCGTTTCAGAGCCTTCAAGTCGGTCGAAAGGATAGTCATGAACAAGAGCGCATCATTCACTTTTACCGTCTCGAACAGCAGGCGACACAACGATGTCGCTACTCTACACGAGCCACGTTAACCTGCAGCTGATTCAACATGACTTAAAACACTTACTCATACATGTCCACTTGCGTGCTTCCTGAAAGCCATAGCTCAATAGGCCCATGACCCGAACGTTTAGCAGCCGCTGAGGCATCCTGCTCCATTTTCAAAGTATTATCTCCAAAGGAAAGCGATTTCACAACGGTCAATTTGCCGAAAACTCTGACTTTGAAATTTTCCTGGTTAGAAAGCCAGCTGAGAGAAACCTTAGTGCGCGCATGTGTATGTTCATGGAGGAACAACGGCAGCCTCTCTAACAGGAGTGCACGTGTGTCAGCTGCAGATTTGTTATGTTTTATCTCCGAGTTGACCCTGTAGTCTTCCTTCACGATAGCACTGAGGCGTTTGGAACCTAGAGTTGCATAGAAGTCTATGGGAGAGTTAGATCAACCTTAGTAGAGAGTCAAAGACACACTTTCGACGAGATCCTCTTGCGGTGCAGTATAGATAGACTCTCCAAATATCTGGTAAGCATTAGTATCGTCCGCGATTACAACATCCAGGGGCTTCCGAAGATCGTAAAGCAGCTCCCAGTCGTCCTCGTCGAGGTCTAGGGCTTTGTTTGATTCCTTCCGAGACTTTCTTTGCCGTCGAAAACCGAGCAGAATGGGAGAAATTTTCATTCGGGCGAGCGCGCCTGTAGATAGCAGACGGGTGTTGACAGCCAAGTTACGCAATTCAACGAGGTAACTGAGGAGAAAGTGAGTGTACATGGTAGCGGAAAGTTGGACCACATACTTTTCATAACCACCCGCCAAGTCGTAGAATCTCCGAGGATCGGTGACCAAAATATTGGCTACCTCTTCTACAGAAGGTTCTTGCTTGGAGCCACATGCACTCAAAAAGCTATTGGCGGAAGGGCCAAAATCCACAAAGACGAACAACTTTGAGTGAAACTGCCCCTTTGAAACCCCTCCAAGATAACATTGACTAGGAGAAAGCCAACGCAGCGCCTGCGAGCCAGGCTCCACCTGCGTAGGAACGATCGGCAGCGCCGAAATTATTGACAATTGGGACGAACTGAAGTCTGTATAACCGTCAGTAAAACCCCCATGTGTGCTAAGCGAAGCAAACCTGCAACATGGCCTGCTAGAATCTCAAACCATCGACGAGCGACGTTCTGATCTTGAGGAGGTGTTTTCTCAAGCAATGCCACAATCCTGGTAGCCGGTGGGTGTTCCTTCAAGCCTAGTTTGCTTACTGCAATATCACGAACGGTATCCTCAATCACTGAAAACCCAAGGACCTTCCACTGATGTGATGTGAATACCTATCAAGCGCGTCACATTAATTTATATTCATGATAAATACGTTCCCGCTGACCTCGTTCGGAGTTCCCATATAAGGCCCAAAGTCATTCACTGCCGGTATGAAGGCAATATGGCTAAAATTTTCACGTTTGTATTCCGGATATTTGGAAGGGATGCTGTCTATAAGGTATTTGAATGCTGCAGAACGTATGTCTGGCTCCGATGAAGCGCAGAGTTTGACGGTCAAGTCTAAAGGAGGATTTTTTCGCAGGCCGAGTCGATGGAGAAGCTTTGCTGGTAGGAAAACATGGTCTTCAATGAGGGATCAACATACGAGAGAAGAGACGGACCTTCTTCGGAGCTGCTCCGCCATTTGGTCTTCTCACCCCAATCGATAATCGGCAAACCAAGCTGACGATTTGTGACAGATGGTTCGTAAAGATCACTTGCCCTATATCGTGACTTCTTTCCTGGAAGAGCGTTCTCGCCTTCCTTTGAGAAAGCAGATGTCATCTGGAGTTTCGTAATCTCATCCGCAGTTAACGTGCTTTGGATAGTGACTAGATGTGTAATCAGATCTGAGATTGTCCAGTCCCCAGTTTTGACCATTCTGCCAGAACATGAATAGCTTTCTATGATATTACATACAGTGGCTTACCGATCAAAAACAACCTGAAGGTCTACATGCTTCCGGACGCCAACAAAGGAGAGCAGCTTCTCCACGTTGCCCTTGAGAGCACCGCCAGACGTAAAAGTCACGACAGGCAGATCGTTAAATATATTGGCGCTGGGAAAGTACGCCAACTGTGGCTTTTGTAGACCTGAAGATGTCGGAATGCACGATTTTTGGGTGAGTATAACCTTGATCTTTTCATGCGACTCCTTGGACAATGATGGCCATGTGCGAGCTAAAACGATCAAAACTCGCTCAGCCCATTCCGAAGACCTGGTTACATCTTGTTCCGGATTAGCATTCATGACGTCCGGTCTAAAGATGTGCTGTATCCAGTCGAGAATCGAAAATTCCCGCCACCCAAAAGATCTCAGCTGCTCCTGCGTAAAGTGTTTCGTGACGCTCAGAGGCATGAGAGTATCGGGCAAGGGCCCATCCAGTAGAATCATACGCTGATGAATGAAGTACTGCACCATCGAAAGGGGAATCGGCCTGGCATCATTCCCTGAGCCTAGACTAAGGATAGTGGCATTAAGAAGTTCGGTGCGAGCACGCGTAGTATCTTGCGTCGGATCTTGCTGTCCGACGCCAACCCACCACTTGAGACAATCGATGAGCTCTTCTTCGTTGAGTGGATGCTGACGAAGTTGAGCCAGAACATCCGAGAATGTAATATCTGTGATCAGTTCTTTGCTTTGTAGAGTTCTAATGGCAAGAGGAGCAGAAGATAGAACAGGGGCAGGAAGGACAGGCAGGTGTTTGAGGAACGACGAAAACATGGGATCAGGAGCGCGTACATCAGAGGCATCACGCACACCCGTTGTCGAAAGGACTTTGAGGGGCAAAGTGGAGCAACTGAAGAAAGCAGCCTCGAGGAAACGTGCGACATCGGAAGAAGGCGTTGAGACATGAAAAGTGAAAAATTTAAGGACATGCAAGAACCGATCGCGCAGCCAGTCGCCGAGTTGTGGGTCCGGATGAAAACCGTTCGTATTAGATGAACTTGTAGCTTCATTCCAGAGCACCCGAATATTTTCGAGCTCCATCTCGTATGCTGCTCGACACAGATAGCCGCCAACATACAACAGCTCTCTGTTCCATACTATATCACTATCAGTTATTGACTCAGTGGCGAACACGTAGATCCCACCTGCGACGTTACGGTCGCTGTAAATATGGTCAGATGGATGCATGGAGCAATGCAAATAGACTTACACTAAATCTATCGACTCGCGTTCGACCGTTGGGATAAATCTAGATGCCATATGACCGCCGATACCTGTTGTCTGTCCAGTTGCATGCCCCTACATTCCTTAGTCAACCTGAATCGTTTCCTTGAGATCGCTCTTACGATAAACACGTGTGCTTGGCCAGCACTGTACACATGAGTTACAGCCATGGACGCGTCCACATAAACAAGGCACTGACCCATTTAAATCAGCTCTGAGACCCTGGAAAACACTTCCACAAGATACGGGCTGGCTCTTCTCCTCTTCTATACTTACATTGTACTCGTCTTTTCCTGTCTGCAAAGGAATCAGTCGCAAGCCAAAATCAAGGTTGCGGATCAAAACCTACATAAATCAGGCTGTAATTCAAGTGATTGGGTGGGTTTTTCTTTGTAGATCGATGTAGTTCGCTCTGAAGTTTCTTATCCAGCTTCACGTCTACGTCTGCATTGAACATTGTGAGTGTGACACTTGAGGTGTATACTCCCGTGGGGTCTTTGTTAACTTGGGGTTGCGGCAGAGGCTTTGCGAGTACAGGCTGGTGATGTGACGTAAAAGTACTGAGAAGAGACGAGAAAAAACCGCCTTGAGAGACTTTGCGGGGTTCTCCGACTGGGAGGACGAGAGGCTTCTCAGTGCCAAGATCGTATACAGCATGCATGACTTGTGCCTGGATACGAGTAGCTAGAATAGTGCATCAGCCAAACAGACGACCAGTAACAAGGGGAAGTGCTCGCCAGCAGACTGCACGCTCTTCACACTCATCAAACCTAAACCGCTAGACTTTTTCAGCCCTTTGAGTAATCCAAGTTCCCTTGGAACACCCGGAGACTTGGTGAGATGGGCGAGGCGATGAGAGTCAAGAAAGACGCTGACTGAGCGAAGGTGGACCATGAATGTGATGCTGCTTGCAAGAAATCGCGTTAGATCGAAAGGCTGTGGAACAGGTCCCTGTTCACGGAGCGTCATCTCAAAAGAGGTCCACGGATTAGACTGGAGAACGTCTTTAGATGGCAGATCACCGCGCCGTACAAGGAGCTTCAAGAGGTCAGCTAATATTAAGTATCAATCGACGTACATACTTGGTCTCCAGTTTTATCCTTCCAGTAGAATTGCATTCCGTGACCTTGATCCTGTCAGAAAGATATATAAAAGATACCCGGAGGCATTCTTACCTCCTGAAATAACAAATGGTTCCTCAGTCACAGAGAACAGACTATAAAAGCCTGCAAGGATAATAGGAAATGAATTAAATCAATGGTATAGAGGAACATACCGACACCGAAGGCGCCAATCTTCTCTTCGTCTGGATTTCCCTCAGCTGTCCAAAATGAGTATAGAATTTATATCAACCAAGCTTCAGGTGCGCTACATACCAATTTTCCTAAGCCGATTCCAGTCCTCGTCGCGAAACACAATTCCGTTATTGCGAAAGGTCCACTGGGACACCTACAACGATCGATTAACAAACACGGAAGTTGCAGCAATATTGATATGGTACGGACCGGAGTTGTTTTGAGGTCTGGGAAACCCACACCGTCCTCTGGTTGCATCGCATCCTTACTGTTCTTTCGTCGCAGATACTCCTCTGTCTCAAAATGTATCTCAACCGCGGAAGACTGTGCGTCATCTGAGTTCTGAAGAAGTTCACGGAATACTGCAGGCTCGTCAGGGCTGCGGGATCAAACAAGAAACCAGCAGGTATAGTGCACCTGTGAATTCGCCCGAATATCGTGCCAACACCTTGTCGATCAATGCACGCTGATTAACTTCTACTGTCTCATCATAACCACTCGCCCACTGCCTTTGTTGCATATCAGCATCTCACGAGGAATCAAGCAGGCTTACGAGGGCGTCTCGATCACGAGCCATAGATTGGTTTCAACGCCACGCGCCTCCCCCGTGTAACGTGTTGCCGGCGGGTACTTGAATCAAGGCTGAATGGAATTGGGCTGGCGTCTTGCTTTTAAAGGTGTTCGATGACACTGGTAAGGTTCTGGAAGGGGGCTGGTGAGTCTAATCAAGCAAACAGAGAAGTTATGTACAGCCTTTGAGTGCTAAGTAGTATGGTACTTTACTACCAACTTACTAAGTATTGAAATTAGTAATATTTAGGGCTCGCTTCGTTCCACCATTGCAAACAAACATGGCATGACATTGACATTGCACGGGAGTCACTTCAAACTATGAGGGCAGCCACGTCTGGCCAAACATCCATAGTAAAATACTCAAGTAGAAGGAACAACGATCCTTATCAGCCTATAGTTACAATGGTCTGTCCAACAGCGCTCAAGCTTCTAGCGTGAACGTTCAACGCGGCCTGGGAGACTCGCAGATTGCCATGGCATACCGCGTGTTCACTCTGAATCTTGATTCTTTGACAATTCCGGGAATTCAGGTTTAGATGCCATGGCCCAAGTTGGGTGTAGGCATGCAAGTAGCACGTATGATGGGCGCGACACTCAATTCATTCCTGCCCTCATATATCATGTAAGGACTCGGAGAAGAAGGAAATTCATTTGAAATTGCTAAACTTACATGCCAGATCGCAATTACGTATGTACTCAAGTAACAAGTTACATGCTGTCGAGTTCGGTTACAATGCGGTTGGAAAGATGTGGTCGAGAAAGTTGATCACAGAATAAACTTTGAACCATTTTGCTATGGAGCGAACTAGGGTGTCATAGGGTGTCATGGAAGGTATCAAAATTGCAAGATAATTGATGGCATAGGAATGAATATACTGTTGATGCGACTGCAATGTTCCTTCCATGTAACAGATTTCTTCACAAATATACAGAAGTTTCAGGGAGCACAGCACCCCTACGCCCTGTAATAGCAGTCATAAACCGGAACCTCGTGGCAGGTCAGGGTCGGCGGGCATACAAATAGAATTCCAACCTGCACTAGAATTATTGGTTTCCTGTAAGCGCAACAGCAAACCATCCAAAAATAGCCATTAAGAAGCGCACCATCCACGCTGGGTCAGCGCCAACGCCGCGGCCTGGCCTGAGCTGCATCGCTAGAGCAACATCAAACTCAGGCACAGCGCGGTATGCGCGACTGCGAGGATGGATAAGCGGGGACAAAGGAGGTGCAGGAACAGAACTAGCGGCCCGCACAGACCAGGATGGACGCGCAGGGGGTTCACGAGCTTCAGGATCTATTGCTGGGTGTACACATGCGTGTGGAGGAGTGAATCGATCATCTGGGGTAGGGTCAAGTGCCGTTGTGATGGGTGATAAAGAAAGAACCCGCGAAGGTGAATCAGGTAACGGAAGGTCTTGCACGCCGAGAGACGACGGAATGTCTACAGCATCGTGGAACTTTTCGTCCTCTGAGTCTTCTTCTAAGGCATCGGAGGTGGTGATGGAGACATAGGACAATAGAGCGGACGTGCCAGCACTGAAATACGGGGGTTCCTCGGATTTCTCATTCAGTGCGCTCTGCATTACTGCTATAGCTGTTCCAGTGTCTGAATTTCTCCTGCAGGAAGATAACACTGCATGCTTTTCAACATGGGGCAGACTTTGCCAAGCCATGTGAGACCAAAGAATTTGGGTATGTAAGTGTTTGATGGCATACAATCTTAGGCCCACACAGGCCAGTGCAAGCAGCGCAATAGCGCATGAGAAGATGAGGAAGAGGGTAGAAGCAGAAGTCAAGAAATCTGCCTTCCCATATTTAGTGACGAGGTCTGGGAGGTTGTGCGTAGTTGGCACTTCATCTCCTGAGCCGACCACAGTTGCGATCCGTTGACCAAAAGGCCGAAGACCTTCTACGATAGTCGGCCCGTATACTGCATCAAACGAAAGGTAGCCATCATCTGCAGCAGCGGACGTGGCCCCGATGTCCAAGAGAGCGTCGTGATGGAAGTCACTACAGCAGCCCGTATCAGAAAAGTGTTTAAACAATAAATGCCAGCATAACTCACTCTGGATGTGATGAATGCAAACGAAAAACTACTTGCGCAGACTCTTGCATTTCTGCTGACATCCTACGACAGTCACTCACAGTTGTCCCTCGGAGCAAATAAATGGACTTACAGCTCGGAGTCCGGCAAAATTGGAAGACTCGAAACGACCAGCGTGAGCAGAGGGACAAAAAGAAGTGTAGTGAGTATCATGTCAACCTTGATAGGACTTCACCGGAAATGACAGAACGTTGGCTATTCAGTTGCGGGCGGAGGGGAGGTGCACCACTAGTGGAGGTGGAACAAAAACCCACCTCGTTCTACCTCGCTTCACGATACCGAAAACACGATGCAAAGTCGGAATAGGTCGGCATGCGGACATGTAAGTCGCGTCTCCATTTAGTTGTCACGTGCGGTTGTAATCCCCTTAAGTTGGTGCATTTGTCAGTGTCACCAGGTGACCCAGAGCCAACCTGTTGAATATTGAATGGCACCAACTTCAAGAAACCAGCGTCAACAATCAAAAGCATCCTTTCATCCATCTAATGACACTGCAACTTACCGAGATTTACTACTTTTTGAAGAGCGCCTCAAAACCAACGCCGCTCAGCTTCAACGCAGGAAGTCTAGGTATCAGCGTATGTTTTCACGACATCTATGTTGCTGAAGACACTGATGTCTATCCCTAGTGTTTCTATTCCATCTTCTGATAGCTATTGCATTCCTTCTCTCCGAAGTCCTTCTTCAGACGTCCTTTTTAGACATACCCTACGCGAACCTCCTCCGCAAAGTACTTCCAGATGTGTACGGTGGTGCTGAGAATTTAAAGCCCCACCCATACTTTGCATCAGGGCTCCTCTTTGTACTTGTAACTGCCCTCCTTCTCTTCTTTGCAAGTGGTATGTATGCTGAGAAAATTGCATATGCAAATAGGTCAGCCTTCATACAATGTATTCACCACTTAAAGATTTAGCGACGGTGCCGCAGATATGTTCCTCATGCGAATAAAGCCCTTCGAAATTTCAACATGTACCTGAATGTCCGACGTCCCCCCCTTCGTTCAACATTCTCCATCAGCCCCTTTCCTTTCGTTTTCCATCGACATACCCAGTCGCGAGCACCGTCCCCAACACCACGCCCATCCAATGCACCAGCTCCTATGGCTCCTATACCACCCGCAAACAGTCCACGTGGTGAACTCATTTTTTCTTCACGCGTTGACCGGGGCTTCAGGGAGAGCTATGAGAGATATCGAGCTGCATTTGAAAGGAAGCGGGATGAAAGAGAGAGGGACGAAAGAGGGAAGACGTGGACAGGACGAATCACGAACAAGATGCCGTGGAATCAACCGCCTAATGTGCCGCCTGCTTTAGCCGTACTTTCACGGACCATGTCTGGTCGCGGGCGGGGAAGCGTTGTCGGTACTCCGTTGGGGTCCAGGAGGTCGAGCCCTATGCCGAGGCCAGGGGCAAGAGATTCTCCTGCTGTGAGGACTATTGATTAACATCGATTAGGTAGATCTAATCAATATCGTCATTCGCTTTCGTTTGAAAAATAATCTCTTCATACTTTTATGACGTGCCCTTCGAGCCGACTAGGGCGAACAATATACTCGACGCCGCGTTCAGAAAGGTGAATGCATGCTCCACGGAAAGCTAATAGCAGATGCGCCTCGGCTCTGCCACTTGAAGAAAAGTTGTTGGTGCCTAATGAATTGTAATGATATTGGAGACGAACAGTGCCGTACACAGATTCTCTTTCTACTCGAAATCCAATCGCATAAGGAGCTCCATAATGACCGCTAGCCAACTATTCGCGGTCGTGCAAAATCCCGTTGAAATCTAGCACAACATCCGAAGGTAACAGTGCCCCATATCTATCAATCGCATATTAATGAACACCGTACGGTGGTGCATTCTCAGATGCTTCCAAAAGCGCCCCGTATTATATATGTAGGTTTGGGAAAGCGAAACATTTATGGTACGTGATTTTCAAGGTAGTACTTACATCCATGCCAGACATGACTTTGTAACATGATTTCATCGCCTGTAGCGCTGCCGCGGCTATAGACTTGATGTCGGTAACCGTGTTTCTCTCGACGTAAGCCCATCATGTGAGTCAAAAGAGGGTAAGTATGGGTCCTAGATATCCTCATACATTCAATCTGTCAGATTACTAAAACTTGATTAGGGTGCTTGTTCAAGTTCTCTTAATATTTACTTCGTTCACTACTGAGTCCGAAATTCCACGATTATTCTCGGTTGAGTTGTGGTGCATTACATGTGCTTCAGGGACATGACATTGGAAGCACCGACAATGCCAGGGTGGTATGCATCAGTTAGGCTACGGAGCTTCCAAAGACTCCATCTCCGTCGTGTCCGACTGATGGATGATGACATGACTCACGAAGGCTCTTATCCGGGTCTGAGGTGGGTAAGGGTTACTCAGGTAAACGCTACTTGCCATGAAAAGCCCGTGTTGCAAGTGTTTCACGTTACATGACGGAGAGAAAACTGCCTATCAAGTTGTTAGCATGGATGGGACAACTTCTGAAAGGATATCATTTGCGGTCTTGGAACTTCGAAGTACTCCTTAAGACAGCAAGCGTCGCGGCAAATACGGCACTTACATTGCGTAAATTATTCATTACATGCCCCATTTCTGAGCTTGTCAAGCATGGATCCAACACGTCATCTAACATCTGGGGTAGCATGCGGGCGAACCATCAAATCGATGTCATACGCACGCGGGGTCGTGGTGATTCATGATGCCTCCCGCGATGGGTTCTGCATTACCTTTTAAACATATATTATGTAAGACATCCGATTGATGCACAGATGCAGAGTCTGAATCTCTTGTTTTCAGTGTGCATCTCAGTGCTAAATATTAAATAGCTATGCCTCACAGTCATCACTCTCACTCCGGACAGTTCTGTAGGCATGCCCTCGGATCCTTAGAAGAAGTTGTATCGGAAGCCATCAAACAACGTTTTGAGGTGTATGGTTTGACAGAACATGTACCCCGCTACAGGCTAGAAGATCTGTATCCAGAGGAGGTAGGTTTTCCTCCTCAAACTAGGCTTTACATCTAAATCTATTTGTCAGAGAGAGCTATCCCTTGATGACCTGTCAAAGCAGTTCCTGAGTTTTCTTAACGAAGCTCATCGACTGAAGGAGGTTTATGCCCCCCAGATCACTTTATTGGTTGGACTCGAGACAGAGTACATTACCGATCATGACCTCAATCATCTTCAAAAGCTCCTAAAGGATAATGAGAGGCGCATCGATTATATCGTTGGATCCGTCCATCATGTCAGCACTATCCCTATCGACTTTGATCGTGTCACATATGAAAAGGCTTTGGCCAACTTCTCGAATGAAGAGGGCGTTTATCTTCTCGGAAACGATCAAATGGAACGCTTTCTGTCTACATACTTCGATGCACAGCATCAGTTGATGCGGCAGTTTCAGCCAGAGATTATTGGCCATCTCGATTTGTGCAGACTCTACACCCCTTCCCTCGATCTTAAGCAGTACCCCATCGCCTGGGGCAAGCTAATCAGGAACATCGAGGAAGCTACGCGGTACGGCGCACTTTTTGAGATTAATGCTGCCGCGTTCAAGAAGGGGTGGACTTCGCCGTACCCTGGGAAAGATGTGGTAGCGGTCAGTAACAAGTGTCATGTTGTATCAATCGTTACTTCCTTACCGTGCTTAGCTTATCCAGGAGAAAACTGGTCGATTTGCTTTGTCTGATGACAGTCACGGACCGCAGACTGTCGGGCAGTATTATCTGGATGTGGCAGGACTATCTGGTTCATGTAGGAATCACTGAACTTTGGTGTTTGGACCGTTCATCAGAGCCAAATCACAATGGGAGGTACATATCTCCCAGGAGAATTGAAGGTGATTGGCGACTCCATGCCTTCTGGAAACATAGGGAAGGTGAAAAGCGCAAAATCACTTTTCAATAAATACGAAATGGGTTTGGCGAAAGTTTTATTGAAGTATGTTTTGCAACGGCTTGAAGTACTTCGATCTTATCTTTGATCTTTTCTGCCCCCAAGATGCAGTCTAGCCAAAGCTCGCGATTTTTCATTTTCTAATTGACCATGCTTTGCTTCATGGATGCTGCTACGTTTCCGTCTAGCATTAAATCATTATCCGTAATGCACATTTCGGACTGCAGGTCGCTTGACAGAACATGCCTGAATGGGAGCGCAATGCCTTTAAATCCTATTACGGCGTGCGGTGTTATGCTGTGAGGAAGCGATCAGAGTCCTCTCGTCGTCCGGTGCCAATTAATTTGCTTGTACGCTGCTTCAAATCAGGCGCAAATCAGGCGCGGTGAGCTTGCATACGTAAAAAGTTCGCATCATGGACGGACACTTAACACAATTTAGGATGACCACGATGGCGCACAACCACCTGTATTTCCACGGTGCTACATTTGACAGTTGGAGAGCACATCGCAGAAGCATTCAAACTTATGACAGTTACCTTTCACTGCTACTAGCTTAACGCCCAAATACTCTGAATCAAGATCTCGATTTTCCCTTGGACCCGCGATCCTCATTGCGTGTCATCAATCTCAGATGTGGGTCAGCCATGCTGCTCAAGATAAGATTCATACGTCTTCGCATCATGTACTCGCCTTTGACGTGCTTCTCGATGCAAGGTGCTCGGCGTGTCAAAGTTTAATGCCCCAACTTCGCAATCCGTACCCCGCATTGACTTTGACATCACTTAACCCCGCAGTCATCAGACTAGCCTCTCACGAGAATAATTTTTTCCTGGTGATCTCTTATTGCATGTGCGTGATGGGGGACATGCAGTGGCAAGATTTAAAGGGTCGCGAACAGAGTGTCTTCAGCTTAACGATCCCACCCTTCCACTGGACATCTCTCATGTGAGGGCGATTCTGACGCTTTCTTCTAGCGCGACTAACTTGCGTTACAGTTAACATGTGCCACCGTCAGGTTCAGTGTGCCAGACACGGTTGCGGTCACGATGAGCCCATCGGGGACGGGGGGAAGGTTAGCCAATGCAGTGATATTGCATTTGCACTTTGAAGTCACTGACAACAACTGAAAGGTGGACTGTCAATCCTCTCAATGTCGATATAGTGCTGCACATCCACGAGGCTGTCCAATTTGCCCTAACACATGTGTTCAATAGTTTGTTGCACCGTAATATCTAAAGATCTAACGACTGACTGTGATTTTGTCCCACACCAGCATGGGCAGAGCCCAAACTATCGTCGTGCGAAATGGAAATCAAATGTGCTTCCATTGTGCTAGACCAAACGCATAAAAGATCGGACCCGCTGTTGTCGCAGCTACCAAAAGGGTCTTCACCCCGCCATTGCCGATCACAGTTTCCTGTCCAATCACTTTATACTCGCAGTCCGATCTTGGATTGGCGTTCGTAACTACCATTATTTTTGATTGAGTTAAGCATTAGGCACATCCAAACTCTTAGGTCAAGGGCATCGATCATACTTGTACTTACTTATGCTTAGTACTAGTCTTCCAGTCGCTGAGGCCCAAGGGCCAGCCAACTATGTAGTCATCAATACTCAAATTGAGATGCCTTCTTTCACTTCCCGAATTTCTACCACGTTTGCAGGCATTCATAGTCCCACGAGGAGACTCGGAAGCGTATAGCCTCGTAGAGCAGTGTGGAGTACCAGCTTCGCGGGAACCTGAATCGGCGTACAATCTGACGGAGTTATGCCCTTACTTTTTCGGCTGTTGATTGAATGTCGTCGTCACGAGTCTTTTTACATAAGGCGTTTGTACAGGCAAAGGGGTCGATCACTGATACAGTAGTCTCCCCTAGAAAGACTATACTTTACGTATGGAAGGATAATAGAAGCCTTGAAACCAGTCAATTGAATTGTACACGAAGAGCTTATGTAAGTGGTTTCGGATCCTTTTGTTGCAACAAGATGTGGCTGGCAGTGTTATGGTATGTTATGTAGCTTCTCTATGACTTTTGGACTTCCATATACTTATCTTGGGTAGTATGAATTCCGATAAGTATTAGATACGGTTAATCCAAACCATGAACTTAACTGCATTCTCTGGTCCATCTTTGCAGGCAGCATATCTTCGCACTCTTCCCGCCATTAGAGAACGATGCTCAAATGTACATGCCATGGCGCAACAGGGAAAGCTGGAGTATTTTGATTATTGCCCGGATCATGAATCGTCCGTTGTGAATTACTGCCTCGAAATCATGAAGGTCCCGCCTCGAGTTGACTCCCAGTCGTTACTTATAGCTGACACATGTTTCAGAGGGACTTTCCCGCAGCTGATGGCGGTGTTGACTTTGCATCTGTAAGGCGTTGTATTTCTGGTGATCAGCCAGTGTTAAACTTAGAATCACATGAATAGATCCCACCGCATGGGAGATGGAGGCATCTAGATGCGGGAAAATCGCGTATAGCGCCTTTGATGGCGAAATGGGATGAAGAACGAAGGTCGCCAGTCAGCGAGAAAGAAAAATGCAAAAGGTTGATTGATTTATTCCTTGTTTCTGTCCTACTGGATGCTGGGGCTGGCAACAAATGGTCATATAACGAGTCAGATGGGGAAAGTTACAGTCGTTCGGAAGGGCTCGCGGTTGCAACTGTACATATGTTTGACCAAGGTCTTTTTTCGGGATCTCCTGCAGCTCAGCCCCATCGCGTCGATGGTAAGGGGGATATCTTCCGTGTGTGGAGTTATCATCTGATTTTCCTACTTCAAGCGCAGGGATTGTCTCAGATAAATGAATCAAGAATTGCCACCGCTATGCAAGTTAGCGATGCCAATCCGATGGTTGGTCTGTCTGGCCGAACTTCGCTCCTGGTCAATCTCAAGACCGCATTGGAGTCTAACCCTCGCTTGTTCGGTTCTGATGCTAGACCAGGAAATATCATTGGTATTACTCACTGTTCACTCCTTGATCAGGCGGTTTATCCCTTCTGATGTTCAGACTTCCTGGAATCTGAATCGAAGCTCGATGGTTCATCCCTGCGTGTCCATGTCTCATCGCTGTGGGGAGTTTTACTTGAGGGTTTAGCTCTGATTTGGCCTGCAAGATATTCCATCGGTGGAGTACAGCTCGGAGATGCGTGGCCGTGTTCTGTGCTCGCCACGGTTGGACAAGCTGAGGGAGACGACTTCGTACCGTTCCACAAACTAACGGGATGGATCACATACAGCTTGATTGAGCCTATGGAAAAGATTCTCAAGTGGAAATTTGACGGCATCGAGGACATGACTGGTCTTCCGGAATATAGAAACGGTACATATGATGTACCTTAGTATGACAACTGCCATTGACGTTTGATCTAGGAGGTTTGCTGATCGACTTTGGCGTTCTTACCCTCAAACCAGGCCTTCAGGCGCTCGCAAACACTAGCGGTATTCCATGTCTTCCACCATCACACAGTGCTGTAGTTGAATGGCGGGCAATGACGGTGATTGAACTGTGAGTCATTAGTGGAACCGTCCCAAAATTATACTGAAGTTCCTGGGCAGGGATCGCATCGCCGACGGGATCCGACGTCAAGCTGGTGTGAACTCTTGTGATCTAACCCTTGCCCAAGTCCTAGAAAGCGCAACGTGGAAAGGAGGGAGAGAAATTGCCAAGCAGCTCCGGCCCTTGACCGGCGGACCACCCATCGAGATAGAGAGCGACGGGACTGTTTTTTGAGGCTGTGGCATTCTTCCGGAAAGCATCAAAGCATATATGTATAACTGTAGTTCAACATTGGAAGTACCCTGGTGACCAGGAAAGCAATCAGGTTCATGTACGTTTCAATTCCCTAGCTAGGCGCCAGCACAGGACAAAAGCTACGGCCGCGGCCACGCCTCCCAACCTGATTTAGTTGTGGTCAGCTGCTTCACTGGCGTGCATGACGCCATTGGCACCCACCGAAAGATTATTGCGATTGAATTGGGACCTGTTTTTACAGAGGGATCTTTGTCTGGGTTTAAAATCTGTCGCATGACATCTCCTGACGTAGCGATTGTACTATCGACAGGTATAGCATTTCCCGGATGATGACCGTGTAGGACAGATTTCTGGGGATCAAATATTGCAAAGATGATCGACGACAAGCCAGTGACGAGAAATTGGGGTACGACGATGAACATATTATGAATGCCCTAGTAACGTTGATTAGATCTGACAGGAACAAGAATCTGAAGCACTGACGAGAATGGCACCAGCCTGCGAGCTTAAGCCATTGAGATTCTTTTTTGGCCTATGAGGCGATGTACCTTGAGATATTTGAGTCGATGAGACATTTATATCCATCTGGCTGATTCGTGCTTCGTGATTTATTATGATTCTCGGATAGCCGCCATCCTCTTGTTCCGGCGACACAGGCCTCGAGTATGTCGGGTCTTCCAGGTCAGGATTGACGAGATGCTGGGTTTCATCAGCATCTTGCCCATCATCGTCCGTCCTGGATCTCAGATTCGAGCGCGTGTCCTCGAGATATATCGAAGTCGTCTCTTCGTCAGTTGCGGGATGAGACAATATTGCCTCCGCGAGCTGAGAATGGTATGGAATCAGATAATAGTAGGGTGATATTTAGGGTTTGGATGATGACGTACCAACGTGAATGGGGCCCACTGTGCTATGGCCCAACAAAATCCGGTCACTGACATGATGAAAGTAGCACCCCCAACGCTTGATACAACGCTTCACAGGTCAAATTATCATCAAAACCATCACTTGCTTTGACGTGTAGAGACTTACAACGTGGCAGCCATGCAGAATGCGAATATGAAGAGAGAGAATGCCCAGAGTGTAGCCAGGTGAACCCGAACATGTTCCAGCCACGACTTCTTCAGTTGAAGAGGAGTCAATATAGCGACTTCTTCTTTAGCACAGGCGACGAAGAAAGGCATAATGATGTTTGCTGCGAGGGACACCAGCGCGCTGTAGAATAGTGCACGCGCGCCAAGACGTGTAGCCTCCTCTTCTAATATGTTAGCTGAAATATCGTCTGCTGGGGGAGGGGAAACCGATTTGTGCAGTTCGCCGATATACACAGTAGTGTAGAATAAAACAGGGAACCATGCTAGCCATGCACTATCAAGCTATCGCCGTCAGATAAATGGAGCGTTATTCGGCACAAACGCACAAAAATTGGATATAACACTGTAAGATAGGTCAATAGACATGGCGCGGTGAGAGTATATGCTGCGTACGATCTGTCTTATTACTCGAGGTAATCTTGTTAGAGTATTCCATATATCATATATTTCTTTCTTCAGACCCTTGTCGCGGGAGCTATGGCCGAGTGAGACAAACACCAAGTAAATATTGAGATGACACACTGGGTTGCAACAAGTATCCTCTCTTTGACGCAAATGGAGGTCAACAGATGAGTGAATACGAGTAACAGAGACGCGATGACTGCTAAATTTTCTAGTTGAGCATGACCAAGGAAAGGTAACCATCGAGGAAGATCTATTTCTCCCCTGTGATAAAATCTGAGTGCCAAAGGCCACGACTCTGCATAAAAACTCACGCGAAGAATCCGAGTACGCTGCCAATGGCCAGCATTCGAGCGGCCCATGCATTACCACTAGGCTGGTCTGATGGGGGTAGGGTGTCAACCAGGAGAGCACGGTCTAGAGCCTGCACTGCGAATACATTTTGGTTTCATCGTACAATACAGAGTTTGCGAGGACAAACCTGCGTTAATGGAAAAATCTATGCAATATATCGATAGGATAGCGAGCCATATACTAAGTGAATCATGCTGACAAATTCAGTATGGTCTGTCAGTTGTATGGAAGAATGCACGCACTGAGGATGATCCTGGCGTTGCAAACAAAGCAGCAAATGGGCGAGTGTATCCGAACAGAAGGGTCGCAACACAACACAATGCTGCACCAATACCAATTAAAGGTCGCCGTCTGCCAAAGCGTGACTTTGAATTATCTGCTAGCACGCCTAAAGAAACGTTGAGTGGGCTGAAGAATAGGAAATGCAGGAAAGGTACCTATCAAAGGCTGGACAATGAGGCCAGAGAGGGGGCCGGCAAGGAAGACCACTGCCATTAGTGGTTTTGACAGACCGAGGGACAACAAGTAGGGGGAAGCTTGCAATATGCAGTAGTATTGAACAACCATCTAGCAAGGGTGTAGGCTAATCATTCACCATATGACATCTCAACCGACCACAAGACCTGCACTCCCAAAAGTCCGACAGTAAGAGTGGGGAGGCGTGTCAACGGGGGTCCCAAAATCCTGGCTCTTCCTATCCACCGGGATTCATCATCGAGGGAATCTTCAGCGAAGGGTAGAACAGAAAAGCCGGTCATTCTTGCCGAGTGTGCCTGGCCAGTAAGCTGGCTGTCTGCTGCAGGATTAGCTTGCAATTGATAGTAGTTGGTTTTACTTATAAGGCGTGACGCTCCCGCTGCGCGGCTGCCAACCTGGATTGCCTTTTCGAGATCGAAGCCTTTACATAAATTGTTGCCATCACTAGTGGTCACCGCAGGACATCAATTTGCAGGAGCTAATCTATAGTGCTAAATGCTGGCCCGCACAGTCCTTCGTCCAAGGATACTTAATTTCAATTGCTTGTTCCATTCATCATCCCGTATCAACAGGCAATTGTTTGACCCATCCACTGTTGAACGTGTCTCGGAAGATGTGGACGTCTGCATCGTCGGAGCTGGCCCTGCTGGCCTTAGCACCGCGATTCGACTAAAGCAGTTGGAACAGAAATTAGGAAAAGAATTCAGGGTCGTTGTACTGGAAAAGGGTGCTGAAGTAGGTGCGTATTCCTAACACTGAACTTTTCCCGTGTAAATGTAACTCGTCCCAGGCTCCCATATCCTCTCCGGAGCTGTCATCGAGCCTCGAGCACTCGACGAGCTCTTGCCAGATTGGGCCCTCCGCGATGACAACCCACTCACGCAGTCAGCAACGTCCTCTCACATGCGATTCCTCACAAAGTCGCTCTCGATACCTATACCCCATCCCCCTCAAATGTCAAACCAAGGCAATTACATCGTCTCGCTCTCTCGTTTCGCTGCATGGCTCGGGAACATCGCGGAGGAAATGGGTGTCGAGGTTTACCCTGGGTTCGCCGGAGCAGGGGTGGTTTACGCAGATGATGGAAGCGTTGCTGGTGTTAAGACGAATGAAGTTGGTCTGGACAAACTAGGATGCATGAAGGAGTCTTTTGAGCCTGGAATGGAGTTTCGTGCCAAGGTTACCCTTATCGCGGAAGGCGCGCACGGCTCCATCGCCAAGGAACTCATTCAAAATTTCAATCTTCGACAAAATTCCGATCCACAAACATATGGCATTGGCCTCAAAGAAGTTTGGCGCGTGGATCCGACCCAATATCGACCTGGTGAAGTTGTTCATACCATGGGCTGGCCCCTTGACTTCAGGACATATGGCGGTGGTTGGGTTTACCACATGGCTGATGGGCTTGTCAGCTTAGGCCTTGTAATCGGACTCGACTATGCCAACCCATATCTGAGTCCTTATAAAGAATTTCAGGTACGTTCTTTTTAATTGTTGCACACGTCCCTCTGATATCCCATTCAAGCGCATGAAACACCATCCATATTTCGCGCAGCTTCTATCTGGGAACTCCACCAGGATAGCATATGGTGGACGTTCGCTCAACGAAGGCGGCCTTCAATCTGTACCTCAGCTTTACTTCCCTGGTGGTGCCCTGGTTGGTTGCTCGGCTGGTTTCGTCAACATCGCAAAAATTAAAGGCACCCATAATGCGATGAAGAGCGGTATGTTGGCTGCCGAAGCAGCAGCAGCAGTTCTGTCTCAGGACTCTAGCAGTGGACCCGCAGACATGTCACAGTACGAAACCGCACTGAAGAATAGTTGGGTTTGGTCAGACCTCAACGAGGTTCGTAACTTGCGTGAAAGCTTCCACACTCCCTTGGGTATCTGGGGAGGTATTATGTACTCTGGCGTCGATTCTCTTCTTCTTAAAGGACGTACTCCTTGGACTTTCCGCAATCGAGAAAGATTGACGGATGCACAGCATACTCAACCCGCGTACCGATTCAATCCCATCAACTATCCTCCCCCGCAGCCCCCGTTATCGACAGATTTGCTGACTTCGTTGACTTTAACCGGCACGAACCATGCAGAAGACCAGCCTGTGCATCTACGTGTGCGCAAAGACGGCGATGAGGATACCGCCCTTCGAAAGTTGCATGTCCAGCGCAACGTGAGCGAGTATGCTGGGTTATTGCAACGGGCTTGCCCTGCTGGCGTTTACGAATATGTTGAAGATGAGACTGCAACAGATGGGTGGAATGGACATAAATTAGTAATAAACTCTCAGGTGCATCTCATCTTCGAACCCTGTGCCATGTCTTATGTATGTCATTGCAGAACTGTATCCACTGCAAGTTATGTGATATCAAGGTCCCCACACAGGATATCACATGGACAGTTCCCGAGGGAGGTGGAGGTCCAAAGTACAGTGAGTGTGTTTTGCAGACTTCTTCCATTGTGATGGCTAATCTTAATCTCATCATTAAGCCATTACTTGACGGTATGATATATAGTGCAGTACTTGTAGCTCTACTTTGTGATTAGTAATTACATCTGAGTGCACACCGAGTCACAATTGCAAGCACGTTTTTGGTAATTTCAGGTATCAACCGTTTTGGAAAGCACGATAATCTAAGACTCATCGGCTGAGCATCCTCAGCTGTATACTTAGTTGCGTTTCTTGAAAGTTTTATCGACTGCCCATACTTGCCATGCGGTATTATGAACAGAGATATCCAGAAGTCGATGAGCTCGTCATGGTCCAAGTCCGCCAGATTGCGGAAATGGGTGCATATGTCAAACTGGTTCGCACCATTCATCTGTACCTTCATTGTCATGCTGATCCATCCATGTAACACAAGCTCGAATACGACAACATCGAAGGAATGATCCTTCTTTCAGAGCTTTCCCGTAGACGTATCCGATCAATACAAAAGCTCATCCGTGTTGGCCGTAATGAAGTCGTAGTGGTGCTTCGTGTAGACAGGGAAAAAGGTATGCTGATCATCCAGTCTAACCATGCTCAATAAGCGTAGCATAATCTGTGCGCACAGGCTACATCGATCTATCAAAACGTCGTGTTTCCCCTGAGGACATCATCAAGTGTGAGGAACGGTACATGAAGTCAAAAGCTGTC